CAAAATTGATTGGAAGTTTACACAAAATGTCATACAAAAATATCCAATTAATTTTTTTTGGAATGAATGGATTTCCATTTTCTGCATCAATATCAATAATTTTTATTTCTGATAGCTCATAAAACTTAATAGCAATTTTTTGTCCAATTTTATTAAAAATACTTGTACAGCTTTCGTTATTAGCAAAATCTTCGAATTTATTTAATAATCCTTTTATATCATTAAAGCAATCAAATGTAGCTTTATATTTTTCAATATAACTCTCCATTATACTTACTGCATTTTTTATAGTTGAAAATATTTCAGAATTAGTACTTTCGTTTGAAATATTCAAGCTATTGAAGCACAATAGTAAAAACAAAAACTTTAATGACCGTTTTTGAATTCCTAGTTTATAACAGTACATTGCATCTTCTGTAAATATATTTTTTCCACTAATCTCATTTGTCATAGATGCCCATACATTAAAACCATTTACAACAACTAATTCATTTGAAATTGTTTCCGTCCAGGGTAACTTATACCAGGAAAAAACGTCGAACTCTACTTGTATTTTACTAATAAGTAAATCTGTAACTTTTTCTATATCTTTTTCCTCTAATGTACCCTTACCAATATCAGGATAAATTTTAGATGGAATGCAATTAAAAATATTTTCTAGAAATTCCCACTTTATTTTCTCCTGATTGAATGGATTTCCATTTTCTGCATCACTATCAAATTTTCCACCTGATAACTCATTCAACTTAATAGAAATTTTTTGTCCAATTTCATTAAAAATACTTATACATTTGTCGTTATTAGAAAAATCTTGGAAGTTATTTAATACATTTTTTATATCATTAAAGCAATCAAATTTAAAATCATTAAATTCAGTATTATATTTGTTAATGTCTTTATTCATTATACTTACTACTTTTTTTACACTTGAAAATATTTTAGAATTGGCACTTTTGTTTGAAATATTTATGCTATTGAAGTATAATAACACAAACAAATACTTCAAAGACCGTTGTTGAATTGCTAATTTATAACAATACAGTCCTTCTTCAGTAAAAGTTGAATGAGTTCTAAAATTTCTCTTAACTAGATCTGTAGCCTTTTGAATGTGACCATTTATAAAAACGGGTTCATTTAAAATACTATGCACCGTGGGTAAATCTTTAAAACAATAAATCATATTAAACATAAATATAGTAAAAAAACATATTAATTTAATTTTCATTATTAAAATAATAAACAATTTGTCGATTTTTTAAGTTTGAATCTACCACTTAAAAAACTTGAGTACACCAAGGGCAAAATTTTTTATTTATAATTGAGAAACTAAAATGTACGAAGAAAACAAATTTGTGCTCTTTATATATTATGAAACTTGTTTGCTTTTATCTATGGAATTATTTTATTGGTCGTAAATTACATTTAAATATTAAGTATCTATATTTAATAACACTGCGCTACACTGTATCCTCTAACTGGTCTACTATATCAAAAATGATAAATCACTAGAAATTACCTAATTTAATAAGAAATGCTAGGTTTAACAATGTCTTATGCAAATCTATATTTTTAAGGAAAAATATTGTATCATTCATAGAAGACATCTTTTTTGTATATACATATCATACAAAGAGCTTTTTAAACTTTTCATATAGTTTAAGAACACAACATTCATAGATCACTATTTCGAAAGGAAATCGTTTCTTTGGGTTATTATTTGCATAATCGTTACTATTTAAAGTATTATTTTTATATATAAAGCGACGCAATCAATAATAACTAAGTGATGTAATTTTATTTCGATCTTCTTTTTATATAGGAAAAAATAACACTTAGTAGTATACTTTAATGTGTATAAAATAAATCCATATTAAAATCTAAAATTCAAGAATATTGAAAAAAAATTTACTCCTTTTAGCTTCGATGTGAAACTGAGAAGGTATTAATTTTACTATGATGAGTTTTTTTTGTGTCTGAACGCTCAATCTCAGATCTCGCTGGACCGATTTTAATGAAAAATATGCCAAAAGATCACAAATCGTATCTAGTCGAAGACATTACCCTCAAAATTTGAAAAAAAATTCCCTCGTTCCCCGTAAACCGTAAATCATTTATTTTCTCTACTCTAACTACATTTTTCAACGATACGTCAAATGATTTCAATTCGTATCTAGTTGAAGATATTACCCTCAAAAATTGAAAAAATTCTAATTTATCAATGAAACAGTTACTTATCCCATGTTCTCCATACAGACAATTAAAATCATTCATTTCTAATGTTTTCAAAATATTTATTGACGAATCAAGTTTGATATGATAATTTGATATATTGATATACAAAATTAAATCATTTTACTTTGTAATTTAATAATATTTTTACTCTATTTGTGTGTGCTACTACTAGACTATAATATTCCAAATTTGTTGGTAACATGTTGCTATATAAATCATTTCTAAAAAAAATGATTGTTAGTTTATCCTGAATTAACAATGGATTTTTACAATTATAATCAAATTTTATAATACGCTCAATTGAGTAAATCTTTTTAACAGCATTGTTTTGATTGGTTCATTTAGTTAAAGTAAACAATTAAAATTAATTAAGTTCTGTATATTTCAATTACAGAATCTTTTTAAACACCAAAAGTTACTAGGAAATGATTACTACGATTTCTATTTAAGTGTTCTATTACGATAAAAATGCAAAAAAATTATGAATTTTTCTGATAAATATACTGTAAATAGTAATTAAAAAATTTCCTGATTGCATATTAATCTTAAAATTATCATTGTTTTAATTCTCATAAAATTTTCTATTTAATGATGTCAATTTCAAACTTGTAATTGAGCTAAAAGTTATGGTAACATATTCAATTTTTTTTACTATAACTTTTTACTAAACTTTATCAACAATTTTTCATCAACTTTAAAGAACCAAAAAAAAAGGTTAAAAATGAAAATTTGGACTGATTATTTTTAACATATTAAAAATCAAAATCAGTAATAATTTGAAAACAATTTTTTTTTTTTTTTGATAATTATTTTATATGTAATTAGTAATAATATAAAAAATTAGAAGTGATAGAAAAAGTCTAATTGCAGATTTGAAAACAACGTGAAAAGTTGATTTAGAATAGTATATTTTTGCTTCTAATGAAAATTCCTTGTAGTCCAGTGCATTTATTTATAGTAACAAACAGTTTTTATTGAAAAGTATAGCATCAAGTCCTTTAAATTTTTATACACGTAAAAGTAAAGCAAAATATAATTTCTTTATTATTTTTATAATTTCTCCGTATAAATTACAATGTTATATTATTGAATATTAATTTCATACTAAATTCAATTACTATAATTATATGTATTCATATATTATAATTATAAATCGGGATAAAATTAAAGGAATAAGAGTTATGGTTGCTTTTGAAATAATCTACCAATCTCTTAAAATTAAACGCTATTTACAGATTTGCATCGAAGCGTTTCTTATGATAGTCATTTTAATTACTGTCAGATATCATCTATACTTGTCTCAACTATGCCACGTCCATACTGCGCCGCGACTCCACTGTGCTACAATTTTTTCTTTTTTATTCAAATTTTAATAATTAAACGCATTGTAATAAACCCTAATCTTAAGTGTAAAAATCTATATTAATATTATATAAAATGTCAAAATGATTTGTATACTAATCATTTGTAGTAATTTCTATATTTTATGCTTACTTACTATTAAACAATATATTATAAATGAGACAATGATGATTTTCGAGGATACAAAATATTATAAAAAGGTATAGCAAACCCTTACACAGGGTTGTTCTTATCGTATAATAGACAACGTTACGCGAACGTTGTGATTATCATCGAAATTTTTACGTATTAAAGTTGTGAACTAAATCTAATTGTGTCATTTTATTTATCAATCATTAATTAATAATATCACTTAAGATATTTTAAGCACCAAGGAAAATTATTAGTTAAGATTTAAAAATCAATAAGAGTCAATATTTATATTATTTTATGATCATCGAACACAATCCGAATGAACGTAACTCTCTCTTTTATCAAATACTTTTCAATCTTTTAAAATTATTTTCTTATAATTTTTATCAAACAATTATTTAACTCATTTTTATTTAATTTTATTAAGTTTTGAGTTACGATAGTATTCAGAAATTATTTTAGGAGAGTATTTAATTTGTTTTACTTTGTTAAACATGCTATGGAATTTTTTGCTAAAAATCAAAGTGATGATCAAATAAATGTTGATTATAGCCATATTTCTTAGAAGTCTCTTAAAAATAGTGATAGCGTTGGTTTAAGGGGAAATCGCCCATATCTCTTTAAATACGCCTCTGGTATACACAGTAATTATTAATATTCTAATTATAAAAATTGTATTAATATTATAGAATAATTAAAAAAAATTCAACAGGTTATTCCTGGAACTATGTAAAAAATTTACTTTTGATAAGTAATATACTTATCAACTAATATAGTTATTGTGATTTGACGTTGGACAGAATAGATGGATTACAATTTATACGATAAACTTATAGACTTATACATCATTTATGTGATAAATAAGACTACTAATACTGTATTCTGGTAATATATGTACAAATTTATATATGACCTTCTAAAATTTATCTTTTTAGATTGTTCAGTAGGAAACGGGTTTCTATTGTTCTCATTTTTTGTAATATATACAAAATATAGTACTATGCGAAAAAAAATTTGAAAATCGTAGCACGCTAGGTCATTTTTACAAAAAAGCATTTTTTCCCTTATTCTATTTTGTAATAAGATAACATTTTTTGAGAAAATGACAGTTACTGTTCAAAGTAACAAAGACAGTTTACAACAGTTATCAAGATTGATAACCAGTTGCTATCGCTACAAATCACCACAGATTCTGTTGTGAATTGTGACTTATTGAAGATTTGATATACCAAACTGAATCGAGAGTTATCGAATCTGGCAACACTGAGTTGACTAGTTCAGTCCTCTATCTATAGTCGATCAACTCATAAGTATCATATTTTTCATAGATGAAATATTATTAAAAAAATGAAAGATTAGTAACATCTCTTACATTAACTAATATGGAAGATCCTTCAAAAAAATCTGAGTTGCTTGCATCTTCAGATTTCACAATAATTGATAATCAAAAATTTGGAAAGAATAAAAAGGCAAGAAAAATTTTTAACTCCTATCATTATTTCATTTTTTATTTATTAAAAAAATATATATTTTTCTAGAGTTATTTTAAAAGTATTTAAATTTTGAAGTGACCCTGTTAATATTTGACAATTTTCAGGTAAAAAGAGTATTACCTCAATGGCTTGCAAAACCGACCATAGTATCTGTAGATTTAAAAAACTTAGATTTACCTATTGATAATATGCCAGAATTAGATAAAAGTTTAGTAAAAAAATTGCAAAATAAAGGGTGCACACATTTTTTTCCAGGTAATTTAAAATAATTATAATTTTGAAACAAATATGTAACGTAGAACACTCTATTATAGTTCAGGCAAAATTAGTACCTTGGTTAATCAAATCACAAAAAAATTGGGATGAAAGATGGATTAGAGATGTTTGCATTTCAGCACCAACTGGTAGTGGTAAAACATTATCCTATGTCTTACCTATTATTCAGGTACTCCTAATTAATAACATTACTAAAATTAAGCATAAGTAATATATATTTCTTAAAATATTTAGGTATTAAGAGCTTTTACTACTCATCAAATTAGAGCACTTATTGTTTTACCTACAAAAGATTTAGCTTTACAAGTTTACAAAGTATTTAAATATTTTATACAACATACTTGTGATCTACAACCTATACTTCTAGAATCTAAGAATTTGACATTAGAAAAAGAAAAAGAAAAAATTCTTCAATTCGGTAACTATTTATTTTTAAGAATTCTTGCATCATACTAAAAAACAAATTTATTAATACTATTTCTTTGTTTTAGATAAAAAACATGGATGGATTAGTTTGGTTGATATTATTATAACTACTCCAGGTCGTCTTATTGATCATTTGATATATAGTGAAGGATTCACTTTGCAATATCTTCGATTTTTAGTTCTTGATGAAGCTGATAGTTTTACTAACATTTTAAAAAATGATTGGCTGTATCTTGTTAATGATAGTTTAGGTATATTCTGTTAATAAAAGAATATCTTAATTAGTTATTATAATTTTATTATATTAATGACCATTTGCTTAAAGCCATTTATTCTTTCAGAATACAATGGACCTTCAATATGTACATTAGATACTTTAAAAAAGTCACCTCATAGAACACAAAGGTTATTGTTTTCAGCTACTCTTACTCAAGATCCTGAAAAGTTGAAGTTTTTAAATCTTTTTGATCCTAAACTTTTTACATCAATAGTAAAAAGAAAAAATATAGACATTTTGCAAAGTAAAAAAGAGTTATTTTATAATTTGTAAATGTTATTTTTCTTGTGAATATCATCTTTCTATATATTTAGATGTCAATAGTGATGAGCCAGTTCGAGGTGACTTTGTTGGAAAATATACTACACCAAAAGAACTTAAAGAATACATGGTTTTATGTCCAGAAGAAAACAAACCATTAACTTTGTATCATTTAATTAGAAGTAAATCACTCAAAAGAGTGATTTGTTTTGTAAAATCAAAAATTGAAGTTCATCGTTTGGCTAGACTATTATGTAGAATAAGTGAAAATGATACAAACAACACTCCAATAAGAGTAAATGAAATTTCTGCTGACGTTTCTCAAAAAGTTCACATTGATTACATGAAACGGTTTGCTGAAGGAAAAATTGATGTGTAAGTTCATTGATTTGCTAATTCGATGTATAATATATTAATTTTTAATAATCATTGATTTCTTTTTTTTTTTCTATAGATTAATATGCACAGACTCACTTGCAAGAGGCATTGATATTGAAAGAATTTCTTGTGTTATTCTATATAATGTACCCAAATATTCTAAAAACTATGTGCACAGGATTGGTAGAACTGGAAGAGCAGGACGTAAAGGAAAAGCTATTACCTTAGTCACACCTGAACATGTAAATCTTATTTTTTTATTATTATTCTCTCAATAAGTTTAACATTATCAATAAGTGTTGAAACAATTAAATAATATTTTAAAACGAACAAGATTTTCCGTATATGTATGTTGAGTGCATTGTTTTTTTTTAAATTATTATGAGGAAAATATTTAAGAAAAAATTTCTAATATTTGAAATAAAATATAAAATATATTTTGTTAAACTGAGTTTAACTTTTAAAAAATCGGAGAAATTTATAATTCTATTTTAGATAAACTAATATTAATAATGTTAAAAGATAATAATGATTAAAATTACTATTCAATAAAAATAAATATATTAAAGTCAGTAAAAATAAATAAAACAAATGAATAGAAAACTTATTTAAACTACATTATGAATTTGGTGTAATTATTTAATAAATCGTGACCTAAATCACAACACCTCACATCTAAATTTTTAATCAAATGACTTGGTTGATAAGTAAATTTTAATTTCATTTCAATTTTAATATTTCATTTTTTATAGATAATTAAATATAAATATAATAAAAAAATTTATTTAAATAAAATAATTTTGAGTATATTTATTATTTTTAACTTTCCTGAAAAATGGGAAAAATTGTTTAGGGATTCTCAAAAAGGTCGTTTAACTTTTAAATAAATTATAAAATGCCAAATTACATCACTAATTAAGTATAATTGAAATCCGAGTGAAAATTACATGCTGAGTATAAATTTTTCAAATACCTTCTCAGCTTCGCATTGAAGCTGCAAATACAAAATTAAAAATCACTAATTTTCGACATTTTTTCTGTTTATTTTACCTAAAACTGCCATAACTTTTTAAAAAATAACCAAATCAATATAATTTTTTTTTATATAAATACGTTAACTACTTTCCTATCATTTTATATATTTCTTTTATACATCTGACCCTTTACCTCTCACAAGGGAGGATTCAAAATTATAAAGTTTACACAAAAAATTCATTTTTTCAACTTAACTTTTGAAATTGTTCCAAAAATACTGACACTTTTATATATATCTTAAATTAAAGCTAATGTAATATACTTTATTATGAAAAAAAAAATTTCGTAATTTATTTTGTCTTCACGGTGAAAATTACTACCGTATGCTATTCTTGTGTTAAATTCTCGATTTTATATTTTATTTTTATTTTAAAATACCTTACAAAAGTTTTTGAGTAAGGAAAAAATGTTTAAATCATTTGATTTTTATCTCATTTAGATTCAATAACTTTAATAAATATCTAGGATGCCATTACTATAGTGCCCCCTCATTTGAAGAAATTTCTTATTCATGTTAAAGTTTTTTTACAAAGTGATTTTTTTTGTCTCTTATTTATTTTCTCAGCTATCACTTGACCATCTTTTTTTAACGATACATCAAGTGATCACAACTATTATCTAGTTAAAGATATTACCCTCAAAAATTGAATAAATTTTCATTTTATTAATGAAAAGTTTACTTAGCTCCATCTAGACAATTAAAATCATTCATTTTTTAATGTTTATAAAATATTTATTGTCAAATTAGGTTTGATATGATAATAGATTTCAACTACAAAAATAAATAACTTAATAGTAATTATACAATTTCCTGACTGCTTATTAATCATAACAATACTATTTTTTTATTGTCATAAAATTTTCTGTTTAATAATGTAAATTTCAAACTTGATGTTGAGCCATAAGTTATGGTAACAAATTCAAATTTTTATCATTATAAACTTTTAAAAAATCAACTTTAAAATACCAAAAAAATAGGTTAAAAATGATATTTTGCACTGATTATTTTCAAAAACAAAGAACTTTCATTATATTATTTGATTTTTACTGATTTTCTAATACTAAATTTTACATATTACACTTTTTCTCAAACTTCAAATTTTTATGTTGTATTAAGCAGATATATAGCTAAAAAATTAAAAAAATTTTATTTTGAAATTAGGTCCCCCAACAGAAATAATGCACCTAGAATACGCGTTTTTTTATAAAAATTCTAACTTTGTAGGCCTATAAATCCCAAGAAAATTGTTTTAAATATTTTATATTTAGTTTATTTTATATGTATATTTAGAAACCTAGATTATACACTATACAATACCACATATGAAACTCATTATTAAATAATTACTTTTTAATGGTTTTATGTAAGCTCAAAATCGCCAATTTTGACAAAAAAAACACCATTTTTAAAGTCATTAAAGTTAAGAATTTCACAACAAATTTTTTTTTTAATGTTAACTTTAAGTTATAATATTATTAAGTCTAAAATTTTAATTTGATTAAGTATTGACTTAATCAATATTGGATAATCTGTATATTTTTTAACATTCTGGCTATTTTGTCATTTTTTTACATTGAAATAGCCATAAAAATGGGAAGGTCATAAAAAAAAAATTGTTTTAATTTAAATATAGCATAAAGAGAAAACCCTGAAAATTTAAGAAAAAAAAGAGGTGCCCGTGTAACCACTTCTGGATGATTTGGCATGGATTAACCCTACTTCTGTCTTCTTAATTACTTATTTAAATAACTTTAAACTTTAAGTTTTACTCATTTTATACTATGTGTATGCTTGTATTGAGAAACTAACTACGGTAAAGATTTATTTCTAGAAATAGGAATAAACATTTTTTAAATTACTAAAATACATAATTATTTGTATGTGTTATTCCACTATTAATAGTATGATAGTTTTCTTTAGTATATTCTATTTTGTTTAGAAAGAGATTTTTGACAAGGTATTATCAACAGCAGGAAAGACTAATGTGAAACAATTAGATGTAAATGTTTCTGATTTAGAACAATATGAACAAATTTACATAGATGCATTAAAAGGCCTTAAAACTGAAATAACTGTGAGTTCTAAAATGTTTTTTAACATTTTATAATTTTTTTGATTTTATTTTTAATTTATGTTGTCTTAGCAAAAAGCAAAACCCGTCAGTAAAAAAAAATGGAAAAAATATAAAAAAATTGAAAATTGAAAACTACCATGGAAAAAGTGATTAAAATGTATGGTATAATGTCCATTTTAAAAGCTATTTTTTGTTATAATTTTTAAAAATAAAGTTTTTAAAAACATAATATCTGTATGATAAAATGTTTATACTTTTAGCTTTGATGCGTAGTTGAGAATCTATTGGTTTATTTTGCTGTGTATTTTGTTTGTATTTGCCATTATTCCCACTCCTATTGGACTGATTTTGTTCAACAATATGTATCTAAATGATGCTATCAACACAATAATATTTAAAAATTTGTCTTAGTTCTGGTATTAAAGAGGTATATCCTAAATTATTACAATTGTCATAAAATTATCAATGTTTATATTTTTAGTTTTTACTTTATATTGAAATAAATTTTTGAAAACTGAATGAATTATTGCGAAATTCTTATTGATAATCAGATATTTGCCTGTTAAATACTTTTTTTGAAGATTGAATCATTAATTATGGTACTTCAGAGCTTAAAAATCATAACAAAAATCTTGTCTTTTATTTTTTATTTATATTAAATTAAAGATAATACAATGCACTTCATAATGAAAAAAGAAATACTATCTGAAATCATAATTACAAGGAGTTATTAGGCTTAAAACCAAAAATCATAATTTTCAGTAAAATTAGATAATTTTGTATTCATTTGCATAGCAATGGAATTCTTCCATCATTATAAATTATTTCAAATTAAAGCTTGTTTAATGTAATATATAATTAAAAAAAGTAAAACCTTCTGGCGACATGTCTTATACGAGTATTAAATAAAAATATACGTATTATTTGGTAAATTTGATGTGTCTTTTACTTGTCGCGCATAATACTTAAAATATGAACACCGCATTGAATTAACTTAAAAAAATGTACTAATGGATGGAATAAATTTATCTTTTCCTGTTATTGGTAAACAATATATTTTTTAGTATTAAGCATTCAATTATGTAGGTACGACATGTGCTATTGCATTGTAAAGGGCGTCATTTTTACCATAAGAAAACATGTGCAATTCAAAATTTACAAATTATTTGTTACTACACTAGGGTCTCGTAGTGCATGGTTCTTTCAATTCCTTTTAAACGTGAAGCTCTTTTATTAAAAATAAAACATTTTATACTTTAGTATCTATTTTTTCACTATAATATAGCGATATTATTGTTATCAGTTATAGTGAATAGCGAAAATGTAGTACGATTTTAAAAGAAAGATAAATGCTTCTTTTAAAATTCACATTATAATAACTGCTAAAAATAAAAGGAGAGAAAAAATAAGACATTTATGCAGAAGTTAATAAATTATTTTTATTAAAGCTTTGCATAGTGTTTATTGTAAGAAACTATTATTATTATTTACTTAAATAAGTTTATGTTGTCTGTAAAAGCTATTGCTTTCGCAAGGGAAAACAGGAACCCTATATAGACCAATCATAAAAACATAAAATTTATTCGAAAAATGTTCATTTTTGAAACAAATAATAATAATTAAAAATTTTAGTAAGAAAATCTTAAAAGAAGCTATTATGCGTTTATGTACTACTATTATAGCCGTCCGTACGCCTCAAGCTGACGAACTATTAATTAGTAGTTAAGTCATAACTTGCAAGACATTGGGACACCACAGATTAGAGAACGTATCACTATTCCATTTCGTACTGCCAGTAAATTATTCATCAACAAAAATAAATAAATGCAGCTGTATCAAGTTACATAATAAATAATTTGGTTGCACTAGTGTAGGCACGTAGAGTTCCAAGTGCTGACACAATCTCGTGTCGCTTCGTGGTACACGATGCCCCGCGCCACGTTTATCCCTTCTACGGGTATTGAGTAGTTTGACCAACACCGCGTGTTTACGCGAACGGTGCAAAGTTCAGCAAGCGCCGCACGGCTGACGACGACCCGCCGCAAATGACACGTCGAGTCTTCTTCCCGTCGTCAAAGTGACGACGTCGAGGATGTACGCCACTGGCTCCCGGGACCAGACCCCACAAATCAACCCGCACCCGCGCACCGTGGCCATCAACGCTGCTAACTTTTTGACGTCCGAAGACCGTACCGGACACCGCGTCGCCGACGCCAGCGAAAGCGCCGCGATATCATGCGAAGATTATTGTGAATTGTCTTCGTCTTTTCGGTTCTTTTATTTAAATAATCTCTTGTTGTTAATGAGTAATAAACGGCCCACGGGTGTCTACCTTCAAAACCAGTGTCGACTACATTATTGCGAATTAAGTCGTGTCAGTGCCAGGTAACAGTTTCGATGGGCAATCAAAGACCAAAGTTAGTCTTGAACCAAAATCTAAAATCACAAATAGAGAGAATAAAAGAAAGGATTGAATGGTTGATGCGGTTTGAGCTTTTAGCAAAATCAGTGTATACAACATTTATTTGCCATTTGTAGCAAAATCATTAAAACATATAAGAAGAAAAAACTAGATTACATGTTGTGTAGCAGATTGACCATAACAAAAGCCATGCTGCTGTTTATGTTACCAATATTCTTATAAATAATTTTCGGTCATCTCTATGGTGACTAATCACTGTCAGATAACATCTATACTTATCCCAACTATGCCACGTCCACACTGTGCGCGACCCCACTTTGCTGGGTTGTTTTTTATTTACATAACTATAATGAATATAAATAAAAAATGGCTTATACAAACTTTAAAACAACAACTACAACCCCATTTTTAACTTGAACAACTATAATTGTAACAAATGTGAAAATGATTAAGTCATTTCAATGACACCAGTACAATTATTTTTTTTTAATAAAAATATTGCAGATTATGAGAGAGTCTATTTCAAATTTTAATAAGATGAAAGACAAACCCGTCAGTAAAAAAAAAATGAAAAATGAAAATTGAAAACTGCCTCGGAAAAAGTGATTAAATGGTTTGTCATAAAGTTTATTCTAAAAGCTATTTTTTGTTATAATTTTAACAAAAGAGTTTTTAAAAACATAATTACTATTACGATAAAGTTTTATTATTTAATTATATGTAATTGTTGAAGGATGTTAAAATGTTTGAAGGATTTAAATTAATATTTTCTTCTAAAAATAAATTCTTTTCTCGTGTGATGAGTAAAAAAATAGTTTTTATTGCCTATTAGTTTTATAGATATTATTAATTTCAAAAGGGCTTATGCTATCAGTTATAATTGTACGATTTCTTTGTAGAAACTAGATACAGAAAATCACATTTGAATACTACTTTTTGTAAAATGCAGTTCCCTATTTGGTTCCATAAAATGTTTATACTTAAATTAAACAATAGTAACAGAAATAAATTGATTTAGCCATCTATAAGTTCATCAATTACAATAACTTAAAAAAAAAGAAGTCGATTATTTTATGTTTATTACTGCTATTTAACTCCACGACGATCGCCTTAAGGTTCCAAAAAATCTGTCTTCTTCAGTCCTACATAATTTTAAGTTAATTCAATACACTTTTAGATGAAAGAATAAAGCCAAAAATTAACGTACTAATTGACGAGAAACTTTTAGGACTCATTGTTCTTCTTAAATTTTTGACGTCTATTTGTAAAAGAAATGAGTTTTTCTGAACAAAAAAAAAATTTTTTAAGTTTATATTAAAAGTGCATTTTATCCGAGTTATTTTTTTACAATGGGTAAAATGTTTTGATTCGCGTATACATATTTTTTATAAATGCTATCACGAAGAAAGTATCATAAATTGGTGTTGTTGTGTTATTATTTCTTCAACAGATAAATAAAAATAGATATGTTTTAGAAACTGCGTATCGCCGGCGGTGAACATCGAGGGGAGACAATTCGCATTGTGTTGGTTTTGAAACGTTAAAGTTTAATGGCTTTTAGCCATTCGGGAGAGGATGTACCGGCCACGCCTCTGCTACCACAACCAAAACACAACATATACACAATGAATTAACGACATTATTTAGACCCATTAGTTACCCAAAATTACTTTTCTTTTAATTCCCCGTTGTGTCGTTCTCAAACAAACCGTGTAGTTTCTGTGCTCTATAGTTATGGACTTGAGCAATTCTTTTGTTAAAAACTGTGACCACAACTGAAGCGATTGACTTGGAGAAAAATCAAAAGCAACATTGTTTAAGTGTTAAAGTAAAGAAAATATTGTTTAACGAACCTAAAATGTATTATTATGTGATATAATTATTATACAAAAAATGTGATTGAATTTCGGTTAACAACTTTCAGCTTAAACGGTTCTTTTTGTAAATTTTTATTGGGTTGGGTTCAAAAGAAACTTTTGGAAAAAACTTTATTTTTAAAATAAATTACGGCTTTATACTCACTGAGTTTAATACTTGATCGAAAAATTGTATTTTTTTCCTACAAAATTATGTCAAGTTCTTTTTCTGAGTAAAATCTACAAAATATATATTTCTTTCAAATTTTTACATGTGCTATTGGATGATATTTTTATTAAATAATATTATAAACAAACGATATCAAAAAAAATATGTACTGAACATAATACATAAAAAAAAAAATAATAATAATTCAAGTTCAGTCCATTAAGGTACTATGATGTAGTTGGGTTCCGGTGAGCAATTGTGGTTTAGACGATTCGATTGGAGCTACTGAACTGCAGGTAGCATGGCGAAGGTGCGCAAAACCAGAAGCGCATTTTTCCAATTGCTGGTGTCTGCTCCTTACAACAAATCTGCTGACGTGCACCGGGATAGGAACTACTATTTTAGTGGCATTTCCACCACCGACCCCGCCATTGCATTTGGCTCTTTTTGGGCCGTTACCCGTAATGTGGTCATTCTTGTGTCCGCGGTTGTCTCCACAAGATAAGGAAGATGCAGAAGTCAAGAGACTCGCCTTCACTCGTTTCCACTTAGCCCGACGATTTTGAAACCAGATTTTCACCTAAAATATATTGACAAAAGAAATCGGTTCAAGTATTTGGTATAGAAATATAAAGCATGCTTATTGTTAACTGAAAAGGTAAATTTGTGTTTTTGATAACAGAATAGATTCTGATGATGATTTAATATAGTAAACTAACGACAAAACAGTAATTTTATTGGGAGGCGTGACTATGTAACGTTCCTAGGGGTAAAATATCACCTATTTTTGTGTCATATTTCGGCAATGCCCCGGCCATCAAACAACTGAAATATCCCATTAACAGAGTTTTATAGAACAAAGAAAGCGAAATAGCTTTATTTTGGAAATGGTTAATAAAAACAAGAAATCTGCGAACAAATATTTTTACTTTATTTTGGCCAGAGGGTAAAAATTAGCTCGAGTTTATAAGTTAAAACACACATAAAATAATATGCTTAAATTTGGAAAAACATGGACTTAATATATCACTGGTGTAATTATAGGGTATAGTGTCATAGACTTCCATGACAAAAATAATTGCACGATGAAGATACATTTTTTTATCGTTTGGAGAGGGTAGTGAACATTATTTTATACATATCGTCTACGACAATACCCTAATTGTGCTACTGTATCGTTTATATGTTAATAAACGCGAGTGAACATTGACAATAATTGTTATTACAACACAAGACTTTTAGAGCCTTTAAATTTTATAAGCTTAAACGGTAAGAGAAAACTACTTCATGGCTCCACAAATTTGTCGTGTTTTTTGAGAGACAAGGCCATATGGTAACAAATCTCCTTATTCTAGTATCTAGACTTGTGGAATAGAATTTGGGACAACAGACAAATTTAGACATATAGACAAATTTTTCAAACCCTATCTTTATAATCACAAGTCAGTAATAATAAATTCAAAAAAATACTTAGCTCTAACAAAAATTTAGATAAATTATGTTTCTTTAAAAATAATTTTTTTGAAAAATACTTTTCAAAAAATGAGATTTTATATTTTGTATTTCCTTAAAGTTAGCTATGCTATAATGAATAATAAAAACTACTATAAATAGGAAGAACGTGGTTAGAGATGTATGTAGGAAAGTGCTTTGTGGCAATTTATCATGTCTTAATATAATATGGTAGTATCTCTTTTTTGTCAGATTATCCTTTTATTTTTTTTCAACTCAATCATTGTATTCTTATAATTAACCGAGCTTCTTTAAATGAATGTAGCAAAACATTTCTAGATAGATTTAAGCTTACTGACTAAATTTGGCATAGGTTTTTAATTTCTAGCTTCCAATCAATCGATAGTTACATTAATTGTCCACCTTAATAATAATGCCCTACACTGAATAAAAAACGTTAAACATTTCATAAATACTAAGTTAAATAAATTAAATGTTTACTATAAACCAATTAAATCTATACAATTAAATCAGTCATATAACTATAAATGCAATTAGATTAAAATAGATGCAATAAATATTCTTATAACTTAATTGTAACAATGTGTGCAAAAGAGCGACAGATCGAAATTTGCAGTATAAATAAAGTTTGACGCCAGTAGCGTCATTACAATTTTTGAAAGGAGCCAACATAATTTTTTAAAAATGTTTGCTTGTGATTTTAATATTACATACTCATATATAGAATGTTCAGTAAGGAAACTGGTTTCTATTGTTTTCGTTGTTTGTAACTGATCTGTTTCCTTATTTATTGAACACTGTATATGAGTATGTATATCAATCATATTATGATTGATTGTATTTCATGAAAATTTTATTTTTGTGAACAACTAATCAATTTTATAGAGGCAAATGCTCAACTTGTCCCTCACAAATGACGCTACTATATATAGTTAATTACTCATAAAAATTTGCAAATTGCTTGTATAAAATTTGACTTGAACTTAATATAAATGCTTGAAACAAAGTAGTACACAGTGTAACGGTTATTAATAACAAATTCGAATTTTTAAAGTCATTTTCCTTAAAAATTTCATTATAGAACGTTATGTTTGATTAAAAATATTTTCCATTTCTTTATCATTCCTAAACTTTTTTATTAACAACTTAGAATTTGTAATCATGAATGATTTTTTTTTTTTATTTACCATAATTCTGACAAATATAAATAATATTTAACAACAAAATAATAACAGTAAAATATTTATTACCTGAACTTCACTGAGTTTCAACGAATTTGCTATTTCCGACCGTTCTGTAAGACTAAGATATTTTTTAGATTGAAATTCTCGTTCTAGTTCCAACAATTGTCCGCTAGTGAATGCAGTTCTTCTTCTACGACTTTTGCTATCCGAAGATCGATTAGAATCGGTTGGTTTTACTTGGGACACTTCGTTTTCGGAAAAATGGTTTTCTGGAGAGATTTTTTAAAATTATTTTAACAATTAAACGTAACACGTCATTTGCTTAAATTTCTAGTTCTAATGACAAGAATCGATTACAAATTTGTTCAATACATACCTGTCGACTGATTTTCGGCAAGCAAGTCATTTTGAGTCGACTTGGGAGTTGAGCTTCGGTCGCTTTCGTTTAATGTAAGCGGTAAAGGAGATGAAGATGGACCTATTGCGGATTGTTGAACGCTGCGAGTGTCAACACCTGATGGAAACACTCCTGTGAAGTATGGCCACGTTGTCGATCGGTGTTGACTGTGCGCTTTAAGAACATAATCCAATTTTGACGACAGAGATTGATCGGATTTATGAAGTAATCCACTACGGAAAAACAATTCGGATAATCTATACCGTTTATCTATTTCCGCGGTTTGATTAGTTTTGTTGTTTTCACAATCGGTCCACTGTTGTAGTATGTCATGAAGTAAGTGGTTTTCTACTGATGATATGTTTGCTACCGAACGAGTGGCTAAGATTTTTGGTGCAGGACTTGTTGGTGGCTTTGTAGTTTCTGTACATTCGCCGATTAATGAATCTATGGAGAACGGTCTGAAAGTTTTATGAAACTTTTGAGCGATTCGTGATGAACTGTAGTTGTCATTATAATTATCGGTGATCGATTGCGATTTTTCCATATTAATATTAAGTTTAAGAACATAAAATTTATTGGAAAAATACGAGAGAAATCTGTAAACATGAACTAAACAATTAAATTTTTATATTTGTTTATAGTTTATTGGTTTTCCTTCAATTATGAAAAAATGTTCACTGAATTCTATTCGGTTTTAATTATTGGTACAAACTATTAATTATGCTCGTATACTCACACTCACTAACTTAATAGTTCGATCATTTTTAAATACACCATTTTATTACAATTTCAAAACAAAAAAGCCGATGATTAATAGCATTTTGAAGAAAAATACATGAATATCGAACTTAATTTACGCGATGCGAAATTTCGGGACATTCTATTTAAATTTTTTAGTAAATATACTTAATTTAAAAAACACACTTGGAAATAGATAATTTTTATTCGAATAGACGTGCAAGTCAACTGACGAACATCAAGCAGCATCTGCGTCTGTAACACTGACATGTGCAGATCACGACTAAAGTTTCGATGCGGACCTTTTCGTAGTCCCGCCTTCAAAAGCACAAACTAAAGAGTCTCATTGGTCGTTAGTAATAACCCAATCATCAACAATTAACCGTTGCAGCTTCACCGCTCGACCCAGTGAGATAATTGTTATACTGTCTCGTTGATATTCTTTCTCGGATGTCTATTTATACTTTTGTTAATAGAAACATTTTAGTTATTCACCTGCATAAGCATTTAAATATTTGACAACATATTATTCACACTAAGTGACAGTGACACGCAAACAATTTCAGTTAAACGTTTTTCGTGAAATTTTCGAGTAAATTCATTTGCCTAAATTGCATTTGACAATTTCAATTTACTGTTATTTCTACTAAATATCTTTCATCAGTGAAGTTAATTCAGTAGTGTCAAATTTAAATTGAAGAACAGAGTGACAATTTTAAGTGGTTGTATATATAACTATCAAATAATAATTTATCTTTTAAGCAATAGAATAGTAAATATAAAAAAAGGCGTCTATAATATAATTTTAATTTGTTCCGACGATTTACCTTCTATGTGCAAATGGTTGCCGTAGTTAAAAAACTTGCAATTTTGAGTTAAAAATCGCTAATTTTCGACATTTTCTCAATTTTTTTTACTTAAAACTGCCATAACTTTTTCAAAAATGAACAAATCAATATAATTTTTTTTTTTATAGATGCTTGATGTCATTACTTATCATTTGGTATATTTTTTTTTGTAAATCTGACACTTAACCTGCCCACAGGGGGGGATTTAAAATGACAAATTTTTCACAAAAAATTTACTTTTTCAACTTGATTTTTGACAATGTTCCGGAAGGTCTGACATTTTTATATATTTCTTAAATTAAAGCTAATGTAATGTACTTTGTTATGAAAAAAAAAAAATGTCGGACTTTATTTTATCTTCACGGTGAAAATGGCTACCGAATGCTATTATTGTGTGAAAATTCTCGATTTTATTTTTTACATTTTTAACTTTATAATGCTATGACATATTGAAAAGTGTATGGATGAACATTATTTTTTTATGAGAAATAATATTTTTTAATAATCCCTTTTTCATTCGACATACTTTATCTTAATTAGGATATTAATAATGAACTAGCAGATTATGTAGCTTTTGGAGTAATACACCAATTTTTTAAAATTAAACACTATCTAAAGATTTGCATCGAAGCGTTTTTTTTTTATAGTGATTTTAATCACTGTCAGATATCATTATACTTGATCCAACTATGCCACGTCATCTCTGTGCCTCAACCCCCTTGTGCTGGGTTTTTATAAATACTTAATGTTTACTTCTTATGTTTGATATACTTTTTTGTTTTTAATTAGACCATTTTATTTTATACAGGGGGGTTTAAAGCTTATTAATACGAGTAAAAAGTAGAAATTTTTCAACTAAACTTTTGAAAATGTACCGGAAATACTTCGAGTTTGAATCATATGTTAAAATAAAGCTTATTTTATGTACTATAAGTTCAAAAAAAAATTTTTTCCCGACGACATTTTTTCTAATAGCTAATGTGAAAATGGCTATCATGGTTAAAAAACATGCTATTTGTTTGTTCAAATGTTATTTATTTTTTTGTTTACTTTAAAATACTTTATAAGGGTTTGCCATAGTAATGTGACCGCCAATTTTATAAAATTTACATGAATCTAATATACAATAAATATAAATTTAAACTTATTTTGATTATTTGCCTATTTAAAGTTAAGAAAAAAAGCTGCTTTGAATTTTTGAACTAGTTTTAAATGTCATTTTTACCTACAATTTCATGTAATGCACGATGGCTGCGTCGAATACATTGCAGTTTTTTATGTTCGGTATTCGAGATTTCAAACTCCACCCCTTGAAAGAATTTTTTGTATTTTTTTCTTATTTATTTTTTAGGTGGAAATAAAATTCAAAATCGTTTGATTTTTCATCTCATTTAGATTGTATAACTTTAATGAATATCAAGGACACCATCACTGTAGTCTACCCTTATGAGGAGAAAATTCTAATTCGCATTAAAATATTTTACTATATGGTTTTTTTGTGTTTGTCATTTATTTTCCCAGCTCTCACTTGACCAACTTTTTTAAACATTACGTCAAATGATCATAGAAAGTGTCTAGTTAAAAATATTACCCTCCTCGATTTTGAAATAATTCACCAATTTCTTAAAATTAAACACTATCTACAGATTTGTATCGATGAGTTTCTTATGATAGTAATTACTGTGAGATATTATCTATACTTGTCCTAATTATGCCACGTCCACATTGTACCACGACCCCATTGCCCTACAGTTTTTTTCTTCAAATTTATTAAAAGAAATGTCAAAAATTTCAGTTATACGAATAGTAAGCAGTTTGCTAAAAACATCTGATAGTGACGTAAAAATTAATTTTATCTCTATTTTAGTCGAATATTAGTAGATAACTCATCAAATATTTATTATTATTATTTGATGAATTTTATAAAATTAATATAAAATATGAAAAAATGAGATATTATAAAAAAAATACTTTTGGGTGGTCAATTAAAACCTATCGAATTTCACTGTCCTATTAAATAAATGTTATCTTATTTTTATACTCACGATGGAAATATAAAAAAAAACAGTAATAAAGTATAATGTATAACTTATTTTATGCTAATTTTTCTTAAAATTTAACGATATAAAATAAAAAATTATTTAGATCACTATAAATTTATAATTTAAAATTAAAACTCTCAAATATAAATCTATATTAACTATACCGAATCCTCATAATGTTATCTGTACTAGGTTTTTCGATTATAATACTATAAATAGCTACATCTTCTATATAATTTTCATAAATGCACTATTTTTCTTCGCATAGATTATGTGAAATTGACTTGGGCGATTTGAAAAATCTCAATAATAGTTCTAGGAACTCGAGTAAACTATTCAAGCTTAAGTTATCGCCTAATACTAAACCAATTACAAAATAAACTTGTGTAATAACGAGAATTCGGTAGAAATACTGACACATTTTTCAATGCAGTTTATTTCATCTATTAAATGTAGTAAACAAGCATCATTACGTAACTCTTTAATATCATTTGTTTTAATTAATTCTGATAAAAAGATATTTGTTAGTTTAGAGTTTTTTCAGCAAGGTAAAAGATATAGTAAACAACAGACGTAAACTCAAAGCCTGTAAGTGATTGAAGTGGATTGTTTATTTCTATATCATCAATATATAAAAAATATGAGAAAACTAACTTTTTTTCATACTAACTTATCTTTTTTCCCCATAACTATTATTGTACAAAATTAGAAAGAGCATCATAGTGTGCTCTATTTTTCATATTTTTTAAGTTGTCACCATGTTTTTATGCGTTTAAATGCATAAGAACACTTTAACAAATGCTAACTGTAATTCGATGTACCCCAAGATTAACAGTACACAACTAATTATTTATAGTAAATTGTTGTGTAATAGAGAATAGTTTTCTTTCAGCAATCAGCCAGTGTATTAAACGATATCAGTGTTGTAATGCAAAAAAGGATTTTTTAATTACTGATTCAAGATTATTGAATTTACAAAGTGTAATGTGATCTTGAATTTAATTACACTACTAAGTGCTATATTTATATTCCTATAAGCTGTACTTCAATTATTTAAACAACATGCTTAAGAATAGCTTAAACAAAACTTATTGATAAGAATCGTAAATATATTAATGAATCTTATGAATAAGTTTTATACAATTTTTAACAGTTGTATTAAAAATGACCCTAAAACTTCATAGTAATCGAGTACGTAAATATAATTGAAAATAAAATAACCTACCAGAAACAAACTCCTCGTGACGGTTCTTCATACAATGTAAATATTAAACAATTGAATAAATGATTTCATATTAAAACATAATAATTTATTTACAATATGTATCATATTAAATTTGATCAGTAAAGTTATAAATAGCTTAACAAAAAATATTCGAATATTAATTTATAATTATTTTTAAAGGTTATGTTCGTCGCCTTTTATTATTTTATTGTGTCTAAGCTTAACATGTTATGACGATTAAACGTCAACATGTCATTCTATTGCCGGCGTGTCCTATGGGTTCACTTCAATTAAAATCTTTCTAGAATCAATTTGCAGTCATTAATGTAACAATAATAATAATTTAATACAGTCATAATCACTACGATACATAAAACACTCAAGGGGAGGCGCAAGTGAAGTGATACAGGAAATCACAAAGCCCATAATACGTTTCACGTACTGCCACTTAATATATGTGTGTATATATATATATAAATTATTGCAATATTAATACAGTGTTTATGTAAATGGCGAATTGATATTATGCAAATGGCACGCCAAAGTTAATGGAGTTAAACGTAAGTTTGACGCATTGACAAGCCAAATGTAACGCACAGCCGAGCATTAACTACAACCGCTATTACTACCGTCATATACTTACCACAAACCGGAAAGGGGCGTTGGGACGAGGGGGAAGGCAGTCGGATCATAAGAGTTGGTTGACAAACATTTTAATGTGCCGGGGAGAGAGGGTGAATATTATTCACATAATATTATTCACNTTGACAAACATTTTAATGTGCCGGGGAGAGAGGCTGAATAACTTAAACGAGCGGTGCGCCGCAGAAAAATAAGTCTCGGCGTTTATCATATTGTTGTTGTTATTATCGTAAGTATCATATACGTTATATTATTGAATATTAGCACAAGAATAGGACGGAAATAGCAATTTCACTGAAGCTACTCTGTACTACGTTAGAGCCATGAGACAAAACTACATTATTGATTATCAACTCTATTCCCACAATTTTTTTTTACTTCCGGCATTTGTCACGACTAACCTCTTTTATTCGTCGTTCTTTAATGTTTTTCATTTCGTTTTTATACAATTGTTCTTCTTAAACATTCAATTACTTCTGGAATAACAACGCAGGACGACAAATAACAACACATTTTTTTATTGTTTACAATTTTCATATCAACTCCCTAACGAATTTTGACGCCGATTCTGAATCTGGTTTCACATTCTTTCTATCTCGTCTAATTTTTGAGATAATCCCTAATTAAAATGTATTCATAATTGCACAGCAAAATCTTTCCCGTCAATTTTTACTGATTTTTGGGATCTTTTGACTTAAAGTGTTATTTTTCAACAAAAAAATAAAAGCTCAACTTTAAAGTTTAATTTCTTTTTTTATTTGATCAAAAGTGTTTTTTTTTTTTTTAATCATTAGTTTTATAAAATGATATATATATATAATGTATGTATATAATATATGTAACGTATAAACAATGATTGCGTAATAAACTCATCCCACTTTTAACCCTGTTTAATGTTCAAATATGTAATTTATTTCATGAAAAATTTAATACTACATTTTTAAGAATTAATAATTTTTTATACAAATTTATTATTTTGAAAGAAAATATTTTTACTCATAATATTAAGTTGTGGTTGTCTTTTAAGAAAACTAAAGAAATCATCCAGACAAAAGATATTTATATCACAAGGATGTAGTGGTTGTAGTGCTTTAAATTTTAAAAGAGAAACATCAAATTATACGCGAGGTGGAGCTGTGCATACTCTAAAAATCACACAAATAAAATTATTTTGTTAAAGGGAACTCTTTTTAACCACAATTAGAGGTAGGGGACTAAGCATTTAACTCGTTAACTCCTTACTAAGAAAACATTTATTCATTATTATCAGAAATATTGTACATAAATTTTAATTTTATATTTAAGTAATAATAATTGAGCTATTATTTTTTGTAAATCTTTATAACGCTTTATTGTTTTAATATATTATCTAAAAATTATTTTGTAAATTTAATTAAAAAACTTTAATTACTTGTCAAAAATGTAATTAAATTAAATAATTTTGTTACTGTATAGTTATTTTTTTTAGAATAACAAGAAATTTCAATTACTTTATTACCCTAGTCTGAAGTTCTATAATATTCGCAAGAAATATAAATGATTTTGGATAGCGAAATAATGAAACAGAGCCGGATTTACTTTTATACATAGAAATCTCATACATTTTGAGAATTTTTTAAGTTTACCGCATAAAATTATGGATTAACATAATTTTTAGCTTCGATGTGAAGCTGAGAATTTTTATGTTTATTTAGCAATAAATTATAAATGTTATGTAAATAGGTAAAAAAATTTTTTTTTTGTTTTAGAAGAAATATAGTAGTTAACAATAAATCAATTAGTGTGTTTTTTCGGAGAAATTTTTATGCTGATTATATTTTATTACTCAGAGGGAAAACAATTTTTTTTCATTACGGATCATTTTTAAATTTTGCCACCTAAAGTATTACTTAAACACGCATCAGCGTAATTCTCCCACTGTGTGGGGTAACAAAATCCCAAATAACAGATAAGGGTTATATTAAAATATATTAAAAAAGACATGCCTTTTTTGCTGTTACTCAAGAGTAAATAATCGTACATATCCGATTCTTGTATTTCGTCATTGCCACTCAGCTGGACATTGTTGTAGTTCGCACAAAAAAATTCATAGAGAGTACAGGTTTTATTTTTTGATTATACTTCCAAACAAAAATTTATTTATTTTATTTATTAAGGTTTAGATTATATGTGTTTATTTAGAGAAGCGAAATGCTTTGTATAAATACGCAACTTATTTCTTCATCACAAAAACGTGTAATATGCAAAAAAAAAGATTATTAATTTATGCAGTATACTATGATTTATTCAAAATCGCTCGATTTTGTCATATGTAATTATTCAAATAATTTATTTAAAGGGTAAAAACGTTATATTTTGTAACTACTTTCAACTTTGAGTAGAACAAGTTCAATTACATATTGATTTAAGTAGTTTGTAGTAGGGGAGAAGGCTTACGCCCCCATACTTCCTGACAGTTTTTAGAAAGGGTCCAGAGGAGCATGTGTTCCCCATTGATCCTACTGTTATAAAAATGTTTTTTGCATTTTTATTTTTGCTCATTATCAGTTCAAATTAAGTGAAACAATTTTCATGGTAACTTTTCAATTATTTTTTGTGCCCTATTCAATTATTATTTCTAAATACATTTCTTTCGTCCTAAAAACTGGATGTAAAATATATAAAAAAAATAGTAACTTATAATTTTACATTAATTTTTATTTTACTTTTGACGTATTTAAAAGTTTCAAAATAATCCTCCAAGAAAAAAATTTGTATTACTGGGATAAACTTACAATGTGTAAAATAAATATATGCTTTTACTTTTATTAAATTTTATGTACTTAGAATGTACTATAACTTAATATGTTTAAAGGAATGAACTTTTTTATGTTTAGTTTTAAAAATTAAGCTAATAAATATTAAATAATAATTAAAAATTTATTTTTATTGAAATCCAGTATATTTCAAAGATATGTCATTTAAAAAATTATTATCAAAGTTAATAATCGTCATTAAATATGAAAATATAATTCAATTATGAGGTGATATAATTTATTATTTATTAATTTAACAAAAAATTTAATAGAATAACAAATTCACACTATTTCTATGGCTATTTTCCAAAAGTTTATATATCCCTATTAACATTTCAGGAGAGTAAAAACAAATTAAAACTTTTTGTGGTGTCTTAATTTCTATTTTTGAAGTACATAAACAAACTATCTTAATAAAATTGACTTAGTTTATTGGAAAATGACATAACATTTACCTTTATATAAATTATAAAAAAATCTCAAAAATTAATTTGTGACACATTAGCTTCTGAATACGAGTCACAAAATGATATCTGTAAATTTATATTTTTCAATTTTTGTTTAATGAAAAAGAAACTGCTATAATATCAATTTTGCTAAATATGTTCACATTTAATTGATAATTTTAAATGTTTATATTTTACAATAAAAGCAACAAATAGTTTTAACTTTAAAACTTATTCATATGAATACTTCTCACAATTTATTTTCAACTTGCATCAAAGTCCAAATTACTAAAATCCACACGACTACAATATAAATCTTGAAACCTAGAATTATTATTAAATTAATACATTAAATTCTTTCTTCATAATAAGTTTTATGATTAACCTGGTAACTATTTTCATTGTAATTAAATATTTTACTAAGAACATTTCATTGTTGAATTCATAATAAAGTGTTCTTTTTTATACTCTCAACTATTTCACTGAGATGAAATACTTCTGGAATTATATGTTGATGTCAAGATTCTGATAAAAGCCTTTGATAATGAGGCATTATTTCATGAATAGGTATATGTAAGCCAAACTCAAGAGCCACTAAAACCCCAAATTCAGAGACCATAAGATCTTTTCTATTCAAACGAAATACTATTTCTGTTCTCTAAATTTAAAATAATAATTAAGTTTTTTGAATATTTAATTTAAAGAATATTTATTTGTTACCTCAATTAAATTAGTTAAGAGTTCTCCTTTCATATCATTCAATTTTGCTGACAATATTATACAAGCTCCGGCACAAAGCTTTCGATTTTCTTTGTTGATTAATTTTTTTACAAGTAAACGTTCAAAGAATACATAAGCTTGAGCAATGGTCAATAAATCAGAAGATGCGTCTGGTTTAGTGATTTTCCGCATTTCTCGTTTAATACTAAAACATGAAAGTTTAAAGTTAAATTAAAAATTTTAAGGATTTTTAATAACTCTTAAACTAATATAATAAACTAAACACTATATAATTTTTTTTTTGCTGAATTCCACTGATTCTACACCAACAATATACACTAAAAAAGTGATTAAAACTGTAAACACACAAAGATAAGAATTCTAAGATAATATTATTTAAGATTTTTTGATAAAATGTGTTTAAGACATTTTTTTTTTTTTTTTGAAAATTGGATATTTTACTTTGATATATTAGCTCATGAAAAAAGAGTTTTTTTGTAGCTCTTTTAACAAAACCCCTGTAGATATATTTGACGCATGAATGTGTAAGCCATGTTGATATAAATTATCAGTATCTATTTAAGATTTTATTTAAAGAGTATTTTAAAACTGATACCACCTATTCTATTGTTATTTTACAAATATTTTTATTAAATCAGTAAATAAATGATTATGAAATAAATAATAATTATTTATACTAACAAATAATAAAATATATGAAAATAAAAAAAAATATTTAAAACATTTTTTTTGATTTTAACTATTAGTCACAGTGATCAATTCTTATTATATAACAAATAGTATGTTAGCAATTACAAATATTATAATAATTGTTATGAAACTCAATGTTTATAATTTACCTAACAATGTTCATGTGTATCATATTTTAGCTGTTAATAATTAAAAAGTAATTATTTTGGTTAAAATATTGTTTTAAATTAGCATTGAATTTAGTAAAGCGGAAACCTCTATGGCATTAGGCACACTATAGAGTATATAGCAGTATTACAACAGTACTAAGCTTTGCTGTGTAAGACCTTTCTTAGGTTTCTGTGAAAATAGCTTGGATATATAACAAGAAAGAATAACATTATGAAAATCAGGGATCCAATTAAGGAAAATATGAAAAAATAAAATTAAAAACAACGAGGCCTTATAAAAGATTGTTGGATTGTTTTTAAAAATTTTAATAATAGAAATACACATTTAATGATGAACAATGGTAGTAGTAAGACACTCTATAATGAATAATAAACTAGCAAAAACTTGAAAGAAAAGCCAACAAGCAGAATCCAGTAGTCATTTTATTGTTGATGACTAAACATGGAAAAATTAGAATTATCTTGTGAAAGCAGGGTCTAATTAGAGAAAAATTGTATGAACAAGAGTGAAAACAGCAAAGCTCCATAGAACTAAGTACATTACACTACAATAAAAAAAGATTTTTATCATAAAATTTGCTTTGGGTTGCACACAACGGATTATAAGATCAGAGTGCATGGGCAGTGACTTTGTTCACCTTCCTAATAAATAAAACTAAACTAAACTTTTTAAGCTTTGAAACAAGCAACTTTTTTAATCTGGACCTAGTTAAAATCGTTTTTAGTTTAAATATTTTTTTATTGGTTTATTTACCTTCTCAATTTACTTAAAGTCAATTCAATGTGTGGAAATTTGTCTTGGAATTTGTCATTTAATTCTTTTTTAAGATCAGCAGGTCTCACGTAATCTATAATGGATGTCTAAAAATTAAAAACTAAAATATATTAACTAAATTGAATACAATAAAAATTAATTTAAATTCCTGATATTTTTACCAAAATATTATTTATGTCAATCATCTAATAAAATTATTAAATGAAAATGAAACTTAATTACTTGTCATTTTTAGCTAGATTATTATAATTAGTATAAAAATGAAAGGTATTTACTTTTTAAATTAAAACTTAAATATACTATTAAAATTTGTAAATAATTTAAAGACTATTTTTTATGATACACAATATATTATAACATTAAAATGCAGTTATATGAAATACTTCATTCTATATAATTAATTATAAATTGTATTTAAAAACCAGTAATGTAAATTTTAAATTAAAAAAAACTTATTATCATGATCTTAAAATTCACCATATATGATATAAATGTCAAAAGAGTCCTATGTTTTCCAGCAAAAAATTCTGGATCATCTAGCATATTTGGGGAGTATACTGTAGTGCTATTTTCATCTTGTTCAGGAATACCTAAAATTTTTTTTATAAGATGCTATTAATATAGTAATTATATAGATATTGGTTTTATAAACACAAAAGTTAATTATATTTTTACTAAAAATTAATACTAAGAAAAATTATTGATTATGACAAAACAAAACAACAGTTTTAGTAATTTTTAATCGTAGTTATTTGAAAAACTCAAAAAAAAAATTATAACCAGAGTATATAAGAAAGATATTATAGGTATGTATTAACGTTCACAGGTAGAAGTAAATAAAAAATATTATCATTCAAAGTAATCTTAATTTTTAGTCTTTACACACAATACCATAAACAAATATCTCAATAATCTCAATAAAAAGATAATAATATCTAATTGTACTTTTTGATAAGTCCATTTTTGGAGGTGATGAAGTAGCAACTGAGGTACACATTTTATAAGAACCACTGTTGATTAAAATATTTTCAGAAATATCAGCAGAAATGCATCTGAAATTTTAAAACAAGAGTTAATTAATTAACTTTTTAACATTAATTCATGATTTCTTAATAAAATAATTTATTAAAATCATACAAGAAATTTTATTTCATAAATATTATTTAAATAATAAATAAAGTTTTATAATAATGCTATCATAGTCAAGCAGACATATTGTAATTAGTTAAAAATATTGTTACATTAATGAAAAAGTTATACATTTAATTAAAAATAATAAATGTTGAATTCAATACATGCCAACTTTTTTAAAATTGTATATTGTTATATTTACTATAAGTTGATTATATAGTAATATATTTAGTTAATATTAGCAGAATTTTTACTAACCTGCTTAAACTGTGTGGTTTTAGTTGAACCGAATCTATAATTTCTTCAATTGGACTTTTAGTTTCTACATTACGAGATGGCTGTAGTAAATGACTATAGGATACTTCCTACAAAATTATTTAAACATTAAAAAAATAAATAAAATTAAAAAAAAATCGTATAAAATACTTGTTTGGAAAATGTTTGTTAAGGTAAATATGACATTTATCTTTACTTACATATATTAAAGGAACTAAAGAAAGGTTTCAAATTACTTTACTTTTAACTTTAAATGTAAAAATATGTTGTGCTGAATTCAATGATCAAAAAACATTACTAAATTTATAGTGTACCTGTCCGTCTTTTCCTTTCTCTAATCCAAAAAGGTCAAATGCATCTACTATATCATTAACAGCTGATAATGGTCTAGTTCCTGATGTTTGTCTTCTACGAGGGGGTTCTTTTTTTTGATCACAACGTTCACTTTATTTTAAAACAAATTTTATGTGATACTGATAAACTATTATTAAAATGTTCATAATTAACAAACCTTTTAAATGGTATCAGTGAATATATAAGAACAGGGGTTTTTTGTGGTGTCACCAATACTAATCGTTCATTTTTAAATTTATGTGTTGCTGTTGGACGAACAACTCTAATATCCATAGTTTTAGTTGGTTCATTTTCTTGAAAAGATGAACTTGGTTTGAACAAGCCTAAAACATAATATCTAATATACATCAAAACAATTTGAACATTATTATTCTTATGATGTATTTCTAAAATAGTAGCACAGGCTTTTAAGCTTGCAATTTGTTTATACAATAAAGGAACAATAAAGGGATATAATTGTCACCAAAATAAATTATAAAAAAAGAAGATATATAAAATGATAACAAAATTTTTAAATACAATCATACCGAGGCTTTCAGAACTGCTGTAGTTTTTACTATTCTTATTATCTGAAATTAATGGATTTGGCAATAAACGTTTACGACAATAAGCTGCCAGTCTTTTATGTTCCATCGTATTATCACTCCCAGTAGTGTTAATTCTGAAATAAATTATTTTTTGCACAAGGTAATTTTATTAATTCTAGTCACTCGTTATTTCTTGAAATAATAATTAAGTTCAGACAATTATTTTTGGAATTCTTTAGTTTCATTTATTTCCTGATTTACCAGTTATTAGTAACTATTTTTATTCATACCGTATAAAGGTGTTAGCTTTATATGGTAGTTTACAAATTTAACTAGTTTATAAAAAAAAAAATTATTTAATTAAGAAAATGAATGATCAATAAGAACTTTTGGTCTAATACTTTTAAAATATTAGCATTTTAAAATATAGACTGAAGGTTATTATTTTTATCATTAGTTATTTCTCAGTCGCTCTCCTTCTTCCATATAAGTGAAAAATGTTGAATATCTTCTGAAGTACTGGTCCAAAATTTGTTATCAACCATTATTTTTTTAATTAGATTATTTTCTATTTTCTAAGCTAATTAAATATGTTATTGTTATAAAAAATAAGCACTTTTATATGATATAAGAGATAAATTAAAAACGTAACTAATAACTGATAAATCAAGAAATATATGAACCTAAAAATTACGAAAAATAATTTTCTTAACAAAATTATTATTTAAAGAAAAATTGGTGAGCTTTTGTTAAAAGAATCAATCTGTATAAATGATTATATAGTAAATTTCAATGTAATCTTGTAACATAATACCTGTCACGAAATGGTGGATTTCTTGTGAATCTATCATGTTCCAACTCAAAATTATCATGCTTGTCATTTAATCCAGCTTTCAAAGGTGTAGAGGTTAAAGAACGAGTTTTTGTTAATTTAACAGTCGGATTAAATTCAATTTCAAAACCATCAATTATTATATCATTTTCACTAATTGTATCATCATCATTTGTGTCATTGTCAAGATATGAAGAATATTGCTTTGAAATGTAAAAATTATCTTTCATAAAAAGTGATTTATTAGTGTCTTTATGAGTGCCATCGAGAGATATATTAGAAAGAAATGACAAAGCTGCTATACGACGTCGTGAATTATCACCAGTAATGGAATGCATTTTAGATTTCTATAATAGTCTAAATTTTGTTTATTAATTACTTGAAAATTATTTCATACAATACAAAAGTCAAGATAAAATGTTTAAGAACAAAACCGATTACGTTCATCACAACATTCTAAAACCATAATTAAAATAGCTAATTATCAATAAAACAAATTAAATGTATAATAAAACTCTTAATAACATGATCAAAAAAGTTTGTTTTTTAAACAAATTAAAGACAGTTCATCGGAATTTAATTTTAATTCTAAAAGCGTATTATTAAACAGAAATTAAAAATTTTTATTTGAATTGTTTCAAACTCTATACAAATTAATTTAAGATGTACATATTATTTTATTACCTTATCTAAAACGGACATGATAACATCATTAACTGATAACGAGTTACGTTGATCGCGGTCGTTGATTTTCATAATTAACATTTATCATTGAAATCTTTAACGATAGTGGACACTTTTCTCATATTACCAAAATTTTCTAAATACCATTCGTTCTAATTAATACTTCGTATCATTGAATCTCGTTAACCTGGCGAAAAATGGGACTATTATAGTGTCGGACTAATAACGATAGATTATTTTATTTTAAGCTATATTTAAAATATTTACAACTAATATATGTACTCGATGGGTTGGAACACAAAAAAGGTATGTGAATTAAAAATTTTTAGGAGCTTTAGATTTAGTGACTCTATAATGGTTAATGTTAATTTAACATTATTTTTTTACTAAAAATAGCGTATTTAACATAAACTATTAGCGAACAAAAAAGCGGTCAGTTTTCAGTGCCCAAATTCGTCTTCAAAAACGACTAATTATATAAAAGCCATTGAACTTATCGATAGTCCCGAAACGTTTATATATTAATTTAATTATTTCCTACTTGATTTCCTTAAGTTACTTTTGTATATTGGATTTTAAATGCCTAGTTTTTATTGTAGAATGAACATTCCCTATTATGTACCATTCCATCACCAATGCTTCTGTGTAATAATTTTGATCTCATAGATTTTTTTTTATTGTTCACTTAATAATTTTACGTTAACATATTTTTAAAATCAATCGTGATTTCATTACGAATTAATTCATGAGAATTCATTGTGATATTAGTAACCTTAAATATTTTAATATATTTCTGAATATGTATCTTTAATTATATTTGTATTTAGTTTTTAACATCATGTTATAGTTTTTATGTAAATAAATAATTTTATTGTATGCTGACTCTGATAAAAATGAGCATTTTTTATAACACCCCGAATAAAATTTTTATCTTACATACTTACACACATTTTGATATTCTACATATTTAAAAATAAATAAATATCTCGTCTTTTTGTACAAATGTACTTGTAAAGTGTAAAGATATATTAATAATTACTAATTTCATGTCGGGCATTTTGTTTTATCGATTTGCAGTTATAGAAGATGACGTAATAAATAAGATAAATTACAAATTTTAATGTCACCATTTCGTCATTTGGGCCTGACAGTTAGGTTGATTTTTTTTACTTCTAAGTTAGTATCAAACTTAAGTACCTAAATTGTTAATAATTTTTGTTATATTGTTTGTAAGCGCAAATTGAAAGGGCTTAACCCATTCAATTTTCAATTTATCTATTCCGAAATTTAAGAAAAACTACACAGGATTGTATTTAAAAAAAAATTTGTGAGGGGGAAATTAGACATAGTCCCTTTCAAAAATGTAATTAAAATTGCACCAATGCTGTTCTCTTGGTCAAAATACGTCATAATAATAGTAGAAAAAATGGAAATTTTTACAAATATTAATATGCTCTAGAAATTTCATTAGAGTACAGAGATTTTATTATCAATTTTTTTCTTATAACATACACCATAAAATAGTTATTTTCAATTTTTTTTTATATAAAAAAATTTAAATAAATTTTTTTTATCATACTGTCCAGCGATAAGTTAAAATAAGTCGACCTAGAGTTTCCATGGTTAAGAAATCTCCTCTAGGGAGAGGCCGATATGGCCCTTAGTGGATTGAAAAGGCGTATTATAGTATAATAGTACTATACTCTAAAAAGATTTAAAAAAAAAAATAACAAAAAATTTTCAGACACATCAAAATGTATAGGATAGGTCAGAAAAAGCTGGAACACTCAGTATACATATTCATAATATCCCATCGTTTCCTGACATCTTCAATAACATTTGATATTTTGCGTTACTCTTTTTTTTACAGTTTTGGGTTACGTTAAAAGCATTATTTTTATTATTTGTCTCTAATAAGAGAAAATAAAAAAATTATTTTTTCTAAAATTTTATTGTACCCACTTTTTAGCCTTATTCTTATAAAAAATTTTGATGAATCAATTACAATTTTAAGAGAAGTAGTTATTGAGGTACAATAATTTAAATTTCACTACTTACATTCTTTAAAAATGTTTTAATATTTATAGAAATGGACTATGCAACATTTTTAAATGATATGATTTAAGCGCATTATAGTGCGCCAGGCCAAGTTCTAGCAATGTTAGTGTATCTTTCCCGGAAATAATTTTCGCGATTCTTCTTACCTCTGTAAATCTATTTTCTCTTAAGATAAACTTTGGAAAATAGAAATATAGAATGGAATTCAGTATCTTAGAACACTGTAGCAAACGTAGATCTTATAGTATATTGAGTGGAATTTTCCCAGATTATGGCACTGATTGCTTCAACTAGATACGATTTGTCGAAGTATTGTTAAGCAAAATCCGAAGTTAATATTACGTAAAATGTTCTAAAATAAAAAATCACACCCTCAACTAGTCATTATTTATATTGTTGTACGTGTGCGAATTCATTCGGCTTTATTTTCATACGAATTCAAAAATAAATTTTAATTATAAAATCGCCATTTAAAACAAAATTTGTCGAGTTTTCGAACTCGAGCTCTCAGTCGAAACATGTTGATTAAATTTGATAGCAAAAAAACGTCAATAAAAACAATCAACTATTGGTATTATATAAAAGTCAATTAAAAACTTAAATACCGTTCAAGTTGGAATGAAATCGATGAACAATAGGATCCGACATGTTTCATTGTTGTCCAACAGTACCTCGTTCTATTATACGGATATCTATTATTTTAGACGGCACATATCGTTTTGTTGTATCCATTGCACAAACGGACAAAGACCGATTATGATCGGTTAAGTACAAAAACGATTGTACGCAAGTGCATAAATACATGTATTTGTGAGTGATTTGTTTTTTTCCACCGTCGTGATCCGCCGCGTGCACGACGACGACATATAACGCACAGAAAGTGTTGCAAAGGAATGTCGTCACCGGCCGTAAAGGCTATTGACGAATTTCAAAGTGCAGCACACCTCGTGTCACGCGCAACCCAACCGCGTCCTTGTCCGTCGGTGGTCATTAGGCACGTCAAGTCCAACTCTGCCGTAAACGAACGTCACAAAACGGTTGAGACGATCCGCGACCGTGACTAAGTACACTTTTACCGCGTACCCGAGTCGATGATCTGAAAACAACCGTTGATTTTAGTGAACGCATTACTGGCATATTATCCGTTTGTAATTAAAATTTTTTTTTTTTAGCGGTGGCCAATTCCAGGGACCCGAAAACGTTTTTGTCGCCGAGTGCCGTGTGAAAAATTCATTCCCCCTGGCCCTGCTCGGCCTCAAAGAGAGACAGTCCAAAAGAACAGTACACGCAATATAATTGCAAACGACGGCCACGGCCACATCGACACAACAACTGCGCCACTACATTATTCGTGCGCGCAGACTAGTGTATTATTTATATATTTATTTGTACGTACTGCCATTGCTGAGCGGGTTCGCTTAAATGTTGTGTGCCGCCAACCTTGATCGTGGTGGTGGCAGTCGATCAGCTGGCTTTCGGTCGGCCAGAGCACGACGTGTACGTACATATCTGTAGAGTATTGCTGCTGAGTCCACTACAGCGTCGGACTTCTTTGGTGGTGGAGGAGAAGAGCCTAATGCCATCTTCCGGACTCGACCGGTCATCGTACAAGCGCACAAGCCACACACGTAAAAAAGCGACGACGACGACGACAACGCCGCTTCCTGTCAATGCTCTTGCCGTGTGGACGTAGCGCGTTTTAGCGTCTCTATTGCCGCCGGTCCGTCCGGAACAGCGGGTCATTGATTCACTCTGTCGCCAATAAAATCAATAGTTCATTAGTAATAATCATTTTTATGTTTTGTTTTTTTAACTTAACTTTTCACATAGTCAACTCGATCATTAATATTCGCTCTTATAACATTTTTTTTAGCAATCCTCTCGTTTAACACTAATAATTAACTGTTTTCTTGTTTGAAGTTAATCGGTTAAATATTTTATTTTTATTTGCTATCGACGTGTTGAATACTAAAGAAAAGGAATTTTCCTCGACAAAGTAAAACAAAGGTGAGTACTGAATTTATAAAATAACGTATTTTTTTTTCAATAAAAATACTTAGTATGTTGACGATTAAAATTTTACGACAAACTCGTAACTTTTGAAAACAAATTAAATTGGTTTTTTGATCTGTCTAATATTATTTTTTAAATTTGTAAATTTAAAATCCTTAGATTTGTTACAGCTACTTAAACGACGTGTTCTACATAAATTTATCATTTTACTTAAGATTTGGTTATACTGTCTGTTTCATTTAAACATATTCTTCGACATTATCCAAAACCATTTTGGATTTTATATCTCAGATCAATTTCAACCAAATTTTATCTTTCAATTTGTGTCTTTTTATAAAATATTCTCTTCTGTTTAATAATAGGATACTGTAAAAATACGGAATTAAGTCATACAAACTGTGTAGTTATTTTAATAATACAAAATTTTCAAAACAATTAAGGCGTTCAGATAGAAAAGCTATGAAGTGAAAAATTTCGTTTTTTTTTTTTCGAGAAAAAGAGTAAATACTAATACATAAAACTAATTTAAATATAAAATTTTAGTATAATATTGGATATATGTTGAAAAAAAAACGTTTGTCGTGAATTATTTAAATTTACACAAACGGCGTTTTTTTTTATTTCTCTGAAAAATTTAGTTTTTGTGACTGCCTTTTTTGTTGTGCCTCAATTATTCGTAAATATAAAGTATTCAATCGAGTTGGCCAAATAAATATTTTTGTGAATTCAGCATAGTTTTGAAAGTAAAATTCCAATGTGATTTATTTGGATTTGACGGTGTGTACGTCTGTATAACTTAAAAATCGAAATTTAAACTACACGATTTTTTTGTAATATTTTAATATAAGGTGTGGTTAGTGTGGGAATGGAAATATTAAACGTAAATCGGTTATTTCATTGAATAAGTTGTCTTGTAGTAATATTCTCTATCGCTCTACACCAAATCACTTGAAGCCATTTTTGTTTGGGTTTCAGAGTTCCCTTTCGCATACCACACAAACGGCTAATACTACTAATTCGATCAACGTGCAAAGTGCCAAGAAAATAATTTAGCCGTTCGTTTAGTAAATCGCATCATGCGGATTAGGCGACAACAACAACGACTTTGTCCAATTACAAGTGAGAAAGAGTTAACGCGTTTCCCGATTTCCGCTATAGTCGCCGGTTGCTATTGAACAGTACAAAAAATAACTGCAAGAAAGAAAGAAAAAAAAAAAACTCTAGGAACATAAACCGTATCAGATAGAACGCGTGCAACGACCACCGGCTAAATACCGCGAAGTTCATCGTCAAATCCATACAGGTCAGATTCGTTTACAATATAATTTATATCGGTAAAAATACACCTAACAGTTTTCACTCCGACGTGGATAAAAAACCTAGATTTTTATGCCAGTAAAATTCCATCCAAATAAGTATAGTAGTTTGTGCAAGAGAGTATTGCGAAAAATTAATTTGTCATCAAGAAGTGCCATGGAATTAAACATTTTCTTTTAGTACAATTTTCCCTTNAGTATTGCGAAAAATTAATTTGTCATCAAGAAGTGCCATGGAATTAAACATTTTCTTTTAGTACAATTTTCCCTTTTCGAACTGTGTCATTATTTCTGTCGAGGGCAATCCGGTTTTTACTTTTGCCCACACGTTTTTAAAACGCAGTTCGTTTGGCGTAGTCACAGGGGGCTAGTGACTATCGTCGTTTTGTTAGGGTCAATTTGTAGATCTCCTAAAGACAAATTCGTACAAACGAACGTNTTTTCGAACTGTGTCATTATTTCTGTCGAGGGCAATCCGGTTTTTACTTTTGCCCACACGTTTTTAAAACGCAGTTCGTTTGGGGTAGTCAGGGGGCTAGTGACTATCGTCGTTTTGTTAGGGTCAATTTGTAGATCTCCTAAAGACAAATTCGTACAAACGAACGCAAAGTTTCGGCGGTAGCGGAGCAATGAATTACTGTTATTGTTGTTCGGACTGCAAGTGAATGACCCATTCGTCGTGATGGGTTTCTTGCACTACTCGACATAGGAACGAACACGACTGCGGATCTTCTATTCTTGGCTCTTATTTTCAAGTCGAGATTATAATTATAACAATAATAATAATTATTAACATTTCCGAGACAGGTCCGGTAGTTAGTCTCGCTTGGCATGTCGTTATTTGTGCGACTCGGAAGAGATTGAAATCGATTTCAAACGTCAGAACGTAAATAGACAATCGAACCGATCGACTAGAAAGAGCTCATTTGTTGAGAATACCGCGCCGACCATTCGGTACACGCACAGCAGTTGGCTCCTGTAAAAAACGGATCATCTCGTGACCGTTTTCGTTCAATCTCTCGTAACGGTAACGTTTGGTTAAAAAATACCATCGTTGCGTGTTGCCCGACCAACTGTTGTTATTACAGAAAATCTCGAATTTCAATAGTTCCGTCTAATTGTTTGCGAACCGTGTTTGGTGTCTGCGTTGCGAATAATAAAAAACAAGACCTTCTGATGACTATCTGCTGAAAGTTGACGATTTCGCACGAATTTTAATGTGGTTCAGGGTTACTGAACGGTGTCTTTTGTCAAATGTTTTTCGGAGTCGTTGTAGTAATTAAACTAATTGAGTAGAAACCGGTGAGACGGCGATTTACACTAAATAGCATAGAGTTCAGTCGGCCGATGACTTTACACGTTTTATTTACACCGCTGGTGAATACCTTCGTCGTCTCCAGTCGTGTCGTTTAATTGATTTATATCACTCGCCTATAAGTCAATTCACAGTAGAAATGGAATAAAAACAATCCGTTAACGTCGGTTGGGTAAACGACAAGTGGAATTCGTCACGCCGTCCATGTACACCTCGTTATTGACAAAAAATAGTAATACCAATCGACTAAAAACTAGCTGTTTGCCATTATGGCGTTTTACCGACATTGCAATCGGCCGTGAAAATATTTAGATACTAAAAGCAATCCGACTCTATTGGTTGCCAATCGATGCAAACCGAAGCTCTTCGAATCGTAACCACATGGACTATATTGTTCGTGTCGATTATTGTATTTTACGCGACATTTTTCTATTTTTAAATATAAGCGTGTTATTTTTTTTTTTTCATTTGCCCACACGCTAATGAACTTGTAAATAAGATTTCGGACCGTTTGAAAACCTGTATCCGAGATTTTTTTGCGCAAGAATATTAATGAGTCGCGTCCGAGGAGTGGATAGACGCACATATTAAATTTGACTCGCTCAAACACACACATATCCTAATTACACTATCCATAAAAGAACTTCCGTGTATCTAACCTCTCAGGAGTTATTAACACTCTATTGAGACGTTTCGTACAGCTAAAAAATANGTGGCCAATCGATGCAAACCGAAGCTCTTCGAATCGTAACCACATGGACTATATCGTTCGTGTCGATTATTGTATTTTACGCGACATTTTTCTATTTTTAAATATAAGCGTGTTATTTTTTTTTTTTTCATTTGCCCACACGCTAATGAACTTGTAAATAAGATTTCGGACCGTTTGAAAACCTGTATCCGAGATTTTTTTGCGCAAGAATATTAATGAGTCGCGTCCGAGGAGTGGATAGACGCACATATTAAATTTGACTCGCTCAAACACACACATATCCTAATTACACTATCCATAAAAGAACTTCCGTGTATCTAACCTCTCAGGAGTTATTAACACTCTATTGAGACGTTTCGTACAGCTAAAAAATATGGCGCCAGCGGTCGTGTAACTCGTTACAACAATACAAATAATAGCAATTTAGTCGTCCGTTTCGATTCAGAAATGTTTTTCTGTTTTCACGAGGNACGGCGCCAGCAGTCCGTGTAACTCGTTACAACAATACAAATAATAGCAATTTAGTCGTCCGTTTCGATTCAGAAATGTTTTTCTGTTTTCACGAGGCGTCGGGTCGTACGAGTACAGCAAATCGTTTTCAGGCCCGTTCAAACCCGTAAAGTGCGCAAAGCAGTATTCTATACGAATGATATTCGGTTGAAAATCGTTTTTTGCGACCGGCGGCGCAAAATATTCATAAACGGTTCGACGACGAAAACATTTAAGCGAGTTATTGTCCTCGGAAGAGTATGTTGTTTTAACGAATGCGGTTAAATGATTTTTTATTGCCCGGAGAAGGCAGACGGTAATCCAAAAACGACACATCTAAATTGACATTAGATAAGCTCTTTTCGTTTTTACCGGAGATAATTTTCTCTATTTAAAATACAGCCGGTTCGTCACCGCCACCATCGGTCGGGTCGGGTACAGTGACGTAAAACACAAAAAAAAGGGATGGCGACTCGACGAAAAAAGGGAAAAAATCGGTCTTTTTCTCGTTTCTGTTTCTGCGGACTACGAAGAAATCGATCAGCCCGCCCCCCCTCGAAATGCACTCTCGAGCAGTTGGCTCGAACCCGCGTGGTGTATACAAAAAAAAATTCGTAACCAGCAAATCGAATTTACTTTCTGAACTCAAAGTCGACGCGATGATACGGCGCGTGTTGTATAATACATAAAAAAATCAAATCGTTTGACGTTTGGGAATCTAGTCAAACAGGATTACGCGTAACACCGTTATGCCAGTGTCCGTTATTACTGCACGCCGCCGTCCCTAGTGACGACGACTGCTAGATGAGAGAAGTACACGGCTGGAGAACCCCATTTAGTGTACACCGTTGCGTTCGTATATACACGCCTATCCGACAGGTACGATTGCCGGCGGTGTACACACGGCAGAATCGAACGCAAAAACACCGGGCAAAAATATTCGGGAGTGCCGCCCGACTCGCGTCCCTCCTCTCAAACGCTTCGGTGCCCACGTGCGTAACTCGTACGCTTACGGTATTTCGTCGTGTTGTTTGTCGCTCCCTCTTCGGCGCGCTGCTGTTGGTACATGGCGGCGGCGGCGGCGACTGTAGTGCGTACGCGCGGCGGCGGCGGTGTATTAACAACGCATGACGTGTACGCCGCATACATACGGCGGCCGCGCTCCGCGGGATGACCGCGACGGCGGGCACGACCCAACGGCACAAGGTCATTGAGATTTCTTTTCGGCGTGTACCGTTATGATTCATACGCGCCGTGCAATCAGTCGCACGAACACACATGCACGCACGCACTCGACTTCAGAGATTCTCGTTCCTGACACCTTCGCCTGCACCTCGTCGTCCCGTCCCGACCGGCGGATTTCGTCATCCGTATTTTCCACAACACACGAGAAATGTGTTCCTACGGCGTTCATTTGTGTTGCGCTCTCAAATGGCATCCCGTCAACAGTCGTCAATCGGAAACCCATTTGTGAGAAACTTTCTGCGTAAAGTCTGTTGTGCGGACATAGTGACAAACGGATGTTCTAGAGAAGCCTACCGCACTACCGTTAACCTTGGCCTGCTCTGAACAAATCTGGTTGTTCAACGGTTCCACTGTCCGTACCGGTCGTTCCTAGTAAACGGCGGTTGGGACCTATTGAGTTTACTTCAACATTTATCCCCACCGGATGTAAGAAGTCTTTACCGCGAGTTGTCTGTATAAAGTGTAATATAACAAATGGTACACTACTATACGGACACAACCTTTTGTGCGTTTGTGTTTGTTTTCGGTGTAATCTTTGATCGACGCTAATTCATTCAAATCGCATACAGTCTGTGTAAAGTCGCGCAGTGTTTCGACAGAAAGTCAATAGCATTGACCGCGGACGTTTCTGACTCTTACGGGTCAGGACAGTTTATGTGTAAACCATATGAACGCGCACAGTGTCAATGCGAAGAAAACGTATGCGTTTGTCTGTTGAGATTTCGCGAAAAACGGTTGTCAAACAACGTTTTGTCGATTTTCAGCTGCGATACTTTTATTAATCGTTAAAAAACTCAACACGGTCGTTTTTCCAATTATGCGTTTTTTTTCTTCTAATAGTTAGCGGCGCATAAACAAAATACGCGTGTGTCCGACTTGAGTTGCGTATTGGCGAACAATTAAAATACTACGAGTGTTATAAAACGTTATTGTTTCAACGGGTCCCGAAGGCAGTCGATGACTGGGATAAATTTCTTTTGTGCACCATGTTCAACATCCGGGTGACAAGTTCAATGATATTTTGACTCTGTTGTCTTCACGATTATTCGTGTCGATTTTTTTTTAATTAACAGGTAATAAGCGATAGACAGCAAGATTATTATTGTCGACACTCGCCCGGAATCGCGTTACGGCGCGCAATTAAAATTTAATTGTCCGGTTTTAATGACAATCAAATCCCCAGTGAGGCGAAAGAGCTTTAAACAATGTCACCCGCAACTTTCACTGAATCGCATTCCCTTTACTTGCGATCATTAGCGCATTCGCTGACCCGATTATTAACAGCGATAAATTATTCTACACTGTTTATGTCGGAGTGTACGACTTGGACAAAGTCACTGTCAAAAGATTTGCATATCTAATGTAATGTAGTGCTATTGTCAATTTTATCTAATTTTTATTATTATACTGTTGAACTTGTTGTTAAATTTAAGACGTTTAGAAGCACAATATTAAGACCAAGAGGATAAAAAGTATTTTTAAAGCCAAGTCGACTCAAATAAAACTGCGTTGACATCGTTGACCTACAAACACGTGCCGGGTTTGTTTCGTAACCCATTGTCGAGTAATGTCCGCGCATATCCTCTTTCTCCACGTCTTTAATCATCGATGAGGAATCTCGAGATCCGGCCTGGCGTCATAACTGTCAGCTATGTTATGTGGTAATATATCTATATATACACATACTTATGCAAATCGAAGAAAGTCGTTCAGTCGATACACAATACGGAAACACATCATCCCATTAAAAACGAAAACGTCGGTCGTTTCAGAGACGATGAGACGAGTTGTTTCTCCTTCTCTCGCGATTAAATACCGGTCCTATTGTTTGCATTACACAGTTTAAATATTATAATACTCGGTGACCCGAAGAAGTTTTTGGTTCATTCAATAGTACCCCCAGCGTGCGCTGAGGTCATAACAGTCATTTTATTGACGCGCGTTAAAGTCTCTTTTATATGCAATTACCCTGAACGCTTCCACATCGACGCCAATGTTTAAATTTGAACTGATTCGACTGTTTTTGATGGACACGGTTCGATATTTTCATTGTCATTTAAAAAAATTGTTCAAAAGAGACCCTAGAGATGACAGCGTTCCAGTCATCTCGTTGAATGTTTAATCCGACGATTAGAAATTAAAACTTCATTGAGACAAATAAAATATAATTCCATTGTTTTAGTTATGTCAATAGTCAATATCAGTCAGTATGAAAAAAAGTGAACTTTGTTGAGTTATAGTTTCTAAAGTGTTAAGAGATTATATAGATTATAGAGATTGATTTCAATAACTAAATGAGAGTATCTTCTGTATGAAAACATTGTAAATTACAATGATATTTAAAAATTAAAACAAATAGAGATAAACGATAACTTTTATTTGAGAATTGTGTTGGCATACGTTTTGAAATAAAGCAGTGAAAAAAGTTGAATATTAATTACAAATGATTTGTAAAAATCGTGTATTGTTCAAATTTGTTCATTTAAAATGTGTTCTATGCTTCGATCGCGATGATAAATTGAATTTTTTTACTTTCTCGCATGACTAACCTAACATGTGTATTGTTATGTTCGAATTTACTTTTGCTGCGTATGCAATGACTATATATTTACGTGTGGGAAGACAACGAAAGCGCTGTTTTTTTTGCCGGACGATCTTAGACCGGTTTTGTTTACTTTTATGAAGGTTCTCATAGTTAAAGTGCAATAAAAAAAAAAAATGCCCGAGTGATGTTTATCATTTAAATTACATCCTCTAGTCGATTAATTATTATATTTTTGATGTCCGTTCTTGAAGTAATATTTTTATAATTAAAAAAAAATGTATAGATTGTCATCGATTTGTGAGATAATGTATACACATTAATAATTATTGATTTCTACAAACGTTTAATTATGACGGAAAATTACGGTAAATGTAATTCTCGAGCTACTCCTTAATAACCAGTATCGGTTACACTCAATATAAACGGGTAGATGGTTTTTTTTTCTATGGAAGTGCTTATACAAACGTATATAAGATGTATTTTTTTGCAACTTAATCATATACATTGATTCATATCTTTTCGGATTTGATGTTACACGTGAAAAAAATGGATAGTTATTTTAACTCTAAGTGCGGTTGTAGTCATACACATTTGCATGTAATTTCCATCTAGGACTGGTGTAGTTAACGTGAATTCAAAAAGATTCAACTCGACCTATATATACATTGTTGGCTGTAGTTAAAACAACTATAATAATTATTTGTGTGCAGGGTGAGAAAAAACGGAAATAATCGGCAGCAAATTTTCTCGTGTTAGACTTGGGTTAGCTTGTTAGAAAAAGAGGGCTATTAAAACATTCGGGTTTCTCATTAATGACTCGGTACATCACGGACGGCTGGTTGCAAAATAATAGATAACTGTTACCGACCGGTAGCCAATAGAGTTCGAAGCGTCGAATGCCTTCATAAGTTTGGGAATATTTTTAAGAAGATGCGGGTCTAGAACACTGTACTGGCAATTCTGCATACCGATAAGTATCCTTATCGTCACAAAATGTGGGCTATTGTATCAATGTCAATCAAAACACTATAGACGACTTGCTATGATTATCAGCGACTCATCGACAGGTTTGCGACCAAATAGTCACACTTGCGGTTACACGAAATACGACGCATTAATAATGTCGGTTTAAAGAGATGCAACAAATTTTATTCAAACTATGCCAAAAATATCGTTAACATTTTTCAAGAAATACCTACCATTAATCCTCTCATCCATAAAACATTCGGTGTACTGAGTAACCCGCAGATCGAGTACGTGTGTGTATAATGTGGAAACATTGTAAATTACATGAGCTATTCATGCGTCGTATTGACCCACACACATAGACACGGCCATAGTTCGTACAGTTACATTTGTTATGGACCGGAATACATAATGTATTGTGCTCCGGTGGAGACATTGGAACTTTCACATTTCTAAACGGTGTGTGTCATCGTGTGTAGCTATTTATTTTCGTTGTTATTAAAAACGACTAATCACCGGGTTAAACACACGGTGTAAAATTAGAATATTATGTAGTGTTTGTTTTTCCGTCAGTAAAAGTTCTATTCGAAACCGTGTCAAGAACGGTCGTCTTCGATCCGTTGAAATGTGCCCTCTTTCTTTGGGATTTCCGGAGAAAGGCGAAGGTCCTAGAAGACGGTGTCGCTCCGAGACCACGTTTAACATGTGTGGGAGAGGGTTTACTGTTCATCTTAATGAAGACTTTATTCGGCGTTTCATATTATCGATACACTGTAGACATTCAAACATGCAGCAACGGAGTATTGAATTCAAAAGAGCAATAGATTTTGTTTTGTGATTTTTTTATGTAAAATTTATCATTTACGTATTTAAAAAAAGTATACCTTCTTCTTCTCTTCCGTCTATTTGAGGTAGGTCTAATTAAAAATAAAATAAACCATCGATTATAAAATGATCATTGCAATTTTTTTCTATCGAAAGAAACGACCTCATTCTATGCATTTTTAGATTGCCGTGACCTTTATTCGAGAATTCTCAAATCGATTCAAATTTAAATCAGACAAATTGATCAGCTGTACACTATTGTTACACGTGTAAATAATATTATTTTTGTACGAGACCGCAATTTGCACGGGTCAGTTCACGAGTCGAAACATTTACAGTTCCTCGGTAGTATGAACTAGTATTTACTCATCCAAGACTTGAGTAAATGCTATGAAGATATGGTCGATTGAGTTTTTTTTGTCCAAATAGCCACGCCGGCAGTGCAGTTGATTTTATGGTATTGTATATCGTATGTACTTTGCTTCTTTTTCATTCCTTTATTTTTTTATATCTTGTAACGTTAGTACACAAGTACCTATTAAACGCTATACGACTGTACACGCCACCCGGTCGACTGCATAGCGCCACTAAGTAGTCCACGACACACCGCTGCTCGACATCTTTAACAAAAGAAATTCGCGTATCTGTAATCTGAGTCTTAACTATGAGAACTAACCGCTACCGGCATCATATTGGCTAATGGTCGTAGAGTGCCAATAAATAGAATATATTTTCTACAGAAATAGTAAACACTACTAATCAAAAGCTCTGGTAGTAAAATGGTTTTCGCTCGGCGAGCGAAAACTTAATGGTAAAAACACCGTTTTCCGAATTGAAATCGGTGAGCATATAAAATCAAGTTAATAATTTCTATTTCAAAAGATCGGCTATAAAAGTTTCACGTCTGATGTTGTGTACTGAAACTTCAGTTGGGTATTACAATAAAGTAAAACTAAAAATTGTCGGTTGAAAACAAGACTTTTGTTTTCAAAACAGTTTTTTCATAATCCTAGTTGCATGTATATAGTGTCTGTATTCTATCGGCTCTTTTGATGACACCCAATGATCAATATACTTAGATCCGAGAGATAATTTTGTACAATTTTTATTGTTGAACATTATAGACTATCTACCGTAGGAGACCCATTAGTTTTATCCTGTTGAATATCTCGTGCGGGCATTGTAAAATTCTTTTTTACAATACTTACCCACATAAATTAAGGTTTTTCGGAAAAAAAACTGTTTGTTTGAAACCACACTTACAGAACAACCGCGATAGCTACGGTCAATTACTTCACCGACGTTATTAATCGAATTCTTCTGTTGACCGAAAGATCATCCGGTGCGATAGCCGCGAACCTTCATACTAACTCCTATCTAACTCCGTCTATTTGATGACAATCGATAACTATTTTTGTTATATTTGTGCGATAATTATGACTAGCTGCACTTAGTGGACGCCGTCGAAATGGTCTCATAAACCGAATATTTATAAGATCGACATTTGAATTCTATAATTCTATTGTCACCAAACGATCAACATCTGTGTACCTAACAATAATTGTCCATACTGTGAAACGTATATTCTTGTAAGATAAATACTTTGACTGGAATTCGCTATATTGATAAATGTATAGGATTTATATTCGAGGTCTATACAATTAGACTGGTGTTTTGAATTTAATCTATGAGAAAAAAAATGTTTACATATATGCGTGGGTACACCGCGATTGGCCATTGGTGTGACAATTATTAACTTGAATAACTGTTTGTGTTTACAGAATGAAGAGACATGGAATTTGGTCACCAATGAAGTCATCGTATGAGAGAATCCTGGTATTCATGACCTGCGTAACCGGATTACTTCTCAGTAAAAGTTTGCACGTGCGAGCCTCACCTACGTGGGGAGACAGTCCAGCAGCACTATCCGCAGGTTAGTATGTGTATTACTTTTTTTTTCATTTATCACTTGAAGGGTTTTAATTGACACAATACGAATCTTTGCCTGACACGAACTTGACATGATTTTATCGAGATAAAAACGACACTGGTCTGGTGTAATGAAAAGCACAGTAGTTACAAAAGAAAATAGGTAGTAGTAAAAAGCTTTGACAATCAATCGGAGCCCAGATATTATGTCGGCGAAAGTGTGCCGTTTTTATTTCATTACAGTATCTACTTTTCTATTAATTACAAAAATGAACTATAGACCTATTGTGTTGGACGCGGCGACCTTGACTCGTATTTGCATTGATAAACGAGATTTGCAAAGGATATAAGTAACACTTATTATAATTGGAAATACGACAAAGTGGAACATCAGCTTCATGTCTGTCATGCATTTATAATAAAATTTTGGTTTTGTTTTTTACTTTTGCTGTGTAGTAAAACATAATATCACGTTTAATAAACAAAACTACACATACAAAGTACGCGAACAATGCACAAGCACAAACATTAGCGCATACATTAAAAAAAAAACTTGTTTTACCACCGTATACTTTTACTGGTACGGGTTTTTTTGTGGTCACAATATCCAAGACGAGATAACTGTTAATCGAATCATACACACACACGCTCAATCTACTGACCTACAAACTTCCCAGACTACTACCATGGCGCATTGTCTGCTAGATTTAGGTGTAGGCCTCCATAACCGTGAGTGGAAGGAGAGTACCAGTATATTTTATGTTATTGCTGGTGCATTGGCCATAAAATGTTTTGGACATTTACTTTTTAACTATGCATATCTCTTACATCGGTAAAAAACATACGAGAAAAATAATAGTAATGAAGAATGAACTGTTGTCATGTGCTAAAAAAATTTAGTGAGTGTGCAAGATTATGGACGTACAGTGAATATCTGATAATTTACCTCCGCGGTGGTAAATTAAAATCAACGGTTTTAGAATTCAAATTATATAAGAAATTACAAACGTTTTAAATAAAAATTTGGTTTTCAACAAAGTTGAGAGTCAATGACTTTTCCATTTATGTGATCTACAAAGCACAAGTTTTTTATTTAAAATTGTTAGATCACATTTCTTTGTTCAGCGGAACAAGTTCATTAATCAGTCTGCCCAAGGTCTTATGGTCGATTACTAACACATTTTGAATCATTTTAAAAGTCAATCACTTTGAATATTGCCAGTGACTTATTCAAGGATAACGCCGTTTATATTATTATTTCGTACACTTAATGGATTTTGATAATGTAATTATTTTGTGTGTTGAAAATAAATCTGAAAAAATGTGTTAATCTATAAACTTAAATTAATTTCTAAAAATTAATAAACCTTCTTTGCGTAAAATAATAGACTTTTAAAAATTATACTGTAAATATTTAAAAATACAAACATTAAATATTTAAATCTTAACGAGGGACCGAAATCGGAATGTTGTTTTAATATTTAATAAACCGGAATAAATTTCTCAAAAGCACAAACGCCTTTTTTACAATCGTCTTATTTTAAGTGGTACTTCGACATCATAAAAATTATCGCGACGATACAAAAAATTCTGGATTAGTTTTTCACGGTACTTGATTTCATAAAAACATTAACCGTTAATGTAATTCCAACTGTTATTTAATTGATGCATAGGTAAAAATAAATAAAAACCGTTATTGGTTAAAACAGTATTACCGAAGGTAATTGCATTACCTCCGAATAGTGTTGTGAGGCTTTAGGAAATATATTAAACTAAACATCCAAATATATCTTCGTTGCAATTGTAAGACCACATTTTTTGGCTTGCGAGTGCGTTTGAACTTGGTTTGGGTCTATACTTACCAAAATACCCATATTATTGTTAAAATATTTGTTGAGCGATTCTGTTGAAGGATTTTTAGATTTTTTTACACTTATGGTAATGAGTAATTATCTTATTTTAGACTTTGGGCGCAATATCAGACAGTTGCCATGTGTCAGCCGGAGATCGGGCGAAACGGGAATTTGTATGTTCGCTTATTCTTGTGCGAAAGCGAACGGGACTCATTTGGGTACGTGTATCGATCGCTTCTATTTCGGTAGTTGTTGTAAAATACAAGAAAGTACCGAAATCGAAGTAAACGAGCCCGACAACTATTTGAACAACTTGGACAACGAAATAGGGTCCGCGGTCACGAGTAACGGTGTAAAATTTGGACAGGCCAACACCGACAGAGTTCAGACGAGTTCGGCAACGGCGCCGACTTCGTATAAACCCACGTCGCAATTTACCTTGCAGTCGTCTTCGATCAGTACCACAACGCCTAGGAACCAGTACACCGATCAACCGGCCGTCAATGGTCTGACCAAACCACCGACCACGTTATCCACCGGCGCTACAGCCGCACCGTCCACGTACCCAGCGCAAACCTCTTCGCAATCGACTAAACCATCGTCGTATCCTTCGACGTTTTCTACGGCAAAGCCTACGACGTCAGCTTCGCCGCCCAAACCCAGCTCGTTCAAACCGCCGCCTCCAAATACGACAAAACCTAAACCTTCTCACACGGCCAAGCCGACCGTACAGTTTTCTGTTCCGGGATCGACCAACGTCCCGTCAAGCACACCTCAAACTCCGGTAGCGTCGACCCAAGATGGTCTGAAGCCCACCAGTACTTACACAGGCGTTACGTCAATGCGACCTTTGAATTCGTCTACGGTCATGACCACGTTCTCCACGACCAAGCCGTCGGTGAAGCCGTCGTCTACCGCAGGACCCATAAACAACAAATATACGTCGCCCACGCCACTGTTCACGGTAGCTTCGTCAACGCCAAGCAAAACTAAACCAGTAACGGGCAAACCCAAACCTACTTCTAATAAGCCCACCACGGACCCTCCAGCTCCGTTTTCAGCGTCAACAAGTAATGTTCACTCGACTGTTGAGCCTACGACCGCAGGCTCCTCGACGGTCGTTCACCATATTGTTAACTCCACTCGTCCGAACCAAACGTTTAGCAACGGCCCCTCGACGGTTACATCAACTTCTCCTACTTTGGTTACTTGGACTACGGTGGATAAAATCACAGCAGAATCTTCGGAGAGCTCAAAACCGCTTCCGACTGTTGCAAATAGTAAGTAATTAAAAAAATACCATTTCGAACCAACACATTTTTTTTGGTTTTATCGATGTTACGAGTATTTATAAATATAATTTTTTCAATAGATTTTGGTTTTATAGGATTCATATTTCTGGGGTTTAAAGAGTTGATATTTATTTTTGTGGTTTTCAAGTATTTATCAAACTGAACTAAATTTAACTGTTAGTAAACAATTTTTTATTAAGTATAAAAAAAAAAATACAAATTTCAATAAATTTATTATTTATACATATATTATGTAAAAATAATTAAAGGTTTTTTTTTTTAAAAATCGATTTCCATTTTGATAAAAATAAAGATTTTATGGGTGGTGGTTCAACCAGAAAATAATTGTGAGCGAGGGCGTTATTACCAGTTTTTTTTTTCACTAAAAACTTTTTACTACTTAAGGAAACTCAGATGAGCAAAAAAAAATTGTTATCACGACTAAAAAATTCAAACATCGCTAATCAGAGGGAGGTTACCACTCTCTAACCCTTCGAGGTTTCGCCACATTTTATGGATGTGCAATCCGGTTCGTAGTCTTAAATAATTCTTTAACCGGTTTTTTCCGATTAATAATAATATATAAATAATGTAACAGTCATATAATAAAAAATATTATTGAAAAAATAAAATAGAAAATTTCATAAAAAATTGAAAATAAAGTATTGTATTACAATGTACTCTAATGATTTTTTTTTTTAGCTTCACCCAAACCGTCTGAAAATTCAACTGTACCGCCGTGGATCAAAGTTCCAGTGGAAACTCATGAACCGAACACAGTCCCTACTGTGCCGACAAAGGAAAATAGTAGCCCTTATATGACTACTATTAGCAGTAGTATGGCCTCGTATACATCTATTGCGACTACGTCTAAACCCAGTATAGCTCAAAACACACCTAATATCGACTTATTAGTGACTTCCAGCGAGTTAAACACTGGCAACAACTACAATGGCACCACTAACACCTTGCCTAGTAGCACATTGCCAACGTCAGAGACAGCTACTTCTACACTTTCAACCAACTTAGTCACCGATTCGATGACGGACTCCAACGAGGCTGGAAGCGCTCCACTTAACATGTCCAACTACAAAGACGGTAATTTATTTTATTTTATTTCTTTCTGCTAGATGCTGTAAAGAGATCTAGTAATTTTTTTTGTATTATTTTGTCCAATTAGTTTGTGGTAGAAGACTATTTCCAAGTGCAAGAATTGTGGGAGGTGAAAAAGTAACCTTTGGCAAATGGCCCTGGCAAGTAAGTTGTTAATATTCATCCAGTTTTTTTTTTCGATATATACTTATGCCGAAAATTAATTACAGATTTCACTTAGACAATGGAGAACGTCCACTTACCTACACAAATGCGGCGCGGCTTTGTTCAACGAAAACTGGGCTGTAACAGCTGCTCATTGCGTTGAAAAGTAAACGACTTCTCGTAACGTTAAAATAAATACGAAGACATACTAATTTTGTTTTTATTTTTTAGCGTACCTCCTAGTGACTTATTGTTGAGATTAGGTGAACATGACCTGTCCATCGAAGAAGAGCCTTACGGATATGAAGAGAGGCGTGTCCAAATAGTCGCATCCCACCCGAAGTTCGACCCAAGAACCTTCGAATACGATTTGGCCTTGTTGAGATTCCATGAACCCGTGAAATTCCAGCCCAACATCGTACCTATTTGTGTGCCAGAAGACGATTACAATTTTGTAGGCTCTTCCGCCCACGTAACCGGATGGGGAAGACTCTACGAAGGTAATAATGACGAACATTATATGATCAATATAATATTACATTAAACAGGGCGATTCTTTTAACATCAGCCACTGAATCTCTCTTAACATAATAAATCTTTTGAATTTCGTAAGTTATACATGTATCTCCATTTATCTGTTATAAAATAATTTTTAGATCTATCCATTCTATCTTATAGAGGTGTCAACTTTATTTTTTAAATGGTAACATACACATTAAACTAATTTATATAAAAAAAAAATTATCTCATTAAGAAAATGACTGGTCAATAACAAATTTTGGTCTAATACTAAAGAAGTTATTAGCATTTTAAAATATAGACTGGAGTCTGTTATTTTTATCATTAGTTATTCCTTAACTGCTGTCCTCCTTCCACCTAGGTGAAAAATGTTGAATATCTTCCAAAAGTTTTTATCAGCTAGTTATTTTTTGATTAGATATAGATTAGATTTACAATTTGATTATTTTCTATTTTATAAGCTAGTTAAATATGTTTAATGCCATTCAAAAAATAAAGTTAACATATCTATGATACACGAGGAATGAAGATAAATAATATTTTAAAACATATAAAGGAGATACATATGTAACTATCAAAAGCAAAAACAAATAAAATTTACAAAAAGATTATTATTTCAAAAGATATTGAGTGACTAACAGTAAAAAATCACCTTATATTCACTTTGGATTAGAATCTTTGACTTAAAATAAACTTAAATAAGACTATCTTGCATTCAAAACTCTATCAAATAGTCCTATAGAATAATGGTTTAATTTTTTTTTTAGATGGTCCTCTACCGAGTGTACTCCAAGAAGTAACAGTACCAGTCATAAATAATTCAGTTTGTGAGACCATGTATCGAGCGGCTGGTTACATAGAACATATACCAGACATATTTATTTGTGCTGGTTGGAAGAAAGGTGGTTTTGATTCTTGTGAAGTAAGTGTGATAAAAGGGTCTTAAAAATGTTCATTTTATTTATTTTTAATAATTATACTAGGGTGATTCTGGTGGTCCCATGGTGATACAAAGACCCGACAAAAGATGGCTACTAGCTGGTATAATTTCTTGGGGAATTGGATGTGCCGAACCCAATCAGCCCGGAGTTTACACCAGAATATCAAAGTTCAGAGACTGGATTAACCTAGTATTAAATTACTAAGCGAATCATTTATATGCTCCGTCTAGAACAGACAAACAAAATAATTAAGAGTCTAAAAAGAAAATTAACCAGCTTCAGTAATGGTGTTTCAGCAATATTTGTTGATCGTTTCTTTCTTTCTTTTTTATTGTTCCTAAGCTCTAGTAGGCGTTTATATATATATATATATATATATATATATATATATATTATATTATATTATATTGTGTATAGTCAAGTCAGTTCAAAATGTGGTGATAAAAGATAAAACATAATAAGTATATTTTAATTATATGCTTTTGATTTGGGTATGAGTTTATCGCACTGCAGGTGTGACTTGGATAGAGTTCTAAAAACACATAGAAAAAACGTACATTCAATATATAATTTCTGTCTGCACTCTTTTTACTATTCTTTTATGTTTAAGTATACTTGTTTTTACCAATTTCATTTTATTTTAATTTATATTTTTACTCAATAGTTTTATTTTATATTTTATTAGAAGAACTGAGACGATTGATTGTTAAGTTGTATTTAACTTTAAGATTTTAAAAAAAATCGAAGTAATTTTTAAATTATACATTGTGATTCACCATCAAGACCAAAGTTTATTTTAAAAAGTTACTTGCCCTTGAAAGAAAGTTACATCCATTTCTATCGCGTATTCTAGAAAAAAGTTATGATAATTTAAGAGTTTATAAAAAAAACTACATCTACTTACGTATTTAGGTTAAAAAAATAGTTGCTATTATACCAATGAAAGAAGTTGTATTGAGTTTAAATTCTATTGTATCGTATTAATGTTAATTAGGAAATGACAGCATGCAATAATTTAACATTACATTTGTAACCTTTCAATTGAAAATTTTGTAGACGTTACTTATGTTTAGAATTAGGAGTGTGCTAGGCTCAATTTTGTTTGGTGGGATAATGAGTTTACACCGTGCACTTAAAGATATTAATAATATAATTTAATTAAGTTTTTATAATTATCATTATATTTTATACCTTTACTTATTTTGTTGTTTATATTTCTGTTAATGTTTAAGTTACGTATGTATTGTGATATAACTTAATTGTAATAATATAAATATATGTGTAAAACTAATGATGAAATTTATTTATAATTAAATGTAATTTTAAAGTAGCTATAAACATATTGAATAAGTACTCTGTACCTTAAGGATATAAGGAAAATAAAAATCTCTCACAACACATTATTTGTTAAGTTTTAATACATTCATAACACATTATTTATTTTAATGAAAACATTTTTAGACAAAACAGCAATTTTATTTGTTTTTATATCATTTTATATGGATGTAGTTATTATTATTTATAGAAAATAGGTATTTGTTCAGAATATAATTACAATTTTTGTGTACAAAATATTATTGTTTTTTTTTACTGTGAATGATTGAAATACAATAGAAGTTTAAAAAAATATTGAATGTATATTAATTATTTTTGAAAATTTTCTAGATTTCCGATATTGTCTAATTTTTTTAATTATTGATTATGTTCTGGAAAGTCTAACATCTTGTAATATATATTAAATAAAAAACTTCAGTATACTATAAAATTAAAAAAGAAAAAACTTCACCATGGAACTTGTATTCTATTTTAAAATAATGATCAATGTTAAAACTAATTTCTTTGTAAAAACTGCTGATTTTTTATTTTTAATATTTGCTTTATATTGCTATAACTTCTGGCTGAAAGTGCACAATATGGTGGCAAGGTGTGTCACTGTTTAATATGGTAAACCATCCGGAAAACAGCGCAAGTGAATGATCCTCTGCGCCAAACCACAACAAAGTGTATTATAATATTAAAAACTTAGCACAATAGTGGATCCGTGGCATAGTTGGAACAAGTATTTATGATTACGGACAGTGATTTGCATCACTATCGTATAAACCGATTCAATACAAATTTGTTAAATTTAACAATAATTTATATATTTGTAATTTTACAAGTGCTATGTTTCAAAATTCCTGTAATCAATTAGCTTATACTCTTCTACTAATAAGTATTCAAGACAACTGAATCCAAATTTTATTACTATTCCTCAATATACTCCATATTGTGAAGGTTAGAGGAGTTTCAAATATTGATTTCAACCAATATTTTGTGTGATATATCAATTTATATGTTTTTGAATTCATTGAATTCAAATTTAGTATTAGTTTTTGATATTTTCATTTGTGGGAGTAGTTGAGACGTTCAAATCTGTCTCTCCTTCACTTCAGGGACATTTAAATAAACTATTTTTTTAACATATATATTACATAAAAATCGTAATCAGATTATTATCCATATCAGAATGTATATAACTGATGAAAAAATTTAATGTCAAATACCTAAAATTAACAGTTATTCATTCACTCCAGGAAATTTTTAGAATTTTTTTTTATGAGACAGGGGTGAATTAAACATTTATTTTAGGGGTGACAAATTAACATCTTTTTACTTAAGTAAGCTAGTGAAAATTTTTTGGCTAAGAAGCCAAAAAAGGTATAGAGCAAAATTTGTAATTATCACCTTAATATAATATAGAAAGCGCTTGTTCAAAAGGGCGATTGTCCTTATTGCTTTCCTTACATACACCCCTGTAATGGGATATATAAGATAACTAAAAATAAATTTTATATTTTTATGAAAGGTCATAGAAAAGTATACGTTTTTTTTTATATCTTTCAATATATAGTATTATTTAGCTCGACGATTATCTTTAATTGTTATTATTTTTTTATAAAGAGCAGTTTGTAGAAATGGTTTAACAAGTCTTGAGAGTAAATAAAAATTGACTATATGTTTTTTTAATAAGAAATACATTTTAGCTTCGATGCGAAGCTGAGAAGGTATTGGTTTTACTATGATGTGTTTTTTTTTGTGTCTGTTACCATTTTTTCTCAGCTCTCACCGAACGGATATCTTTCAACGATACGTCAAAAGATCACAAATCGTATCTAGTCGAAGACATTACCCTTAAAAATTGAAAAAATTTCCATCGTTTCCCATAAATGGGCGAAACTTCCCAAAAAGATTACATATTTAAAAATCGCTAATTTTCTACATTTTTTCAAATTGTTTTACTTAGAACTGCCATAAATTTTTTAATAATGATTATATCAATATATTTTTTTTATAGATGCATAATGTCTTTACCTAACATTTGATATATTTTTTTTATATTTGACCCTTTACCTGCCCACAGGGGGGGATTTAAAATGACAACTTTTTCACAAATAATTAACTTTTTCAACTTAACTTTTGAAATTGTTCCGGAAGGTTTGACACTTTTATATATATCTTAAATTAAAGCTAATGTAATATACTTTAATTTGCAAAAAAAAAATTTGACCTCTGGACTTGTCTTCGTGGTGAAAGTTGACATCAAAGTTAATAAACAATTACGATTTTTGTAAAATAATTTTTTTTTATATTTTTAACTTAATAATGCTCTAACTTTTTCAAAAATGAACATATCAATATAAATTTTTTTTATATAGATGCTTGATGTCTTTACTTATCATTTGGTATATTTTTTTTGTAAATCTGACACTTAACCTGCCCACAGGGGGGGATTTAAAATGACAACTTTTTCACAAAAAATTTACTTTTTCAACATAACTTTTGAAAATGTTCCGGAAGGTCTGACACTTTTATATATATCTTAAATTAAAGCTAATGTAATATAATTTAATTTGAAAAAAAATTTTGACCTCTGGACTTGTCTTCACTGCGAAAATGGCTACCGAATGCTATTTTCGTGTGAAAATTCTCGATTTTATGATTTATATTATATTTAACTTTATAATGCAATAACTTATTGAAAAGTTTATGGATCCACACAATTTTTTTATGAGAAATAATATTTTTTAATAAACCCTTTTTCATTCGACATACTTTATCTTAATCGAGATATTAATAAGGAACCAGCAGATCAAGTAGCTTTTGGAATAAAACACCATTTTTTTTTAAATTAAACACTATCTAAAGATTTGCATCGAAGCGTTTTTTTTTTTTATAGTGATTTTAATTACTATCAGAAATCATTATACTTGATCCAACTATGCCACGTTACCACTGTACCACGACCCCTCTGTGCTGGATTTTTTAATATTTGCTGCTAAAAAATATGTAAAAATAGAGTACATGTCCTTTTCTATAAGCAGAAACTATGATCACCTTTGAGCCCAGTGGAGCTTATTATTTAAAGTACATTTTCTTCTTCTTCTTTTTTCTTGTATTTATCCCAATTACTTGAGATTGGATACCCTTATGTAATATTATATTATCACTTATTGTATGATATTATTGTTTGTACATGTATGTCACATATTATGAAGAAACAAGATCACCATAACAGAGTTCCTTTATTTCAAATACAAACTAACCTGCTAATTATGGGATAAAATTTACTTATTGTAGAGATTTTTAAGGAACGCCTACGCGCAGGGTCTCCAATATAATTAACCAATTAAAATAGAAGGCCTTAGCTTCCAATAACACTCTAGAGATCGCTACAATGTCCCTTCTTTCTATAAAAAGCTATTTTTCCCTGTCAAAACGAGCTATTTGGTAATTTTATAATACACAAAATTTGTGACACTTAGAAATTTTAAAGTGAATTTTTTTATTTAAGCTAATTTGTTCATTAAATAATTATGTTTTATTTACTTTTTCTTACTATGGAATCTTTGTATATCTCTAGTAATTTCAACCATCATTATAAACGAATAAGTAAGGACTTAAAGCAGGACCTTGGTGCACTTTTATTCTTAACCTAAAATCTTCTGTTACTCCGCCCACACTTTTTATCCTTGTACAAGTTTTATCATACGTATCCCTATAATGCATTATCCATAATTTATTATTATTTCCTATTATTATTATTATTTATTATTATTATCGCCTATTTCCTTTGCTCTTTCTCCCTTCCACTTAGTTTCCTGCACACAACAAATATTGACTTTTCTCCTCTTCAATACTTCTATTAATTCTCTACTTCTACTAGTTAATGTTCAATTATTCCATGTATCTATTCTTATTTTGTATCTTTCTCCTTTATACACGAGTCCAGCTTAGAGTTGAATGATGACGTCCCTACACCGTTGATACTATAAGCGTAGGGTAGGCCTGTACACATGACTAGTAAAACAGCTACCGCTGTCTGACTGGTATCAAACACTTTATTCGTTCGGCCTTCTCCATTTCTAACTACTTTATTTACTCTGACCTGTTGTCACCGTATATTTCCGAAATGGACACAATTCGTATAAGTCCTATTCAGGACTCCTCATACTTTTTGGTAAAATTTTACACTGGATGTAACCTCGTTAGTCGCCTCCTACAACTGGTAGAGGCTGGCTATTTAAGTATTCTATCCCCTATCCACAGAGATGCTTGAAGTACATTTTTAAAAAAAAAGCATTTTAGCGTTTTTTTTGTATAAAAATACATATTTTTAAATTTATATTTAAAATAATATAACTTTAAAAACTATAGTTACAGTTTATTGTAATTATTAAGGTGTACTTTAATACAGTATACAGTAATCATTTTTGCTGTTAATAAATATATATATATGAATATTCATTATTAGTATAAATTCAACCTCAACCATCGTTTAATTGATGGTTTATGTTTAAGAAAATATTGTGCAATTTTCATTATAAAACTGATAAGCCATGTATGTATAGTCAAGCCTTAATATAGCTGTTAAAAAATAATGAAAAATTAATTATAACAATATTTATAAATTGTTCATCTGTTGTAGAATAAAAATCAGTCATCAAAAATTGAAAAAAAAAATTAAGAATGGAGTTTGGATAGGTTTTAATACATTGGAACACTGTGCGATTGTTTTAGTCTAAATTTTTATAAAATAAATTACTTTACTTTGAATTTTTAAAATAATCCGGTACATCTGCAATCCTTAAACCTACACCAAATTCAAGTTTATAAAGTGAATCATATTATTAAAAGAAAAAAGTGCTTTCAAAATTTCTACTGGGAGTATTCGCCTGGTAAATCAAAAATATACACAATTTTTACTGAAAAAATACTTTGTTAATAAATGTTAAAAAAGTTCCAAAACATCTGCGTCCTTCAAACTTCAAATCAAATATAAGGTTAAAACTTGTATAAATCGTCAATCTCAAACCAAAATCAAACTGAAATGAATCAGACTTTTTATGATATCGTTTAACTTGTACCAACTATGCAAGGCCTTTATTTTTATTTTTAATATTATGTGAGTTTTTATGATAATAACCATATCTATAACGCGCTAAATACTTTTTTACTGTACTATTTAAAAACAGTACGATCAAGGGGTGACGATCCATTTATCCTCCCTCCATATAACAGTCACTGAGTAACGACATTGTTAAAAACTATAAAGATAACCTTTTAAGATAAAAAGTATTCTTAAATGTTTTATTTTTTTAAATAGAAAATTTACCTCCATACTTATAATAAATTATTCTTCTCGATTCGAACAGTTCAAGTTTTAACTACCAGGGTGCGTTTTGTATTTTGTAATTCCAGTTTAATAAAAGAAGAATAAAAAAAAAATGGTGACGTTATCAAAGTTCGTTTTCTTTGCACCGTTTTGTTATTCATTGTCGTTTATAAATTAACGTTTAGTAGATGCGTAACGTTACGTTACGGCCTATTCACTAAATTGATCAGATGATTTACACAACTGCTTTGCAGCTGCAGCATCAGCTAACAGTTTTACTAACATTACAAACACCATTACTGATAACTAGTAACAACACTTTTGATGTTTTTGTATGTATAGGCAATATTATTTAACGCGGATACTTACGAATAAAATATTTAATGTGTATAAATAAGTGCGTGGGAAGATCACAATTGTTATTCATTTCATAATTAATTATTTCCAACCATTTAATATTTGATATCGCCGTTAAAGCGTAGAGTCTTTGTCTTTTGTCTATGTGTGTATGTACAAGGACAATTAAAGCTGTAAAATGTTTACTCACACATCGCATTTCTGATAAAAACGGTTAATTTGTGTTTTATTTGCGATCAAAAGATAAGTTAAATTCAAGTCACTAAAGTGTAACAAAATTTTGTGATCATGATTAATCATTCAATAACTGTTGGTGATAGGAATGCAGCTCTTTCTCTACGATACTATTATTGTAAGTCTTAAATAATATTTTAGTCTTTAATTTATATATGTTTAAATAACCTAGGCATTTTCAAGCACTCAAATTAGTTATGTGATTGTACCATACATTATAAATATTAAATGATTAACTCGTAAATAGTTTATTTAAACTTGTCTTACTTACTATGATAGCGTAGAATACCATATAATATTCATAACTATTAATTTTTTTTTTTTATCTAAAAGTGCAACTTTTAATTTAAACTTGTTGTATATCTGTGTCTAGATTATTTTAAATTATAATGTATGATCTTTGGTATTATTATTGTTTTAAATCATATATTGAATGAATAATAAAATTTTACAATTGTTATATGTTTATCAGGATTGTAGTTAATTATGTATTAATCAAAATGAACGATAAGAAAAAAAACCAACTTGCTATTGGTGTTCCTAACACAATATTAACTCCAGTCAAAATTCAAAAAGTCAAAGGTATTTATTTATGTCTTTTAAAGTTAATCAACATAAATTTTGAAAGATAGATTTAATAAATGACGTAAAACCATAAAACACATTTTTATAAATTTATCAAAGTGCTTTCTATTGACTTATTATACATATAATACACTCACAAATTAATTATTTTAACAAATAGTTTAAATAATCTTGCCCAATAATCCCAATGAGTAGACACAAAAAAAAACTGTACAAAATTTTGAATAATTTCTAAAAAAATATATGTTGATATGTTATTTTGTAATTAGTACAAAAATATTATAAAATAGTACAAAATGTTAAATTGATTTTTTTACTAATGTATTTGATATTATCATTATCTTAAATCATAATCAAAGTTGAATTAATATATTGTAGTGAACTATTATATAAAAAATAATTTTACACAATCTACTCAATTATTGAAATTTTATAATGAAACTTAAGTAAAATTAATTTTGTCAATAATATTATAACTCACTTTACAAATTCATATAGTATGTTTTTTTTTATTAAAAAATATATACTACTTATTTTTATAGAAAGTGGTGATAGTAAGCAAAAAAATGATATTGAAAGTGTTTGGAGTATTTCGAAAGTAACAAGAGGTGCAATTAAAAATTCAAATTCCAAAATAGTTATGAAACATGCATTACGACAACAAGCTAAACGAAGACGTAAAAATACAACTATTGCTGCAGGGAATGTAGCTCCTCTTCCTAGAATTATTCTGCCATCTAATCAAATAAATGGTTCTTATTAATTGGTTATTTAAAAAAAAATTTTCTAAAATTTCTAACAAAAGTTTTGACATATTTTAGCAGAAGAAGGAGAATCTCGAGTGCCTACTATGTTAGAAGTATTATCTTCTATTCCCGGTTTTAGTTTAGTAAAACCTAGAAAACGTCCTGGATCTAAAAGATTATCAGCTGCTGCTCAGTTACAACAAGCTAAAGTTGAAGGATGTGTTGATTTAGAAACACCTGATTCTGTTCTTGCACAAATAAATTTAAGGTCTCTTCTTAATAAACAAACATTTTCAATGCTTCCACGCTTATATCAGCACAAGCTTGTTCAATTGTTACCTCAAGTTGATCGTGAGAATGTAACTGAAACTCAATCTGATTATAGGTTAGTAATAATTACTGTAACTAAATTATATAGAGATTACATTTTTGAAATTTCTTTAAATATATTATTTAATTAATAGGCCTATTTTAAATCCATCCGTTTTGAACAATGAGTTTTTTGCTCAAGCTTGTCTTGAATGGACTGAAAGACTTGCGGAAGGTGAATTTACTCCAGAAAATCAACAAAAAATGAAAATGGATATTGATCGAGAAAAAAGCAAATTAGACCCATGGAAGGTGAGATTTTTTAAGAATATTGTTCTAAAAGTTTCTCTTTTATGAAAATCGATGTTAATTACAATATGTGTAATATCAATGAAAATTGCGTTTTGTTTTTATTTTGTGTGCTCAAGGTATACATGTCAAAAGAAAAAAATATTTTTTATTCTTAAAAATAAAACAATTGCTTAAACTACATCAATTGTATCTTAATACATTTTATACAATTATATATTAGCTTATGTTGAGATAGTTGAAAACTGTTACATGATATTCAAAGACTTTTGTCTTAAATTTGTAATATTACTATATAAAATATTCCTTGTAAATAATGTATTACTTGGGTTAATTTTACTAATAAATGAAGTTATTATATTTGCTTTTGATATTAAACTTGATTGACATTAATCAATACATTGAATCTGCTCCTAACAAATGTCATAATGATATTTTTTATATTTAATGGGTATTCCACCCGTAGATTTAAAGCATAAATATGAATTAGTTAAAAACTGAGTATAAAATATGAATCTTTCAAAATCTTAGGAAATAAACTAAACTTATAATCAAGTATGTCAAAATTTGGGCTAAATGGGTTTTTTAGCATTCAAAAAGTTATAGTTTATTGAAACTTTGCAGCCCATTTTCAAGATTAAATTTTAACAGATATATTTACATAGGTAACTTAAATTTATATAAAAATAATACTTAAAAACTTTATTTTATTATTTATATTTCAGCTGAAACATTTTGAGCCAATCTGGGGTGATAATAGTAAGTGTTCAAGTTTAAATATTTCTGCTTCAAATTGGAGTAAATCAAAACAAAGTTATGTGGAAACTGCTAGTACCACATCTTTGCAACCACTTAACAGTACTAAAATAAATGTTGAATCAAGTATGCAATCAGATGAAAATGAAAATGTTCAGACTGAAGAAATTTGGGATACAGTTGATTCTTCATCGGTCACCATTGCTGAACAACTTATGGAAGAAGTTATTTTAGACAATGTAATTAATATTTATAAATATATACAACTTTTATCATTTTTTTTTTAGCCAAAAGAAAAAAATTTGAAAATAGATAATTTTTTAATTTAAATGTTATTGAAAAAGTTATCTATTTAATACTCCTGTATTTATTTTTATCTATGTAATATTATTTAGTTTTACTATTATTATTAATTATTAACTATAATTAAAAAAATATTTTTGTATAAATGAACTATATGTATAATTGTGATGCTAATGGGTTATTGTAGACTGACGGTATTGATGAAATACAAATGTCACCTGGTATAATAGAGATAACAGAAGAGGAAAATATTGATAATGTACTATTAGATGACAAGTGTTCAATTGAAAACTGGCCATTAAGTGAAATTAATACTGAATTAGAAACACTTATCCCTGATTTTAATACTGTTTCTACAACCAAGGAAAGAGTTACAGATAATAATCAAGTTCAAATAGAATTAGAAGGTATGTTTTATTAGAAATTTTTTATTTTGTAAGTTAGAAAACCAAATATTTATTGTTCTAGTTACTCTTACCCCAGAAGTTAATGATACAGATCCAACTTCTTCAACAAAAACTAATAAAGAAAGAAGTCTAACTAACCCACCTATACTTTCTGATGAAAATACACAATCTTCATCGTCTAGTACACCAATTACGATCAAACCTGTACAAGTTGTTTCGTCTCAAAACTCTTCTTTACCAGTAACTTCAATTTTTTCAACATCTTTAATTTCTGTACCAAAATCTCATTCAGATTCAAATTTACCCAAGGAAGTATTGTTTGTGAACTCTGTTTCAAATGCAATAACTCCTATAACTACTAACACCACTACTACTATTACAACTAGTGCTGCGATTATAGCTACTACTGCTGAGAATAAAACAAATCAATGTGTTTCTTCAATTAAATCACAAGCACAGGTTCAAATTACTTATTTAATTTTTGAATATTTAAAAATCAAATTTTATTTTAAGTACTATGATTTATTATTTTATTACTATACTTTTAGATAAATTCAAATAATAATACTGCAAATAGATCTAATAGAGCTTTTACATCAAAACAACCTCCTGGTGCCATTAACCTTGAAAGAAGTTACCAAATTTGTCAAGCGGTTATTCAAAATAGTCCTAATCGTAATCATTTGAGATGTCAACTAAAACCACCACCATCAGTACTAGTAGGAAAACAAACATTGTAAGTTTTCTTAGAAATATATATTATAATATAGTTTTAGTAGTTGTTAATTGGTTATATAGTAGAGATTCTCACTTAAATAAGTATAAAATATGTAAAATAACTTAGGTTGATACATAATTAAGATTAGGATTACTCCATTATCAGATTACATCTATAAAAGGAATATTAATATAAGACACTTAATTTACTTAACACATGTTGTTTCCATATAATAATAGTACCATATAGTAATTTAATAAATTTAAATAATTATTGTATAAATTATATAAAATATTAAAATTATTTTTTTATATTATAATCAATATACAAAATGAATTCAAGAATATTTCATGCATTTACCTTACTGTATAATAAATTTTTTTATTATTATTAAATATTTTTGTGTTAATTATGTAAGTAAACCATTTAAATATGTGACTTATAATCATATAATTAATACTATGTAATCATGTAATTTGATAAAAGAATTATCCAAAACTTAACTAGTTACCAATTATAAATTATTTTAACACCAATACTTTGTTTTTACAAATATTTTTAGCTTCAAAGCGAAGCTGAGAAGGTATTCGTTTTACTATGATGTGTTTTTTATATTTGTTAATAATTGTATGATTACTTTTATTTCAGTGTTCGGACTGGAGCTACAAAAACTATACGTAATATAAATATTAGTAATGTTTCTCAACCAATGGTTGTTAAACATGTATTTTCATCATCTAGAGGGATTCCAGTCACCATGTCAGTGTTGCCTACTTATACAGCTGATGTTAGTAAACCTAAAATTGTATTATAATAAGTTATTGTTATTAGGTCACCTATATTCATTTCAATAAAAAATTTTTTAATTTTAAAAAATTTAAAAAAAATAAAATATTTTTTAATTTCTTTTTTTAGCAACAAAAACACCAACCTCATACTCGTCATCACCAACAAAAACAACAGCGACATCTTACTGAAACCCAAATAGGACAATATGTTTTAGTACAAAGATCAGGTGGAATAACTGGTATAAGACGATCTTCTAGTGCTCCTCCAACTAACAATAAAATACCATCCTTAATAAACGGTGGTAGACCTGCTAGTGTAGGTATACAAGTATCAACTTATCCACATTCACAGCAAAGTGATTGCTCTTGCAGTTTAAATGCTATGGTGGTTTGTAAAAAGTGTGGCGCATTCTGTCATGATGATTGTATAGGGCCATCAAATGTTTGTGTTACATGTCTTATTCGATAGAATAATATGCTTAAGTATAAATATTAGGTCAATAAGTCAGTTAAATTTGTGTTTAATATAATATTTGGATAACAAACTAGAGTTTATTTTTTTTTATTAGCAACATATTGTTGGTCGTTGTTTAAATTATCAAAAATAAAAACTCATGTTGAAGTATAATGACAATTTGATTAATAAACGTTTAATGAAATGTTATATATTATTATGTTTATTATGTGCCCAGTGAAAGTTGTTATTTTATTTTTCTACTTTAAACAATTCAGAAAAATAATTTATTTTGATTTTGTTGATTATTTTTTATTATTTATAAATAGATAGATTTTCTTTTTTTTAACTTTTTATTTAAATTTTCAATTATAGGCACATGATAAGAGCACTTATAATATATTTTTTCTATTACATGAAAGTAATTTGCATTTTAATTGCTAATTTATTTGTGATATGAATATTTAACTCACATTGTAATCTCATTAGCATTTCATTGAAGTATTGTTTCTATTTTCTTGTTCTTGCTTTATATTAACATTATTAATTAACTAATAAGACTCTAATATAATTAAAAAAAAATTATAAGATAGGATGACACACCAATTTCATAAAAATTTTTAATTAGTTTTACAAGTTTTTGTTTAGTATAAGTCTATAAAATAATACATTTAAAAAGAAAATTTTTATATCTAAAAAGAATTTCCTTTCATTTAAAATGTTAATTAATAATTATTAACTAAAAATCATTGAAAAATACCTCTTTTTTGATATGTAACTTAACGGCATGAAATGTTTGTTTATTAAAATTTCAAAATTTTTTTTTTTTTTTTAAGACTAATTACTGAGACTACTATATAATTTTACTGTATCCTTAAACTAATTTATATATTTCTTGCATAATTTTGATAAAGCAAAACCGTTCAAGACATTTTGAAAGACTGCTGATCATTTTTTGTATAAATATCTTAATTATATTATTGTTTAATTCTGTAAATTAAAAATAAAAAGTTACTTTTAATTTTAAGTAAGATTAATGTTTTAATTAATAGTTGTTAGCAGTTGTATCAATACTTAAGCTATAGTCTCAATTTAATTTTCATGATATTACATAAATACAGGCCACCTCTTCAAAAATTTGTAGTTAATTTTTCTGTTTTTTATTGTATCTTCAATAATATGTGAGATCTATTTTTTAATATTAAACTATAACAAATATTTAACACTTCAAAGTAGTTTCTCTAATCGATTAAAATTGTTCCTTAATATTTTTATTTTAATAACTATCATCACCACTTTTGATGCAAGACACATGAAACTGTTATTAGAATTTTTGTATAAATTATGTTTTTTTTATATACATAAAGATTTTATAGAAATATTGTCTGTTGCAGAATATTTGAAAGGTCCAATATATTTTTGTTTGATAATAAGTTATCAATTTTACATATAAAATACATCACTTAATTGTAACTATTTATTAACTATAAGTTGTTTGTTAATTAAATCTACTTTCATAAGGTATATTTGTATTGTTATTTGTGTTAACATTTTTTTAATATTTTTTTCTTTTTGATTATTAAAAAAGATTATTTAAGTGCTGGAGTTAAGTAATCTTACCAATCTGTTTTTAATGTGATCATCTATATTTAAATTTTTCTCTCTAGTTTCTGTATTGTAAAAATATAGTATTTACTTTTTAGTTGTTATCCACAAAATTATTTTTTTGTTATTTCTTTTCTAAAATGATTCTTACATAATTTAAGATTACATTGTATTATTTGTTTTTATTTCTGTAATATAGTAATATATAGTAATAAAGTAGAAATTAAACTTAATTTTATAAAATAATTTATCTGTTAACAATGGAGATAAAGTAAATTATTAGCCTTTTATAAGAAGGCAGTCACAGTTAAATTAAATTTACATACCCATCTTAACAGAAACTAAATATTTTCATTGCTTTATTGAGTTTCATTAATGTAATGTTTATTTACAAAAATGTAAAAAATATCACATAAATATAATAAAGTAAAAAGAAAGTAACATTTTCATTCTATTTGGCCAGCTTATACCGACCACCCGTAAATATTAGTTTGTGGTCTTTAACTTTATCATCAAGGAAAATTCGAAGTTGAGTTAAACTACAGTCTACACCTGTTCCTTGAGTAGCAAACATTTTTAACATTTGGTGTATTCTATCAAGTGGTAATGAATCCAAATTTGTAAGCATACCAACAATATATGACCAAAATACCTAAAATTAGATCAAATATTTAGTTATTTTGTAAATCCAATATAGTGAAGATATAAAATTTGATTATACATAGCTGATAATATTTAAAATATTAATTAAAAACTAAAAATTATTTAACTCTGTCAGTATGTATTGAATGATGATGGTAACATTATTCTCGAAATATGATTGCAATTCTATAAAAAATTTTGTGGCTAAGTTAAATATTTTTTTTCACTTTGATATAAACTATAAAAAAAAATTAATTTTACAATATATATTATTTTTTATGTCTGTCTTCACTTTTTTCAACTTTCAACGGATTGATTTCACAAATCATATCTATTTGAACACATTAAAAGTAAACACAATCTACAGATTTGCATTGAAGCGTTTCTTATGATACTGATTTTAATCACTGTCAGATATCATCTATATTTGTCCCAACTATGCCACGTTTACACTGCTGTGACTGCACTGTACTACTCTTTTTAGTTTTAAATTAATATTTTAAATATATTTTTTAATTTTATTTAATGTACACTTATTACTTGTAACTCTTCTTCTCTTTGATCTTGTGCAGAAGCCATAGCACTTTCCATCTCATCATCGTCACAACATGCAAATTCAGAACCACGAGCTCCTATACTTCCCCTGTTACCTTTAGTTGATAAACTTGTGGTAGGAATTCCATCTTCCACAAGAATAAATGTATCAAAAGACTTTTCTCTTAACAAACCCTATAAATAAATAATGATTATTATTATTTCATTTTTTATTATATGCAATTAAAAATAACAATACAATAATTGTATTGAAGAATAATTATTATTCTTTATTGTAAAACAAAAAATAAATTTAAAACTTTATATTAATTATATCAATTTGTAATTTAAACCTGGTTTTGCCAAAATCCAATACGACGTCTTAATGTTGTTGCAGGAACACGCATTTTCATACTTAATTCATCTATGGTCCATTCCTCTAATAACAAAATGATATAACTTATAAGTAAAATATTTTTTAATTTTATTAAACAAAAAAAAAACCAATGCCTTTGTCTTGGAAATGCCATAATATGGTTGCATGAATAGGTGAAACAGAAAGATTGAATTTCCTATCATTAATTTCAATATCAATATTTATTATGCCAAGATGAGGTTTCCAATTCAGAGTGCGATTACCCTAAGAGGTATTAATAGAAAAAAAATGTATTAGTGTAATTTGGGATATTATTTTTTTATTTAAACTACTGTGTACTATTAATTCAGTCTGAATTACACTCAACTTTAAATGCTTCAAATGCTTTTGTATAATTATCCATATGTTTTTGAATAACTGATGGTAGTTCTAGATTTAAATCATCTTTAAAAGTTGGCCAAAACTGAGCTGATACAATTATTGCTGTAACAGGAAATTCTTGATCAATTTTTATGTTGCTAGTTGATAAGTTAGATGATGGATCAGAGTATAAATGATGATTTATTCGTTTAGAATCATAAACATCTTTGAGCATGACTGAACATGAATGTAACAATGATTCTCCAAATCTAGAAAAAAAAAATTTTATTTTAAATAAAATAATTTATAAATATTGTTTTAATCACCTTAGCTTTAATAGTTCTAAATATCTAATTTCTTTATCAATATTTTCCATAAATTGAGTAAGTAAACGGTCAGCAAGAAGTGTTCGATATTCATTAACAAATAATTCTCGTGTGCCATAAATATCAACAAGCATTGAAACAATATCAGAATTTCTGAATCTTTTGGACCATTGAGCTATTTAAATAAGATAAAATATTTTAAATTGTTGAAAAAAATTTAACATAAGTTGTAGAATTCATAAAACATACAAGGATTTGCATCTACTGGATCTGGCATCCAGTTAGCCCAATCAGTCATATTTTCTTCTTCATAACCATCATCATCATCAAGTGTATTTTCACTTCTTACCAATTCATCAGTCAAGTAATGACCCTCTTCAGTTAATGTAGTCATCACACAACGCACTGTATCTTCACGGCTTCGCAAATATACTCTATAAATAAATATCAATACTTGAAAATTATTTGATATAAACATAAATTTTAGCTATTACCTAATGGGTTGAGTAACTTCCTGTAAGAGTGCACCACTAGGATCAATTTTTCTTAAGACTTTAATTGCCGATGTATAAGCAGTTAAAATATCAATGGTGTTTACAGCTGGATGTAGTAGCCGATTATGTAATGCACTCTGTAATTTTTCACATAACACTGACTTTAAATCAGTTTTTTGAAGTGTGGCTGATAAGTCGATAACAGCTGGTTCTGAATCTGGATATTCTGAAATTTTAATTATAATTAACACCAAGAAAATCTACTTAAGGTTTTCGATCAGTTAACTCAAATGATGAAATATATTAGCTTTACAACTCATAAACTTTAGACTATTAACATAAAAGATAACAAAAACTGTATCATACAATATTTAATTAATAATTATAGCATAGTTAAAAATTTAAACATAACAAAAAATATTACCAATGATAATATTAAAAAGTTGTTCGATTCTGGTTTTAGTATATGACTCATAAAGTAAATGTTTTAATTTTCTCATGAACATTTCTAAACTTGTCTCTTTTAAAATTTCTACTGTGCTACATTTGGGTTTATATATATGTTTCATCCAGTCATACACAACAGTATCTATCCACTATAAAATTTTATAAGAATTAATTTTCCATAACTATAAAAAATAATAAAAATATGACGTTTTACTTTTTCTAATATTGATATTTGATGTTCTCCAAAATTTTCTTTTGTTATATCTTGCACTTCAGTCTCAATTTTTTGACGAATTAGATCAATTATGACATCACCAGCAAGTGGTTCTAATATTCCTATTTCAATCAACTGCCTATTAAAAATATAAAAACACTACATTTTTTAATAAATTACTAAATTATTTTCTTAATAGTAGATATCTATCTAATAACTTATTAAAAATTAAAACTTAAAAAATATTTAGTCAATTACTAAAAATTAAAATTATGGAAGCTTTACAATATTATTTTAACTTTAGCTACAACTCACCAATTGGTTAAATTGAACGATTCAAGAATATAATCACATCGACATTCTAAAGTCTCAAAAGCACAACCATTGCAACGAAAAGCTCCTTCTCTTGATGTGTTCTTTTTTTCTGAAAAAAATTTTTAATTAGTTTTTAAATATTAATACATGTTAAATTTAACTTCATGATTAATGAACTACACTTACCTCCAATTTCATCTTTTGTAAAAACACGCAATGCCACTCGATAAAATTGATAAATTATAGCATTATAATCATCTGGGAGAGTAGAATGAAGAATTGCACAGGTTTGAACATAAAAGTTCTTTTTCAAATTTGTTCTAGATGTATCAAATAATAGTTGTAGACGGTTAACAATTTCAGTATAAGATTGTACTGTATCATAAAGTTCACATATAACAGTTTTAAATTTTTCAAAACCACTATAATCTTCAGGCATTTGTTCTTGGTCTTTCAGAAAAGTGCATTCTACTAAATTATCAGATAGGAAATATAACCAAAACTCATTTATTATTTTCTGTTTAAGATCTTCACGAATACGGATGCTCACCATCTCATATACAAAATTTGAAAATTTGTAAGCTTTGATGATTTCCAAAATTGGTTGAAATTCTAAGTCATCACACGGTACAGCATCCTTAACAAAATAATCACTTAAATTTTTTAATACTTATTTAACTCTTAAACACTACACCTCTTTATTTTATCTTTATTTTATTAAGAACAGTCAATTTTGATTGTGTTAATAATCATCATTTAACAAATAGTGACCAAGTGATGATTTTATTATTTATTTGTAATTTTTGTAACAATAATTTAATAACGAAAACACTCATTAAATAAATTTAAATGTTTGTTCCTTATATTATTAAACTAATATACACAAAAATTAACAATTTTATTTTTTTATTGAAAAGTTTTTAAACAATTAGAAATTAAAAAATAAAATATCACTCAGTTACTCCTAGTATAACATCAACGATTTAAGATCATTACATATCTATAACTTACAAAGTTAAAAACCAAAAGTATTTTTAAACAAGTATAGATCAAATCATATTTGAAAATTTTTATGTAAAGTAAATAGGCTTAAAAAGAAAAATTTCGAACCTTGTCATTAGATAAAATTGGGAAAGCTGCAACAATATTCTTCCAATATAGATCCAATTGATTTGAATCTAAATCCATTTTCAAGACGTACGTGAAGTGATCATTTTCTAGCTAGAAATTTTTTATCAATTTAAAAATGCCGAAACAACTCAGTCAACGAACATATGATAATACCTTCCACTACTAGGTGTGCTAAGAATACAGTGAAAATATAAACAGTGATAATACAAAACTTAAGAAAACTGAAGCCGCTTCGTGAGAGAATTATATAAAATGAAAAATTGCTGTATCATTCACGCGCTCATAAGTTCTAATTAGAAATCTTTAGGCACTTAAGTTGTTATAAGAACAATTTGTAAAATTGTATAAGCTGTATTTTAGTATAATAAAAGTTACTGGACATCTTTCGGATCATTGACAAATTTGCAGAAAACTGAAACCGTATAGTAGGTAATTTATATATAACAAAAAAAAAAGGCTGTATTACTCTAATGCTCACAAGTCTTAATAGGAAATCTTGGGGCACTTAGTTATTATAATAACACTATGTAAAACTTTATAAACTGTATTCCCCTCCTCATGGGGTGAGAAGTATTTATGCGGACAGACAAAAAAAAAAGTTCAACTCTAAAATGTTGACTACGTCAATTATATTAATTGTTATTCTAAATCCATTTTTTCTCTTAAAATATCTAATACAATTTATTTTATTTATTGATAATGAAACACATAAGTACAGGAAAGATGTGAAGTAGATGTATGTACAACAATTATTTTAACTCTATTTTTGAAATTATTCCGAGTTCTGAACTGCAACATTAAAAATAAATTAGTCCCGGCGATTATTAAACTATGAGAAATCGGCCGTCCAAGTTCAAAAATTTGCAATTTTTACAAAAAAATTTGTTTTTTTTCATTTTTGAAAATATTCTAAGACATCTGACAAATCGAATTTCGCACCAAATTAATGTAATTTTATCACGTGTTATTATTAAAGACAAAACTTTTTTTTAATCAAATAATATTAAGAATAATTTAATAATATATATTTTAGTCATCACACTCTCCGGAATATGGTAAAAAGTTAATAAGAAAAAATACATTTTATAGACTTATGTTTCCATGTTTGAACCCCTCTAGTTTCTAAGGCTTATAATTTATAAGAAGTTCGCAAAAAAATTTTTAAATAATATTAAATGTTCAAAGTTGGTTTTTATTTAAGATAAAAATTTATTTAAAAAAATTATAGTAGTTTTAATAAATTTCAAGTAAATTAAAAAAAAATTAAATTTTTAAAGTAATGACTTTCTATCAGATATGATCATATTTTTTTTACGTACTATTTGACAATATTAGGTCAGTAGAATTTGAGAAATAGTGGTAACAGATACAAAAAATTATAAATGCCCATTAACCGCATTAATTGTGTCAATGATTTATGAGGCCTATGAGCATCAAAATATAGTAATCTAACTACTTAACGTCGTTTCCACTAAAAATATTATATTATAAATTGACATTTTGTTTAGTTTTCAGCAATATGTTTTTAAATAATACCAAAATATCGCATAACAAATGTTGAATATTTTAAAGGTATATTACACATTTTGAATTTTATAAAAAATAATATCAATAATATATTCATTAAGGTACTCCTTAAAATACAAATTTTCAAAATTCGATTTACGTGTACCAAAAAATTGTTCTACTACATGTAAAAATAAGCCATGAAAAATTTGGTAGGCCTTAACACGTACCGTAACAGGGTTGAAAATTTGATCATAAGGGTAGTTTTTGTGCTTTATATCAAAATGTATGATTTTAACATAAAAGTTTTTAAGAAAGACATACATGTAATTATTTTGCATGACTAAGATTATTAGCAAAAAAGTCATAATTTAAATATTTACCATCTAAAAGTCAAAAGTTCCATAAATATTATGTTTACTGGTACAATTCATATATTTCAGCAATTTAAATATATATACGATGAACCGTTCAAGTTATAAAAACGTCTCTAAAAATCTAACGTAGTTTTAAAAACAAAATGTAAACGGGTATCTATCTCAACAACACGCACATTAAGAGATTTTAAACAATTAATAGAGGCAGTTGCATACTCGTCGACATCCTTTTTAATTGTGGCGACATCACTCGACAGTTTTTTCAAAGTCTCTACACACACAGCCCTGTTTTCCGCAATAGTCTTAAGCAAAATATAAAATTGCTCGTCCGTTCGTTTAAATAATACAGCGTTGGCCTAATTGGTTTGTTTAGCTTATACACTTGCCTCGTTATTCTTTTTGTAAGCCACCATAATTTCAGCTATCAGTATCTGTAGAACAGATAAGGATAATGAAATCTCGTTTCCTCCGTAGTCTCTACGCACAGCAGAAAGGGATGGTACCAAAAGCGACCGATCAAATGCTACACTAGATTGCAGATCATAACCCAACCATTCAGATTACTTTGACATACGTTTTCTTGCAACTTCAGACAAAAAAAATATAAAAATCAAACTACCAAATAAAACTTAAAATAACAATAATAACCACCGAGTCTTTCAATAAGTTAGACATCAAATAACTATTTAACATGAGAAAAAGAAATATTCTAAATAACAAATTTAAGGGTCGTGCAACCGCTAGTGTTATAAATTTAAATTAATGTAATTGACTAGTTAAAAAAATTAGTATAAAAAATGTGCATTTTCTGACCATATGGCTAAATTTGCAGTGTGAATAATTAATAGTAAAAGAATGAATGAAGTAATTCTTCCACAAATTTAAGAAACTAATAATTGTAAGTAATCAATAAGTAGAGTATAGTAGCAACCAATTTTTTATTTTTTAAATAACAGTACACACGTGTTGTGTAATGATGCGCTGCAGAAGCTAACGGTGTCAGTTTACACAAGTATGTACATTTATTAATTGTTATTGACTTGATACGTCTCTTTCCGTCATATAAATATTTTGCGTTCGTAAATTCATTTAATTTTTCCTCACACAGTCATAGTTGTTAACATGTTTATTTCAATGTGAATAAATTTCATATTCTTATGTACTAGCGTTGAAGTAATTAAGTAGAACACTAAACCAATCGTTGTCACTACACACTTTATTTTTTATAATATTATCATTATTACATATAGTCTCAAACACTCTAGCACATTGGGGTATGGTATTTTAAAGAAACTCGTGAATTCTAACATCTGACTTATACGTGTCTGCACCCGGAGCACCTTCTACGGTGACAGCGGGCAACAGAGTGAACTTTATCTGACTAAGTCCCTGGATTACGACTCACGCTGTCATGGCAGGCGCACTCAAGCGTTTTAAGATGCAGAAAGTCGAATCCTCAGTATCGGCGACCGGTACGGGCGAGGAAACGAATCCGCGGGCGTCGTCATAAGGCGGCCCCAGTTTTAATTTAGTTGGTTACTTGGCAAATGTGAAATTCATTGCTATAAGAAAGCGACATGGTATTTTGCAATAACATGAATTTCATGTTACGTTTGTTCCATAAATGAATCTTTGCGTAAAACGATTGAGGTTAATATTTGCAAGTTAAACGATGAAATGTGTCGATTTATAGATTACTCGTATGTGGGATTTCGTATGTCATTTTTAAATTGTGCAAAAAGATGTGTCGATTGAAGGAAGAACAAAAAGAAGAAAACAACAAATTCATCACTCCAGCAAATTGGAGTAAACCTAGTAACGCAGATGAAGAGTCTGGGTATCAGGCCATGCTTGTTATTTTTGTTTTTGGGGTCGCATGTCAAGGTTTCGACATAACCTGCAAAATATCTAAGAATGTAAGCTATCTAACGTTGTAACGTTTTGACTTTGTTCCGTATATGGAACAAAAATCAGTTTAAACCATGAACACTATTCACAAAAAAAAAGTTATATAGGACCGTTGGCATAAGAAATTACCTGGGATTTCTGGAAATTTGTCTACATATACATGCAACAAATGTAATTTCAGATTCATCAGGCATTCTAATAATAAAAAAGATTAATAAATAAATTGGAAAAAAAATTAAGTTTAAAACTAAAATCAAGCGAGATCTAATTGACCAATGGTAGGTACTAACGGTTACTGCTGCCCTTTTTCTACCCCTACTTTTAATCGCCTTTTACAATAATAAGTAGGAGTTACTGTGAAACTATTGTAATCGCCATCCCACAGAATAATTCAAAGACCCAGTTATTATTAAAAAAAATATAGTTATTATACCTCGACATAATAAATTAATACTAACTATTAATTATAACTTGTGAATTGCAGATTTTGAAAATCTTTCTTCTCATCGCATTGCATTAATATTAACATTTATACTTATCAATATTTGAAATTTAATGATAGTAATATAAAGTCATATAACAGTACATATTGTAGTCTGCGGTGACACAGACAATAGTTCTTTTGTGATAGTAACCCATCTAATAATATAGGCATGAATCTCTTACTCTTTATTATAGCAGTCCTCAGAAACAATCGGTTATTTTCAACAATTGACAATTTGTGGGATATTTTCGCTAATAAAAAAATGTAGATGAATTTTTTCAGCTAGAAGTAATGTGAGGTAATTTTGAGATGATTTTTAATATTAGCCTAGTAGAAGTTGAGTGTTAATGAAGCAGACAAGAAAAAAATATCTTGATAAAATTAATATCTTTTTAGTTTCAAACGAGAGGTAAATTTTGATCGTAGTCAGCAAGTACGTATCCGGAATTTAATTAAGAAAAGGAGTAAAAAAAATGTTTTCTTTGGCTAATCAATACTATAAATCTAACTGAATATCTAAAATGTATGTTTAAAATATTTCGAAAAGATCCATTATCCTCTCTTGGATACACGTAGAGTTGTTAGTAGTATATAAAATCCTGTATATCACTGATCCTTCTATACTCTCTTGCACTCCAGTAAAATATGGAAAAGGAGAGGTTTCACTTCATCTTACAGCTAGTAGGTTTACCAGAACCTCAAAAAACTTAGCGACGGCACTACTAATTATGTACCAAATATTTTTAAAGAGGTTAGATTACATTTTTATAGTGATTAAAAGACCACTTTGCTGACTTTTATTGTTTGATTTTTTTTTTTGTTAAAGAAGTTCAATTTATTCATGATTAAATAATCTGTGTTTTTTTCTCATTAAATATAGTTTATTCGTTGGCATTTATTATACAGGGTGTTCAGTAAGTCAGGAAACGGGTTTCTATTGTTCTCATTGTTTGTAACAATAATAATAACTATAAGAGTTTTTTTATTTGGTACATTTTGAAACTCATGACTTCTAAGTCGTAGGCACATGCTCAATTTTGTTTTAAGGGATCTAGGACATGAATTAAATTTAAGATCACTCTAAAAATAATGTTTTCATCATATTTGATGCCATTCAAATTTTGTATTTTAAAAAATATAACTTTACACATTTAAGGCGATCAAAACTTTAAAAATATATCAATTTAATGAAAATAACATTCAAACTATATATTTTAAGTTCTATCATTATTAAGATTATTACTTAATTTGTCATTCTTAAATATAATTAATGAAAATATCATTACAAAAGATGGAAGCCCTGAGGAGGCAGAATGCGCCATTGAATCTCCTAGGATTTTTCGAATCATTATTAACAAAACTAACGTAAAACATATAATCCTTTATTTCATTTATTTTAATTTGAATTTGAGTTTTTATCAACGTAAAAGAAATTCGGCGGCAACTGGAATTGGGAATTGCCTACAAGGTTTAAACTGTTTTTAGAAATGTTGCACACCTGGGAAATTTTTCTGCAGGCAACGTTGTTAAAACATTAATACAATAAATTATTTGATAAGTAATTTATTTTATAAAACATAAAATTCTTAAAAATAGTGATATTTTGGGGGCCCTTAACCTAATGAAGCAGCCTTTTAACAAGAACATGACATTATCTGCACCCGCTGTTGTTCCAGCAATAAATTTAAGATATCAATTGTCAAGACTGTAACAATCATGTATTTTCAAAATGCGCCTTTTAATTTGACATTATTTGAGTACTGTGACATACACGGTATCAGGTGTGCAAATGTCGTTCGACAACGTAATATTTTAGTAAAAAAAACAAATTTTGATTTATTATTAATTTTTTTTCATGTATAGAAAACAGTATAGACAAGAGATGAGTCGGTTGTCCGACAATTACTTGGAAGCCCCAGGTATTCGGTCCATCTCTAAGAATAATACATTACTTTATTTGAATTTTGTTATTAGCAAAGGTTTTTTGATATTATTAAAATATTTTTCTAATTTATTACATTTGTACCTCTTCAAATGTGGCGCCCGGGGCCACTTAACTAGTTACTACCTATATTTTTTTATAAAAATATCATTACTCTGCCATTATCGAATTGCATTGAATTGAATTTATTCGTTGTTGCACTCGTTCATTATTCGCTTATTTATTTGTCACAACAAAAAGTAATGATTATTTTCAAATAATAAATAATTAATAATTTACTTATTAAGAATTTTGTATTATTAAATAAAGCATACTAAGGTATCACATTTAATGACTAAATATTAAGTTATAATAAATACATAAAGTTATTATTCTTTGAGAGTGGTCTCATAATCTGTTACATCATCATCTGTCACATTTTTTTCAGTATTTTTCACATAATGATTTATTATTTGTTTGTATTTGCACGATTCAAAGAACCATAAAATATCAACGGCTAAAAATTATATTATGTGTGGTTTTTACTAATTTTTTAGTAATACTCAAAATGGAGTAATTTAAATTTTAAAAAATTGTACTATTTAAATCAGTTACTTGTTTAAAATTTTAAAGTTATATATATATATATATATATACACATATGTATACACACCACTGGCCACTGAAAATAAATTGGTAAATATTTATTTATCATTGTAATTTAAATATTTAAATTTTAAAGTTTCAAATATATGCCGTGGTAATAATCCTTAAGTTCCATTAAGACAGCTGTCCAACTTCCAAGAGGGGTGGCTGTTAGTTGATGTTCGTTATGTAACTCAACCATTATAAGTAATTAAAATATTAATGATTGTGTACTCTAGTCTTTATANATATCAGTAAATTATTTAAATCGTATATATACCTGTAAAAAATAGTATTATTGCTTAAATTATAATTACAAAATCTAAAATTAATTGCGCAAAAAAATAATTTATGTTATTTTTGACGTGTTATTTTGTAAACTACAAATAGTAGTAAAAAGGATAAAAAACAGACAACTTGATGTAATGGAATAGAACCCTAGTGTGCCTATTCAGTAAGATATGTGCGTTCATTGCTAAATTGTGACGTAATTAAAGTAAAAAAAAAAATGTTATTACCCTTTTCATTTTTGTTCTATTCCTTCATTCCTCCTTAATTATGCCCTGACCTAAATTAATGTCATTGAATCAAGAAAAAATTGTGTTATCTGAAATCGAATGTATTTAGGCCCAGCTGTGTTGAAAAAGTAATAAGCCATTAAATAAACTTTGATTATTGTGTTAAAAATTGCCCAGTTGATTAAATCTAAGTTAACCCTTTCCCTATTCTGTACCTATTATTTTACTTATTTGAAATTGTAGTTTGAAGTTAGAACTGTGCTAAATGAAGTTAAATTATGTAAACAACAGAATTAATTCAATTTTATTTAAAAGTTTAAAAAAAGAATACCACAAAAATCAATTTTCATCCTATTCTAATAACGTTTATCGATAAAAATCGATTTAGAGTTATTTAAAAAAAAAATGAAATCGGATCTGGTTAAAATTAATTTTATTTTAATTAAAAACTTACGCCATGTATAATTTTTTTATTCCAATATCATAAATGACAAATTTATAAAGATATACACCAATTAAAAGTAATAAATGCCGTACTATTACGCATATATCAAATGTTACACCGAACTCATCATTTTCACTAGAAGGATCTACATGCTACAAAAAAAAAAATCATATACATATAAATTTATAATTATGCATTAATTTTATTGATTAATAATTATTAATTCCTTTATCTTTGATGTGTTCAAGAGCGTTTTGGATTTGTACCATTTCAAAAATGACACATATATAAGACCTCCTATAGAGAAAACTTCAATTCCCAAAATGGTTATGACAGAAGAACAGATGTAACCAAAATAAAATTTCTAAGAGGACTGAATGTACATTTCCTATTACCATAAAAACTATTTTTATGTATCAATAAATATAATTTTCTTAACATTTGGGCGATTAAATTTCCCTGATTACGTTAATTAGTAGTGTAAAATTTTTTAAGTTTTAATTATCAATAATATACTGTAAAGAAAATAATTATTTTGTTTATACAAAGTAATTCATTCAACCTCTGTATTAATCTAAAAATAAAAATAACATAATAAGAATTGATCACTTGTAGCTAATATTATTTATAATGATAATGATTTTTTAAATAAAAATAATATTTAGAATTTTTGATTAGTTTCTTTTAGGTCGTTATGTTTTTCTCAATCATATAGTATTTATGTTCATCCTTTATAAAGGTGTTAATTTTATTTTGGCAACATATTGCAACATATTTAAATAATATAATTAAAAAAATGACTGATTGAATATAATCAATATGACTTATATAATAATAACTAATTATATAAGGAATAAATATAAAAAAACATGTCATCATTGATAAATTGAAAAAAACATTTAAAGAATAAAAAAAAAAAATGGAAATAAAATTTAAATATTTAAAAAATTGTTTTAAAATAATTATTGTAGACTAACTTCTTCGTACACTAAAATGAATGTAACTAGATTGATTAATAATAAATAAAATATCAAGTACAACAAACAAAGGAATCCTGGATCTGAAATAAAATATTTTTGAAAATTTTAGTATTCCTAAAATATATAACATATAATTTTACATTTTAAGTTTCGTAAAACATACCATTGAAATCACTGGGCCATGGACGAGTGAAAATCACAGCAATAAAAAATAAAACGCAATGGATCTAGTTTGAGAAAATAAAAAAATTAAATAAAAATAGATGCAAGTATAATTTATAAAAAATAAAAAAACAACTATTATGTACCCTGCAAAAAATATTAATGGGAATTTATATACTTACGTTATTAATTTATTTTGGTCATTAAAAATAATAATTTTTTCATTTTGGTTCCCTGAACGTGTAGTCAATTTTTGTTGAAAAGACAGCTCTGTGGGGGAGCATTCATCCGGAAAGAAAGAGACTTCAGTACAACATATAAATTTAATCTATTTTTTAGAGTAATAACAATGTGGTGGGCCATAAAGAAGCAACTAGCGTATTAAAACGGGGGAAACTATTATAAAAGCATTGTAAAAAAATAGTAATTTCATACACGCAAACCCTCCAATTTAGGTTATTTATATTTTTTATAGTTTAAAATATTAATTAAGCTTCTACAAATTTGCTATTGACATGATAATGATGTAAACTTTTAAATGTAATCATAATAAAATATCAATTATAAAGTATGTAAAATGACAATTTTCTAATCAATCTAACACTAAGTTATGCAATGTAAGGCGAACGACTATAAATACTTATTAAATTATGTAAATATCAATTTTACTTACACATGATATTTTTGAGTATGTATTTATAGAGTTTTTAATATTTTCAATACTCTTTGAACCTTTTGGAATCAAATCATAGTACTTCATTTTAACATAGAATAGACACTTATGAATATCAATAGAATTTACTATTATAACTTTAGTCGCTTTAGTAACACAATCTAATTTTCGTAATGATTATTTACTCCTCGAAAAGTAAAAGGTTCTTATAAAATAATAAAATTTTGAAATAAATTTCAAGAGATAAAAAATTAAAAAATTATAGTTAATCATTATAATTTTTTAACGAAACATGATTTTTAATGAGATGAAATTATAATAGTAATGATAAACTGATTAAATATCATTACTGATAACATTCTATGTTTTAAGAATTCAGACAAATTGTATAAATAGATTGTCAAGTTATGAATTTTGAAAAAATAATCAACGTATATTCTTGCAAGTAATTCTGCTAATACAACTCAACTAAGTTTAATATCTACATTGATAACTTAGCGTTCATATAGTTTTATTTTTCTCAATACCATATTGCCTGCTTAGTAAAAACGCAAAAAAACTTCTACACCCTTATTTGTCCGCCGGGGTGTCTGAATGGCACGCGCTGAAACATCATAGAGCAGTGATAACTGACTGGGGGACAGTTGTGAGGGTCAAAAACAAGAGGATAAAGTCTTTTTTTTTTTTTGGCAAAAAAATAAACCTGCACAAAAGTAGATCTGCCTCTGGCCTTCAGTTTAAAAAAAGCTAGTAATATATTTATATATTTCTATGTCACAGACCACGTCAGTTGCATGAGTCACTGGTCCATTTTGTAATCGTTTTATTGAGAATATTGTAATCAATAAATGAAAGCGAAATATATGATTTTTCTTTAAATTTGCGCACGTACTTACTTTTATAGAATTACATTTATTAGTATTAAAACAGATTTTATTCGATCTGCGTGGAAATTGTTGATACACATAAATTTAATATTATAAAATACCTAACATTAATTTTTAATATCATTTTAGGTCCTCGTGACAAAAAAATAAGTATAATCGATAAACGCCAACATAAAATAAAAAACAGAATATTTATTGACTGTACTGAGAAATAACCTCAGTTTATAGGTTGGGTATGTGACGGCGGATGGTAAGTATTCCACGAATAACCATCATTTGTCTGACCCCGTTTTTTTCGCTATTCTACTTTGTCTCCAATAGAATCACATATTTAAATCGGTTATTAAATATAACTAAAGATCTATTAACTGATAGAGAAACAAAAGAAACTGTTTTTGGTAGGAAGCTTATTTAATTATGGTTTCGTTTAATTATGGTATGTAGTAAACCGTCTCAAACTATATTTAAAAATAATTGATTCGTTAGCTTTACATAGAGACTATTCGCTCTAGTCAGTAGGAATTATTACTGAAGTTAGCTCGAAAAATTCTTTTTGTGCATTTTCCTATTTTGTAACGTAATTTTCAATTTTTTTTTTAATTTCTTAATCGAAATTATTTTTTAGTATTCATGCGAAACTGGCAAGGTATTAGTTCTGTGTTAATGTGCGTTATTTTAATGTTTGTTCATGAAAATTCTCAGCTTTTACTGTACCGATTTTAATGATTATAATGTCATTATTGGATTTCAATCTATTTGAACCCATTTGCACCAAAAATTTAAAAAAACCCATTATTTTTAGAAATTAAAAAAATTATCTCAAAATTACGCTATCGTAAAAAATAGCATTTTCATAATTTTTTTTGACACTGATCCATAAAGATTTTAATAGAATATACTAGAGACATTAAACTGTCTTTGGTATGCTGTTTGAAATATCCAATTAATAACTTAAGTACAGAATGTGTTTGAAAGAGATCATTTACGCATGTAAAAAAATTTTTTTATCTTAAATTTTGAAAATATTTTAGTGTGACATCTTCTAACCTTAATCAAATTAAAGATTTTTAAGTGAACTATTATATTAAAAAAAAATTATCCTGATGATTGTTTTACTATGTAAAATAGGTCGTCAAAGTAAAAAACAATGTCATTTTCAATTAAGCAAATAATTTAACAAGTATTTAAAATTCCAGTGAAAATTTAAATCATATAAATTATAAAATTGAAAACATACAATTTATGAAATTTAACAGATACGCATCGAAACGCCGTTTTTTTATGATAGTGATATTAATGACTGTAAAATATCATCTATACTTTTGCTTCCCAATTTTGACGCTTCCCTTTTGTTCTGTAACCTCACTGTGCTGGGTTGTTTATACTGAATAGTTGCAGTAGAAATTTTACAATATTTATCGACGAATGAAATCATTTATGCAACTTACTTCATTTGATGACCAAGTACTTAATTTAAAAAATTTGATTTAAGTTACTAGATAGAAAAACTATAAAGATTTCAAGTTTTTTTATTCTTGTAGCATCCAAAATTTCGTAATTATGTCAAACTCAAATTAACTAAATAAATGTTGACATAAAAATACTATATTATTAGTACCTTATAATTATACAAATGATAAAAAATATATACTCTATAAAATAATATCTTTATATTTGACTATAAAAATTAAAATACAGATATGCATGTATTCGAAGTTATACTTAGACCAATGGCCTTAAATGCCGCAGTAGTTAAAAAATAAAATAAAATATATTTATGTATATAAACATGTATACTTAATAATAATCAATTAATTATTATTTAGCATAACGGGTATGCAAAAGAAAACTTTACAATCATTAAAATAAAATTTGTAAATACCGTTTTATTTGTGTTTTCTGTTAGAGAAACACAAAATATAAATAAAATTGCAAAGCGCGCACATAAAACGATGTCCAAATAAAAACTATGAGCATGGACTTAAAAAAATGGGTATCTCTCAAATGTCTATGGACAACCTTGGTAAAAATTTCAATCTTTTTATAGAAAATGGCTGGCGGCAATAAGCGTTTTTGTCAAAAAAATCGTCCATTTTAAAGGAATTAAAAAAAAATTCACATATTCGCGTTTTTCCCAGAGTAATGCTGTCGAGCTTTTTTATTATAAATAAAAATGTTGAAAAGTGAAGCTTGTTAAATTCTAGTATTGATAAATTTTACAATGTTCTATTATATATTAATATATTTTAATGGCTTTAAATTAATGTAATTAATCGTATTATGTATCAATGCATTATACAATATAATACATATATTTTTAAACTGATTAAGTGTATTTTAGCATAACTTACGAACTGTGCTAAACGCACAGTGCGTTTAGTGTTATTTTAATTAAATGCATACGTCAAATCTGACTAAATTATTTGTGAACTATAAATACTATTATTAATAGTTAGACAGTTTATTAGATACATGAATTATTTATACTTTATGTTGTAAATGAGTTTTAGTATAAGTGTGTCTAGATAATTATAGTTTACTGAGAATCCCGGAATAGTCTTAACCACATAGTTTGTTTAACAAACTATACAAGTGGAAAGACACATATACATTGAGTTTTTAGTCGAGCCCTTTCATCTGAATCGTAAAAGTTAGAATCTTCCTATAAATGAAGAACACCGGATAATACATTCTATTTATAATAACTTTGTGATAATGGAATTCAAGTTAAACATCATATTGACCGAAAACACTTCTTCAAAACTACTTGGAACTATATGCAAGATATCGTTGCTACAACCTGCAAACATTGTTATATAGATACATATAAATGGAATCACTTTCGGCATTTGGGTTTCTTCTTACCTCACCGTAAACTTTATTAGTACAATATTACATTACCGTTGATATTATATACAATATCAGTAGATATAAGATTCAATGTTTTCACTACTTTAGTAATGATATTGATTTTTCCATTTTAACCAATGAAAATATGATGGAACTCAGTATATACTATTACTTGTGGTGGTCATTCATGCAAGATATTCAGTTTAAAACAAAACTGTGTAAACATTAAAAGTTTTACTTAATTTCATATTAAACCAATAAATAATAAAACTTGTATTACTTAATGATTAATCAATTTGCATCAAATAATGGGTTTAAATTCAAAACCACTGCAATAAAAATGTAATACAACAGTCCTGAAACTACCGAGATACCTGTGTGCGAATAGTACCCTCACTTATACTCCTAATTATATTTAAAAAACGGTTAATCTACGTTCTTATTTAACTAGGAGCTCCTGTAACTGCTTTCTCTGCACATTTTTTTTACAATACTGAAAATAAAATGTTTTATATTAGTTAATGTACGTCTTTCTAATAATTATTTAAAAAAAACTGTTTTCATACAGACTCGTTAGCTGTATAAAAAATACTTTTATTAAACAAGTATTTGGCTCTTCTTAAACTGAATACCGAGTTCAAACCTGTGTTTCATAGTTAATTTAGGATATAACTTACTGTTCTCTATGAAGTATAATATATTATATTTCATAACTTACAATAACATTATAAACAATAATAAAATTATATATTATAACTTCATAATGACAGGTAATATGAATTAATATGTATTGTTGATATTTTAATTATAACAGGTTTTTCAATTCAAAGAGTACGCCTAAAATAATTAAGGAACATTAATTTTACCACAGAATGTATTTTATGGTAACTTTTTATCTATTATACTTACTTTTACTTATTAAACATCATACATTATAATGCTTGATACATACTAATAATATTTCAATAGCAAATTATTTATTTGAGCTGTAATCATTGATTTTGAAATTGCGTACAACTAAAATGTTCACATAGAAAATCCTATTATTTTAACGCGCATACATTATCGATCGTCTATACTTTTTAACCACAAATGAATCTAAAAAAAAGACAATATACATTTTAACAATAAAAATTCGAATCTGAATAATGTATATAAATTTGAATTTACAACCCCAACAACGGGACATTCGTACGGCTGCAACGTGAAGAGCAGTGGAGGGTTGTCACAGGGGATGCAGGGTGATGCAATAGGGATTCGTTTACTTGTATTGCCTTTTTTTGTATTACCATACATTTATGAAAATTGTACAATATGTGTAAAAATATATACGCTCAAGTAACATTTTTGGGGTGAAATACGGGATGCATTGTTAGTATTTTTATTTTATGTTTTTGAAAAAAAAAAGAAGAAACATTAATTTTTGCGTGATATCGACGAAAAATAGTAAATTCTGTTATCGGTGGGGGTGGTAGTGTGGTAATGGGGAGAGATTCATATTTTACCCTCGCGTTGGCGGTCAGTATGCGCTATCTAAAAACAAGAGGAACGGAGAACGACTAAAAATGCAACCGGGACGACGATGCTAAGAGGAAAAGTCGAAGGGGGGTACGATCTGTCCCCTTGTCCCTCGCCGTCCAAGGAGGTGGACGTAGACCTAATAGTGCTGCGACGTTGGTAACGGCGGCGGTGACGACGACGACCCCTCCGTCGGCGACCAATAATCTTAATAACGTAAAACTGGGCGGTGTTCGCACACACATACACACACTTAGGCATACGCGACGCACACGAGCATACTCAAAAGTCAGAGGGTGACAAACGTCCACATATACGCACACATAGGCACAGTGCGCAGCTCGAAAACTTATTCCCCCGCTCCACGCCCTCACTCCACCACAAAAACGTACTTGTATAAAAACTAACTAAAATTGAATTTCATATCGTGTACTCGCCTCCGCCACCGACGGCCGCAGGGACCCTCACCCCACGCCGCTCATACACGTTATATATGCGTCGTGTATACACCGCCGCGTACGGCGAACCAGCGTGTTTCGCACGTGACGTCACTCCCGCATCAATCGATACTTTTATACTATTTTTTTCCCCTATTTTTATTCTTTTTTTTTCCCACATAGATATAAAAACCGTTGGCGACGGCGGCAGTGACCGTCTACAATACAATAATTGGTAAAAATACGACGGAGGCGGCCAACGTTGCGTTTGTAACGTACAACAACATATACCAACGGTGGCGCGACGGTTGAAGCAGTAGAAGAGACGGCGGCAATAACCTCATGCTCATGATTCACGTCGACCGACCCAGTCGATATGCGTGTGCGATCGTCGGCGGGACGTTATTGACGCACGCGAGTGTCTGTTGAACATGCGACAGCGGTGCGAGCAGTGCGTTCGTCGTTGAATTTTAATTTTGATTTTTTTTTTTTTTTTATTTACCTTAAGTTTTATTACACCGGTTGTTATTGTCCATTACTATTTGGCTTATTGTCGTTGTTTCAATTCCGCTGCGTATACGTATTTGTGATGTGCTCGCGTTATTTTAAAAGAGATATTAAATATTAAGACTGACAGTATTCATATAGATATCAACGCTATCTTTGCGGTCGTCGAGCATGAATCACTTCGGTTGCCGACAGGTATATCGCCGGCGTTGTGCTAGACGTCTCGCCTCACCGTCCTCATTTCCGTTTCCACCGGCGCCCCAGCATCGCTATCACAAGAGATATACGTTTTACACAAGTAAATAAAAGCCAGATACCGTTACATTGAACGTATTTCATCATTTATAATTACTTATTTTTTATTTGTCATATTAATTTTGATATTTCTCTATGAGTACTACATGGACTGAATTCCATAATAAAAACACATCAAAACCAAAGGTGTTATTAACTTATTAAAGCCGATCGCTAACAGTTATCGAATTATCTATGATTTTTGCGAAATTTATCTATGAAATTTGCTACGTTTACCAGGATTCTTTTATAAAAAAGATCATCTATTTTAGCAAAAACATGAAGTAATTACAATTGATTTAAAAGACTATTTATATTCTTTTAGTACAATAATATAAACTTTTCGTTAAAAAAACTCACGAGGAAATGATTATTTAGTATTAATATTCATAAATATTTCATGTTTTACCATTTAATTTTTCTTGTCTAGGTAAAGAAAAACATTTTTATGACTTCTTTAATTGATACGGATAAATAATATTAAGCCTTTTAGTTAGCTTCAATTTTAAAAAATGATTTCAACGTGCGAATCGATATAATTTTTCTAAGGATTGAGGGCTTAAATCTTCTATTATAAGCCTATGGTTTAAAATTTTATTATACTGTCTTTTTCACGACATTTTTAGTATAGGTTTTAAATTAAAGCGTATGTTTGTGTTTGTATGGGTAGACGTACATAAATTATTAAAAAGTCTATGGACGAACAGGACAAAAAATAAATTTATTTTCATATCGCATGTTTTGGTAATTTAATAATTAAACCATTAATTAATGACTAATTAAAAATTATTACCAAATAGACTATAAAAGGGAATTTCTGGATTTCCAATCTATTACGGAAATGTTTACTTCCCTAAGGACTCCCGAGTTTACCTCAAAGTAAAGGTTTTTTGATAATAAATGACAAATGTTGGTAACGAAATAAATGAAAAACTATACCTTCAAAAATTGAAGCATTTTGTCCTAAATCGGGGTATATGACACAAAACACTCTGTTAAAGTAAAATTTAAAAATTAGGGATTCGATGATTATATTTTTTTGATAACTTTTTGTAAAAAAAAATACCATTTTTCATAATTAAAAATACAAATATTATCGATTTATTTGTTAGTAGTCAGTGGTAATGCGCCAACACATCGATTGAGCACAGGATCAAAATAAATACAAACAAATAATTATAAATCTTTTTGTCGACTCCGCTGCAATTAATCTTATCAAAATTTGTTGAAAAAATATTAACATATTAAACAAATTTTTTTTGTCTCTAATATTGTTAAATGTTACTTTTTAGATTTACCCTTAAGATTACTTTTATGTCACTTTAGGGCTGTGAATCTATATCCTATTTCATTTACTTAAAATGTTAACTGCCTTTTTAAGTATTAAAAGCGAAATATTATTAAAATTGTTTAATCGGTTGTTCAAAACATAATTATAAAATATATATTTTAGAAAATTTACGGATGGCAGTCCAGTGGCGTTATTTTACGTAAGGTCAATCAAATAATAATAATGTTGATATTATATTTTTAATTTTATTAATTGGCCATTCTATAACCTTACACGAGTTGAATCGTGCTCGATTATAATAAAAGTGTCTAATTAATCGAGCTTCATTTAAAACACAGCAACACAAGCGGCCGAATTGGTTATTTTATACTACGATGCCAAATAATTTATAAATACTAACCCTATTTTACGTTAAAATTTGATATTTTATTAAAACGTTCTGTTAAATAATTAATTTTGAGTAAACAAATCAGAGTCGTGTATTAGTCGGCGGTCAATATCATGTTTTATTAATTTTTTTACCTTGGTAGTAATTATTGTAGCAGTTTAGCAATGCAAATTATTTATGTATTTTTCTTAATGAAATGTACGTTAAAAAAAACTAAATAAAAAAAATTTATATATGCTATTATTTAAATTAAATCAATTTATATATGTGTTAAAATTAACAGTTTTAAGTGGCATTAAGCATTTAAGAATGTATAAAGTATCTCTTCTTTTGGAGTTCCAAATGTAATCGTTTTTCGCGTCCTATCAATATATTGAAAAAGCAAACTTAAGAGTATAGTAAGAAGAAAATAAACCAAAATAATTACTAATGTCATGAACAAATAGGTAACAAGCGTGCTGATAGCATAATGAGTATTAATTTTATAATCTATAATGGCTATATAATAATCAAGGTTAAAATTATTTAAATACGATAAAATTTATTTTGAATATTGACTTAGTATAGTTATATTTTGGTCCATTGTGTTCAATTGATCCGATTGTGATAATATACTTAATATTATATTTACTTGAGTTTTTATATAAAAAAAATTGTTTATCTTATTTTGTTTGTTTTATTATATTTTTAATATACAATGACACGAACATTTGGTGCATCATACTGTATTAATTGAAAATCAAAGTTCTATTAAAGTATCGCTAAAAACAGTAGAATACTAGGAATTGTGAGCCTTTTTTCTTTTGAAGATACAATGCTTACTATCACCGTCATATTGTTTAAGAATGTTCTTTTTATTGTTGTTTATACTATTTTTGAGTTAAAAAAAATTAATTATTAGGAAATATTCTTGGAAAACTATCCGCTGAGTTTAAAATTATATTTTCTTAGAAATCTGTTTTCCAAAGGCTTTTTAATTGTATATTACTGCTTTACACTTCACTGTAAACGTCTATGCTCAAGTATTATTTTGATAGAAATTGCATTTTAGAAAATTGAGCTTGAATTTCTCTTGTGGGATTAGATAGAGTATCTTATAACTGAATTTGTGGTATTTTCCTGTAACTATCTTCTTATAAATACATTTTAGATTACTATAACTAAAACGAGCTGCCACTGTGCATCTCTCTTGCTATTACAATCTTTTTTTATTTTATTTTAATTGCATTAATAATACACTAATAAATTTGTCGTCTATATTTAATAAAATACAGTAAAATCTTTTTTCTTATTTGGATAAGAAATTGCTTATTGCATACTAATGGCTTTTGAAAGGTAATGTCATATTTAAGTGTTATGAACATACTGTAAAACCTATCAGTTCATACAAATAAATTAATAAATCCATATAAAATTCTAAATAATGCATGCTAATTTTAATTAGTTTCTTTTCAAATGAAAGAATATTATATTAATAAACGAATATTACTAATGAGAAATTAATTAAGCTCGATTAACAATAATGTGTAAATTTTCTTTACATTTTTAAATATATTCTTATTTGTCGATTTTTATTCGTTTAAACTTCATAAGAACGACGTCGGTATGCAGTATTAATTTAAGCATAACTGAAAACTTAAATTATTTCTCTCATCTCGCTAGTATTACCTTTGCCTTTGCTAGTATTACCATTTTTTTATTCGTTTTTTGTTAAAAATTTCTTAATTTAAAATAAATTCTTTTTACTCCTCTAAATATCGGGAGTCCCAATTTATTATATTTTGATTTGAACGTTATATGTGTTAAATACTTCATTGAGTACAAACTCATTTAAAAATGATCACGAAGTCAAATTTTTTTGAATGACAAATTTCTAAAATAATATTTTTTAATTTTTTTTATATTTTATGAAAATTAAAATGATTTACAAAATTTTAAATCATGCTTTAGTCGTAAACCAAAACCAGATGTGTACCAAAATTCAACTTTTACCATAAGTAATTAGTTGAAACTTATAAATCGAATAAATAAAGTTATTTCAAAATAAGGTAAATTATATCTATCAAATCTATTTAACAAATTTGAAGAAGTTCGCAAGTGTAGAGCACTCATCCATTGGCCGCAATATGTATCCCACTAAAATAAATAATTAGAAAAAAAGTTTCATTATCTATTACTTTACTAATAATAGTTGTTCTAAAAAAGTTATTTTTAATATTATTTATAATAGTTTTAGTATAAAATATTTCTTGATGATGAATAAGAGAGGTTGATATAACTAAAATTTCTATAAAGTTTGTTAATTATTTATTCTATTTCTCCAGCTGCACGTTTCACATTTATATCCCCAATAATAATTAATTTTTCTAGATAATTCATCAGTAGATTATTAACTATTATGAATTATGTTGATTAACAATTTTTAAATTATTAAATTACACTGTTTGTTGACAGGTGATTTCGAATTATAACGGATAGATATGCAGACAATCGGTAACAGTGACGAAAAAATGAGCTTTCCGGCCACATGGACCGATATATTATTAAAATCTATAGCAACATCAGGAAGATCTGCTAACTATACTATTGACGTGAAAATTGGGACCAAACGTATCTCCTCAGAGTATCAACCTAATACCCCGGGTGAGATCCTTTCTAAAAAGCGACGAAAACAATCCAACCCTACTCGGATCTCTTCATGCAATGTAAATAACAAGAAACAATCATTCACTGACAATTGTAAAAGTGAAGAACCTGAACAAGACTACATAGACCACAGTTCTAATGATTCCTCTTCACTCAGTACTAACGCATCTTTTTCGCCGTTAAACTTGTCCAAACCGGAGATTCAATTACAACAGCAATCTGTTAGGTTTGTACACGGTTCCAAAACAGGTCAACAACCAATTGAGGTACAAAAGCCATGTATCGAATACGTCCAGTCTTCCCCGTTAAACTCTGAAATCCAACATATGGTTGACCATGTTCAATCTTCTCCACAAGATACCAACGGTCTTTCTCACGTTACTATTCCGTCAAATCGTATAACACTGCAGCAAAATTCAACCAAAGAACTGAACAATGTAGAGAACTTACGACAATCCAAGATCGTTCCCGAGATGACTGAAGATCATTCGTCCATTGATGATGTACCTCTTACTTGGATCCAGCGCTACGGTAGCCATGGAAATCATTTGGCTAATTTGAAAACTTCTCAACATGAGGAGTCTACTTCATTTAACGTGACTTCGGCAAATATATTAAAAAACGATAGCATTCTTAATTCGCCCAGTGCCGTACAAATATTTAACCCTGAGGCGTACTGCGATCAATGTAACAAAGAGTTTTGCAATAAATACTTTTTGAAAACTCACAAAGCCAACAAACATGGCGTTTATTCGGAACCAAGTCAATACTATAGTCCTGAAAGTTTGGATCAGATTAAGTCATACAACCAATATAGACAAAACTTCTTGTTTTCAAATAATCGACAACAAAATTTGTTGCTAAATCAACCTGTGCAAGATGTTATTAAACCTTCATCGCCTGTTATGCAGTCAAAAATTGTACAGGGTCAAGGAGTCTCACAACAATCGAGTACAGCCGTGATACAATTGTTAACAAAAAACTTATTATATAACAGTTCTAATGCAAGTAACACTTCCGGTAGAGCATTTTGTGATATTTGTCAAAAAGAATTCTGCAACAAGTATTTCGTGAAACGACACAAGGCTAAAATTCATGGTATATTTTCTTCGGAAGAAGGTGGCAGTAGCGTTGATTACAATATCTTTGAGGAAACGCTGTCCAATATCAAGTGTACATCAAAAAGAGTACAGGTACAACGAGAAAGATCACGTTCACGGGAAGGGTTAGAAAGAGGTGAAATCCCTCACACATGTGAATCTCATTTACAAAGTATTCAAGGTGAAAATATTCAATTACCCTTGCAAAAGAATGCGCAATATGTCGAAAATAAAACTCAACACGGTGCAGCAGACGACATATTGTCAAGAACATTAATGTCGAAGGTTACTCTTAACAATAAGTACATTAACTCAACATCGGAACTGGTCGTTGAAAAATTTGACAAAGATTACATTAATAATATATCACAAGTGAGGTCAGAAGATAATCCATTGTCGATTAAAATGGAAGTGATAAATAGTTATTCTAATGTTAACGATGTAGCAGAATTTAAAAGAGAACCAATAGCAACTCCAGACGTCGATGAGGTAGAAACAGGTGACTGTGTTTCAATACAAACGGAAGAAACGAGATTTTCACGTGATAGTGAATGGCAGGCGCTAAGGTCTCCTTCAACTGTTGTGTGCGATGTATGTGATCAACCAGTAGATCGATCTTCGTTAAAAGTTCATCTATTGGCCGAACACGAAGAACTTTTTCGGGATCTTTTTGATGATTCTATGTCGACAACGGGTGGTGACGACATCATTGTAAAATACTTCACCGAACATGAAGGTAAAGGTTACGGTATAAAACGGCTGCCATCTATTTACGATGAATACACAAATGTTAAAGATTTTAACAAACGGTCTTCAGCAACTAATTCGACACTAAGTAGTTTTTGTAGGATTTGCAACAAAGAGCTGTGCAACAAGTATTTCATGAAAACGCACATGCAGCGCATGCATGGTATATCTATTCAGAATGGTAATCACATTGGCGGAGTGATGTGTGACATATGCAATAAGGAATTATGTAGCAAGTATTTCTTAAAAGTACATAAACAAAACTCACATGGTATATTCGATCCTTCACTGTCTACTACTGATAATGTTAGATGCAGCAGTAGAGATGGCGTCGGAGTTATAAATTTTAATAGTGACAATAAAAATATCAGTAGTGTAGGTGGAATAATTAGTAGCAAAATGCAATGGCCGGACAATGGCCATCCACCGCCATCGACATCGTCATCATCGTCTGATGAACCTATGCAAACTGATATTGATCATAGATACTATAAACACTACACTGAAGTGTGTGACTTATGTGGTAGAAGGTTCAGGAGTTCCAAATGGTTGAGCGCGCATTTGTTTAACGATCATGGAGATGAAGGACGCGCATTGTATGCGCAAAATCAATCACAAATAATTTCCACTTCTGTTGTGAACGGCAAAGAAAATGAAAACTCGAGTACAATCATCCGAAACGCGAAGACTGTAACAGAAGAAACGGATTCTGTTGAGTCAGTATTAGAAGACATAACGCGAACAGATGAAGATCCAAATAAACAAGCGCATTCAGCGTTAGAAGAAACAAAAAAAAATCATTTAACTTCTAAAACTCATTCAATGAGACGTTTGACATATTTTCACGAAAACGCTTTGAAATATAATTATGAACAAAACAAGGAAACTAAACAAGAAACGCAAGACAAAAAAGCGTCTGTCAAAGACTCTAGTGAGCAGTATCGATGTTCATACTGTAATTTTACCACGTCTATTCTATCGTTTTTGTTCGTTCATGAAAAATTTCACGATGCCGTCGAACGTCATCATCCAAAAACAACTAATTCAGGAGAGAAAACGTATCAACATGAACATGATAATGATCCACAATCCGCTAACGGCGATTTAAAACGAACTGAAGAAGTAAGTGGAATTCACGACCAAAAAAGTAAAGATTTAACAGAAGAATTAGCAGCAGTAGATATTGATACTACAACTGTTGAAAAAACGGCTTTATCATCGAACGTCGACATAGATTTAGTTCGTAAAAATTCAGCTGTTACTACCGCAATGAAATTAAATTCGGGAGCTGATTCTAAAAAAATGAGCCACAACGAGCCTTTTATCATGCAATCGTTTTTTCTAGAAAATTGCTCAGTTTCGCCGGCATCTGCAAACAATACTGGTAATGGTGATCAAAATGTTATATATAACAATGGTGAAGGTAGCCGGAGTGATTCGTTTTATTCTTCTTTAGTTTACTTGCCAGTTAAGGAAAAGTTAACGTCGACAGTCAACGTTTTCTTTAAACTGACTCCTACATAATATTAATTCAGTTAAAGATTATACTATCGTCTACAGTTTTTGCTATACCTATACAAGTAAGAACGAACTAAGAACTTTGTCTAGATGGTTTATATATTTTTAATATCCTCTAAAAAAAATGTTAGCTTACATAAAAGCATATACATATTTACCATAAAACTATTTATTTATTGTAGAGGATCAATTACATATACCCTTTACACGTACACCCATAACATCAAATAATTTTTGGCAAGCTTAAATTACATCAATAAATTACGTGTATTATTTGCTTCAAAGTAATTTTTTAATATCAATAATACAATATATAATAACCAAACATGATACATAAACACCATTAATCATTATATCAACCCACTTTGATGAAATCAGTGTTTAAATCGTACATTAAATTATCACACTAATAACAATATGTAAATTCAGTAATTGAATTAAATTTAAAATAAATTCATTATGATTTTGAATAAAAAAAATTATAAAAGACTGAGCGATAAGTAAATTTTAGGTTTAAAAATAAAAATACTAATTATTAGGTGCCGAAATAACAAGTGATATAGTCATTACTAAAGTTCCTAATTCACAAGTTTTATGAACCGAGTTCTTTCTTAAAACCGACTTTACACGTTTACTCTTGAAACCGTGTCCCATCAAATCAATTAGTACGAATAATATTGACAGTCACTGCATGCTTTGTGTTAGTGGCACATATTATGCGATCACTTTACAAGTCAATCGGATATCGAATAAAAGTTTATATATTTATTTATATTATATATTGAATTCTGGATTGACAAATTAATTTTTAATAAAATAAAAAATATGACAAAGGTTAAAAAAGCTTAAATATTTATTAACTAAAATAAACTATTACTTTCCAAAAATGATTACTACTTTTATGATTTTTTCTTTCGTTTAATGTCAAATTTTAGTCAAATTATAAGCACTCGTAATAAAAATAATTATTTATTCCTTAAGTTCTATATTTTAATATAAATTATTCAACTTCAAAACTTAAAATGATGGCAAAATCAAAAGTTCTAGAATTTTTTTTCATTTTTCTTCGTTTTCATTGAGGGATGCTACCGATATCTATATCATTATGATAGCGTGTAGCCAATTTGATAAATAAACGATTTAAACGGTTTTATTATATGTTACTATAATTAATAATTATGTTGGGCTTTAAAACTGTCTGCAAAGTTTAGTAAAATATTTGAATGGCCGCCCGGTAAGGTTAATGATTAGTAATGGTACCGCAAATCTACATTAGTCTTACAATCCAATCGTAAGACAAACGGTTCGCACAATTAACGCTTAATTGCAACTTATCGCTTCCAAAAAATTTAGCCATTTGAATTGATTCCGTTCATAACTATAATGCAATTATGGTTTAAAATAGCTTACTATACAAAGAATTTCTGCATAATGACAGCTGCTGAGAAAATGTTATGGTTTTGCTCATGTTCCTCAGTAGTGTTATAATTTTATTAACCTTAGCTCAGCAAAGAGCGTAACGGAAAAGTCCTTAAAACTTGTGTCGCTCAGAATTTTAAAGCACGTCTGCATGCAACAAACTTAATATGCATGATTAATAATACGCATCCATCAAAACTGACCACCTAAAATAAACGCTCACAACATATTAAACTGAAAACATTCCAAATGAAAATTAATTTCACGTCAAATGCATAACAACACAATAAAATTTTATTTTTCCTCCAAAAATATTTTTATCAAATTTGGGAGATAAACAATTTGAGATATGAATACACGATGAAAGTAGCTACTAAAGTTAATTAAAAGGACGATGAATCAAATTAAATTTCAATAATAATATAAAACAACTTTAATTATCTTTCTTAGATAAATTGAATAAATTATTTGACCATCTTGAGTGATCGAAAATAAATCTAATAAGTCTAAAGATGAATATTTTAATTGAATAATGCAAATTAAATGTTGTATTTGAAGTTTATTTAAAATAAAAATTTATGTATTTTACTAGATGTATATAGAATTTTCTAATTTAAAATTTTTTTTAAATAATATTTGATAATTTTTCTGTTGATCTCAAGCGTCAGTTTTTATAATAACGTTATTATTATTTTGTATCTTATAGTACTTCTGTAAATAGTTCAGTGCTATTGTAACTATAAAGCAAATTTGAATCATAAGGAATTAATCTCGAGCAATTGTATTTTACTAAACGAAAGTTTTTAAATTTCAATTTAATAGAAAACTTTTTAAACTAGACGTAGCATGCATGATGTTATAATGTTTCATTATAATACATTAATTATATAACATAAAAATGAAATAATAAATAGACATAATTATATATATATATGTATATTATATAAAAGAATATTTTTTAAGTGCTGGCTTGTAACGTAGTAGTAGTAAATGCCATTTTAGAAACACTAAACCACTTAACGTACACGCGCACATATTATTGTAAAAAATAGTTTCCATTAGTAAAGAAGAAAAAAATCGTTTAATAAAATATTTTATTACAATAGATTTTTTAAACCTGTGAAGGAACTTAAATCAAAAATATTTTTTTAGATGATAGAGTATTAATTTTTTTAACAATTTTATTATAAAGTTTTAACTATAGTTAAGTTATGTATGACTATAAAAACCTATGAATTATAAACAACTAATGTGTTCTGATAGTGTATACTATATTGTCCTTTTTAGGAACACTATTACGATTAATATTAATTTATTTATGTTATTTAAGTGTAAGAGTGATATGAAATTATTGTGTATAAATGAAAACTTTATCAAAATTATTTTTGAACCCGTCAAACGGTTAACGAGAATCAAAATGATTATATTACCATATTATTTTTAGATTATAGTAATAAAAATTTTAGCAAGTAAGAAAAAGTATTATTAAAATATGATAATTATGTTAGTTTTTGCTGTAGTATATAATAATTATATACTTAACAGTAGTATACTATAAAATACTTTGATTGTGGCTTGTGCTCATCGAAAAAAAATCAAAATTTATTATTATAACTAAAATAAACAATATTATTTAATTAAATTATTTCATATAAGAATTGCATCGTGTATGGGCAATATGTACTGACGATGTTTGTTTTATGTTCTAGTGTTAATATTACTATTTTTATTGTTTTAAAACAAAACGTTATTATTAGTTAGCAGCTCTGGTAATGTTTAATTTTATAAGATAAAAACAAGCAAGCATAAATCATATATTCTGATCTTTCTTTATATTTTTTCTGTACATTGTATTTGCGAAGTTTTGAAGTCACCACATAATTTTCACGTTTCAGTAAAGGTACGTCTTTTAATATTAATTACACATTAAAAACTTCTTGTGAAATTTCTAAGACAAACCAAAAAATATTTACCTCAATTTTTTTTAATGGCTAACTTATTCAAACTTGTCACTTATACGAATTATTTGTTGAGTTTTCAAATGTTTTTTTTTAGATTATCCCGACACTACTCTTTTACTATCATAAATATACACGATAAATAAAACATTTGTTGGACAATAACAATTATTTGCTCAGACTATTGCCGTTCTGTCATAACGATTAAACATGTTGTAGATACCAAGGTAGAAACATAACATTAAGGTAAAATATTTTGTTAATGTAAACGTATCTAAATCTAGGCACAGTTTCGGCTTCATTTCACATTAAGTCGTCGTTATCTCAAAAAGGCTTTGCCAACATTATTTTTCACAGAAAATTCTCTTAAAATCACTACAGTTTCTCGATAAATTCTCTTAATTATTGAAGTGGCATTTTAACGTTGTGTAATATTTGCGTAGTTAAATTTAGCTTGTAAAGTATTATTGCATACATTACACGTTGGCAAATTACTGGAAATCAATTCACTGCATAAAATATTCATCGATCTAACAGAATTCAAAACTTTCCAGAGAATAAAATACTCGTTTAACATAATAAAATATTAAGCGTTTCTATTTAAAAAAGGTAATTGTATATTTAGACTATTGGCTTGCAAATGTATTAATAAAAAAAAACGTAACCGTGATCGAATGCACTTAAAAAAACCGACAGAACGTAATAGTTAAGTAATATTAGTGGGCGAATAGTTAGTAGATGATAAAATTTAAAAAACTATTGTTTATCGCGTAATTAAAATATCCATAATTCCAAAAATTCTCTGGAATCTTTAACTAAGTCATTTGACGGAGTTTAACGATTACACGTCACTTAGAGTTATGTGAAAAAATTCTCTTCGTGGCCATAGCGCAATAATTTAAAATAAATAGCAGTCATTTTTATTTTCCCGTTCAAGTTTACCTGTCTCACGACAAAAAATTCTATTAATGATTACCATTTTTCAAATATACATTTTTCGATTTTCTCGCATTATTAATTTTAAGCCATAAATGACATATGTAGTGTTTAGAAGTACAATATAATATATTGTTCTAATATGTATTATATTGTAATACATATTAGAATATATGTTGTAAAACTAACCAATTACTTATTGAAGAAAAGATATAAATATAGACTGTTTGAGCCTACTTGTTAAATGAAAAAATCCAAAAAATTTGTATGTTGACTAATAATAACGTTAGTATATTTTAATAATTTTTATATTTTAAAATCATGTTTGCTCTTATTGCCTTTCTAGTCAAAAAGTTGATTGTATATACTTTACACGACAACGAAAACAGGGCAGTTATATAATCGCTCCGTTTAATGTATCATGTAATTATTTTATTATTTTTGATTTAATATTTGTTTATGTATTATATAGCCAAAAGGTGATATGTGTTAAGAGTTTTTTCTAACCTTAACTTATTGCTATTTTTGCACAAATAGTAGCCTTATGTTTTAAAAAATCATTTTTTATTGCTAATTAATAAAACCCAAAGATGGAATATTAAAAATTATATAATAAAAAACATTAAATAACAATAAATTTTATAAATGAAAATAAAACAAAGGTAATATTTGACACATATTACTTTAAGGCTCTCTAGTGTAGAAAATTAAATCTTAATGATATTCTCGTGAAATAATTGTAAATAACGCATAACCCAATATTGTTTTGATGATAAACTTTTTTTAATGGTTCCTATTTTATAATAATTTTAAGTACAAAGATATAGTTACTATACTTTATACATACATGATTTATAATTTTAATTGTAAGATTAATATATACTTTAAACGACATAGATTATTTATTTATATTTATATAGTATAAAATTTAATGTTTAATTATAGTTTATAAGACTTATTCAGTTAAGACGAGTGGTTTTTTTTTTTTGTGTACATGTACAAGTGTGCCTTTATTATACAATTATATTTATATTTCATACATATTTATAAAATTTATAATAAAGAATAATAACAATATGAATGCATACATAAATGTAAATAGTTTTGATATTTTTGCGATCAGCTAAAATCCAAATTACTCAAAGATTTCACGTTATTAAGTAGTGAAATCGTTCATATATAAGTAGCAAATGGATTATAAGTGGATATAATTATCTTAGATAATAGTTTGATTGCTAATTATGATATCGAATTTTATACTACCTAGCTAATAAGTTTTAGGAGAATAATAGATTAACCTATACAATATATAGTAATAATTCTATGCATATGTATAAGGGACACAGTTTTCGACTGAAAATAAATAATGTCATTTTTTTCAATAATAGTTATATTCAATTCACAAATAAAAGTCTAAAAAATTAAAACCAAAACTTTCTGGTATTATTTTTCATAATAAAGAAAAAAATAACTGATTATGTTTCGAAAAGCCGCTTATCTTAATGTGGTATGAATTTACTACTCCTTCGCCTTTTTTTTCTTTTAAACACTGGTGTACTATTATTTTATAATATATAAAAATAATATATGAAAATCAATGTTGTATAAAATAATTTTTAAATATATTTAAAATTATACTCAAATATTTCAACAAAAAAGTAGTTAGAATACTATTTGAATAATACTAAAGTACTCTATACAATTATAGAGTATTTTAGTATTATCTCAAATCCTATTCCAGTAAAAAAAAAAATAATAATAGTTTGTTTAAATTAAAATTACTATCCTAAAATATTTAATAACTCAATTTAGTAGATATTACCTGTGAAAATACGCCTCATTTCAGGTTCGACTAATATGATAAAAAAATCTATATGCATTTTATGGTGTATATGCGACACCACTGCCACAATTTTGATAATGAAGGTCCAACACACAAATAGAAAATAATAGATACATTAAAATATAGATACATAAATCTTGAGAATAGCAATTTTTGGGGACCTCAAGCCTAATGAAGCGGCCTTTTAGTAGGAAAATTAAACCTGTTGCCATTGCGGTTGTTATTGCTATGACGTTTACATTACACAATGGTGTAGCGAAGAAAAAATATGAAAAAAAAAACAATATTTGTATTAAATACCAAATATTTTAAAATATTATTTATTATCGATGTAAATATTTAAATACTATTACTCAAAAACTTTTGAAAAACATTGACAAAAATAATGCTTTTTTATATAGCTTAATGAGATCTAGAACAGGTGTTAGCAACAAGTGAATTACAGGTTAATACATACTGAAAATGGTAAATGAATGGCTCACAAAAATATTTTTTGCTTATCGTCTTTTTCTACTTAATATCGGAAGTTTTAATTAATTTTTTATTCCTAATTTTGATGGGTAATAAAATGTTAACATTCATATATTGAATAAAGTTCTAATTTAAGACCTTTATATCACACTGTATTCACAAAAATGGGTTAGGTTTAAATATGCTATATTTAACATTTTAGTTGAAAAAAATACAATATAATTATTGCTTATTAAAAAATGAGAAGTACTTTTTGAATGAAATTGAGTTAATCGTGTTATTGTATTATAGTCAAATTTATTCTGTATAAATTTGAAAAGTAAGAACTCAATGTTTGAGTTACTAAATTGCATTTAAAAAATAATGATGCGTTGAGCCATCGGTATACATTACATGTTTTATGAAATCTTATTATGCAATATGATAAGTGAGTGAATTGCTGTCTTTATACAGAGTGTTCAGTAAGTAAGGAAACATCAATTGTTATAAACAATGAGAACAATAGAAACCCGATTGATTATAAAGCCCTGGTGAAATATAATGCCAACACTGTGCCTCGTAATGACTTTCCCCTTTTGCTAATTACTTTTTTGGGTGACATATTATGAACTACAGGGTAAAAACCATAAACTACGTATAGGGACGGGGTCTCCTCCATAGAATCAGCCACCACTTAAATTATATGGTAATTGACTTTGGAAGATTTTAGTTAAATTTTTATCAGTAAATTTTAGTTATCTAAACTAAAATTTGTTTTTTTACATCGATTACTTATAATTAATAGACAATACTATATATAAATAAAATTGTATAAGACCTACACGAACGCCTATGGAAAATATCGCTACCATAAAAAAGTGATGAGTAAAAAAAAACAGAAAAACTGTGTATCACTAATCATGACAGGCAAATTTTGATGGGCCTAGGGACATCTTCTGGTCTCCCTTAATCCAAACCTGTATAAACGATGTAGATAAAATAACTAAATTCATGGTAAGTCTGGTAGAAACCAGTATCTTAAGCTATGACATCATAGACATAATAATATATGTATAATAGTAATTATGTCTATGACCATATCCATATTATCTATGGGAGGCAATTAATAATAATAATAACTAAATTTAAAAAAATTGAAAGACCAAGTTGGATTCATTAATAAAATAATAATATCCCACCTCATTTAAAGTTTCTAAGCATGCTACTGATCTGTAGCAACCATGATTTCACCCCTGGTATTGGCCTCAACTGTTAAGGTAGAAATAATATAGTAATGTAAGTTCCATAATTATGGCAACACTGTAATTATAAAATATTGTTAGTAAACACAATCAGTATCAGTACAAAAGTAGTGTATTTCAAATGTTTCGTTTTTATGAACACAATAAAGAGTAATTCATTTAATTAGAAATATGTTCTTTTATTTTAATTACTCCTTACTGTAGTCAAAAAATGTACAGGTGTTGCTAATTTTATTATTTATTTATACTCTTATTTTATTAAATAATAATGAATTATTTAAAAATCATAATTATATATAGTCTTTTAGAACTCGAGTCTCAAACAGTATTATCAAATATTTTAATAGACTTTATTTTCAGAACATAAAATCTAGTCGATTTCAAATGATACTAATACATTTTGCAGAGTTCGGGTTGGGCTATCCCGATTCGATCCGAATTTAAACCAGTTCAATAGTCAATAATATTATATTTCATGTTTTGGACTATACCTGGTCCGAATTTGATTTAAAATTGACCGATCTGGCCTTACATTTTACATATAAATTTAAATCGAATCGCACCGAACGTGAAATAAAAAATTAAGTATGGATTGAATCAGGCCTAAAATTTTACATAAATATTGGAGTCGGATTAGATCAGGTTTTATTTTTAGGTCTGAACTGATCTTTGACATATTGGATCCACAAAATGGGGTATAGGTAATTGTCCCAAAAGTTCTCAAACCTGAGATTTGTACTTTTACTTTGTCGGCAATAGCACAATTCTTTATTAGGATAAATATTACTCGTTATTTATCTATTTTATACAGATTATAGTCATACATATACAAAATAATCCAATGAACTATTTTATTCACGACTACTATTGAAAATGAAAATTAAGATAAGATGACTTTTAGTTAAAGTGACAGTTACCTATCACTATGCGGTTAGTGCATAGATTAGAAATCCAATTTTTTTCATTTATTATTCCCGTTATTGATAACGTTAAAGTATTAAATTTTAAATAAAAAATATCAAAATAACATTGATAAGTCTCAGTGATTACCGCTATAATAAATTCTATGGATTACTCGTCGCGAATTTACGATATTGAACATTTTTCATTGTAAATACGTTATCATTACTGTGTTGTTACGTGATGACAACAACGATCGGGTTAAACAGTTTTTGAACCATTCTGGATTTCTCCTGGTAATTTAGATTTTAAGCCTGCGCCCTATGCTAGAATTAAGTTTCTTCTTATAATTTATAATTCAACATATATTGTAAGTAAAATTTATCCGTTATTGCTAAATTCATGGTATGATAATTAAAACCCAGCTTTGACCTTTTAAAATTGAGTAATCAAGTGATATGTTTTAGCTTGTCTAGTTAAGACGTCACATAATCTAAACTCAATGCTATTCAGTACTAATGTTGACTGGTAAGTCTTTCACGTTAAAAAAATATTTTTATGTAGTAGATGTTTGAAATTTTCCAATAGTTGTAATCATTATTGAATACTTTGTATTATTTTATTAATATGCATTGACTTAAATAATATGTTTTCCTTTACGTCTTGTTATTGTTCAATAGATTTGAAATTCATAATTTTACAAAATTATAAATTATCCATCCAAATTATTTAAAGTACTATGACGGAACAATCTGTGTAAGCTTATGCTCAAAACTTTGCAAACCTCCTCAAAAATTGAATTTTTTTTTCATAGACATTTATGTATAAATATATTTTAAAGAGGGCAAAATTTAAATTACATTCATCAAAATTAGATAATGATCTAAATGAGATAATAACTGGTCATTAAAACTTTTTTAAATAGTAAAAAAACTATAAAAACTTTTTTATAATTAGGTAGGACAAAATGTATGGATGGTAGGTTTAAAAAAAAAAAGCCATATCATAGTATGAAAGTGGGTGATATGTATGTAATTTTTTTTATTTTAGATTATTAAAAATAGATTGAAAAAACTATATATATTTTTCAAAATATAGAATAAATGGAAAGCTTCATCCTTATCTACTGTCTCTCACTACTTTGATTTTATGATAATTTGAAGGGGTGTTTAGTTCCTTCGTAAATATGACACTCACTCTCCTGGTTGTATTTTTAGATAAAAAAAAAATTTGTTTATTTATTGAACAAGAAATGTATAATATTAGAAAATATGTATTCAAATGACTCCCTAAAATATTAGATCCTAGGCAACTGCCTTGTTGAACTATGCAGAATTACAGCTCTGTATACAGATTAATTCACTCATCATAAGCTATTTAATTAATTGAAAAGTAAATATAAATAATTTTTTTATTGGTTTCTTTTCAATTTTTCAGTCATACATTTTTTTATGTTTATTCCTTATAAGGGTGTCTACTTTATTTTTCAAACAACAACACACATAATAAACTAGTTTATTTAATATTTAATGATATAATTAAGAAAATAACTGGTCAACATTTGGACCAGTATTTCGGAAGTTACTAACATATGTATTTCTATGTAAGAGGAAAATGATGTCCAAAGAATGTCTAGTTATAAAAATAGCACCCATTCTTCACCTCCAGTCATTACTTTAAATTGTTAATAACTTCCAAAATACTGGTCCAAAAAATGTTATTGACCAGTCATTTTTTATTTTATTATGTGTCTGTATATATTATTATATATCAATGTTCAATTATTGTATTTATAATCATAAGATTTAAATTTATTTATAAACTTAAAAATAAAAATTTCATCCAAAATATGATAATATAGTAATATAATATTATTTAGTGCGACAATAATTAGTTTCTTAAATATCCTATTGCTATAGTAATGTAAGTCTTTTGTTGTTGCTTATAATTATTTTCATTAACTTTTTCCAGATTCTGAAATGTTTAAATATTAATTTTTATGGACCTGATTGATTATGTGTGATAATTTAAAAGATTTTTATATATATGTCTGGAGATAATAAACAGTAAGTAACATTAAAATTTATATTAATTTTTTTGCTTTATAAGCCCATTAATGACCGTAGCAACCTTCCTCAAAGAAGGAGGTTTATTTGATACTCCGAGACTGGTGGTTAGTCGGTTGCCGGATGGAGGGATGGCTACTCCAATTACTGAACTTTATATTAAATATCCATTCATTTTAGTTAAATATTGAAATTAATGTCTATTCTTAAATTTAATTTAAGAATCATTTTTATCAGTATATCTTAAATATTCTAATGATTACTAAGTATGGTATAACACAGTTTAGTTAATATTGAAACCTAATCAAGAAGATATAACTTGACTTTTAAAGAAGTACCGTGTTTAATAAGCAAAATGTAATACCAAATATAATTAAAATTGATCACTTGTGGCTAATTAGTTAAGTAAAATTAATAATATTTTTAATATAGTTTTAATTTTACTTAATGTAATACCAAACCAAAAATATATATTTACTATTAATTATTTGTTTTTCTTTAGTCTTTACCAAATGTATTTCTAAACTTTTTCCGATTGTTTTGTAAATTATGAATATTTAAAGTAATCACCAATGACTTTTGCTACTGAAATTTAATTTAAAAAAATTGATTTAACTCTCTAAAATGTAAATTTTTGTAAAGAGTAACTAAAGTTAAGTTTTAATTTTATTCCTTTTATTGTGATCTATAATAATTAGGTCCCAAGAAATAAAGTTGTCTTTTCTTCTACCGTAATTATTTTTATTTATTGAGTAAAATCTAAAATTAATTGTGGGGTTGATATGAAAATAATACTAAATCAAAAAATTAATTTTTCATTTTTTGTGTAAAAAATAAAAATACTAGAGAAAAAAATAAGTTAAACTTTTGTTTAATTTAGGAACAACTTTGAAAACAAAAAGACACTTGTCATATGGTTAGATAAATGGTTTTTTTTTCATTTGCTTAAAAATTAATTTTTGAGACTTTTTTGTAATCACCTTAATTGTTATGATAATTACATTACAAAATTTCATTTTATTTTACTAAGTTAGTACTAGATAAATTTATAGTTAATATAATAGAAGGTACTTTTTGTAGAAAAAAGTTTGAAAAAGTTAAGGATTCTGAAAATTTTACCTGGAATTATTAAACTTCTGGACTTTTTTTTTTACGTTATATGTTATTTATTGAAGCTTGGCGGAATTTGATTAAAATGTGTTTTGGGCTTCAACCCCACCTATAATTTTTATTTACTTTTATTATTAAAAACAAATAATAAAAAAAAATATTTTAATGTAGTCTTATATATTATTAAAAAAAAAGTATCAAAAGTTATTAGATTTGTCAAAACATACTAGACTACTCTGTATATTCACCCACAAGTATGATAATTTTATTCAAAAATTATATATATTAATAATTATAATTTTTTTTGGTATTTAAATAATTAATTACTTTTGAATTATTATTGGAACCTAGTTGTTTATTCAGTATTGGATTATATTTTGTATAATTTTTTTTTTAAATAACTATTATTTTCTCATAGATCTGTCAATGGCCATGGAATGGTTAGTATTGAGCTATTGCCTTTAGAAATTATCGCCAACATTGTGAGCTATTTGGATGTGGCAGACATAGTGTCTCTTAGTTGTGTTAACCGGCTGTGGCGTACTGTGTTCATGAACCAGAATGTCATCTGGAAGCGAGTATGCATTGAGCTGGATCTTTGCGATGACACTGAATATGGCGGTGGTAATTGCCCTTATACAGATGACTGGTTGCCTGGCCATGGCCCCACGTTTCTTAACAAAACAGTGTCTGCGTCACCCAGGTATGTGGTTCTCATGTCGACTAAAACATTTGGACAGCCTTGCCGCTGGTGGAGAGTATACAACCGATACAATATTGTGCTCCATAACCTGATCTCCGATAACTATTCAATAGTCACTGTGCCATACCCGTCTCGACCAGTTAAGACGCATTGGTGTGATGGCAATTATGAAGTAATGGTTGGGTGCCGACAATGTTTTCTGCCTGTGTTGATTATGTTGGTGGATGGATCTGCATCTGAGTTCAAGCACGTGCCATTGGACACGCCTGATACATTCAATAGGCTGTTCGCCCATTACTCTACAGAAAATTCCCCCAAAGTGATGGGTAATGATAATTTCCTAGTGCTGGAGATCCACTCGGTAGTATTTGTATTTGAAATTGACAACAGTCAACATTTTCAGTTCCGTTACGCTAAAACTGTAGGCAAGCAAGACTGCAATGTCAGCGCTATATCTTGTGACATCAATACCAACAGCAATAATAATACTCACATAATTGGAGCTTCTACCACTGCTACTGAGAATAGACCTTCAAACTGCCACATCCAAGAACCTTTTGAAATACCTGACAAACAGTTTTTACAAGCTCACGCCGATAGTAGGATAGCATTATATGGTGATAAACTGGTTGTCGTCCACCCCAAAAAAAACATGCTATTTCTAATTGACTTGAATTCAGGCCAAGTTTATAAACAATTAGAATACACCGCGGTTGACTGTTATGTGGATTGCTTATCATTCTATGAGAATTTGATTTTATTGGGCCTGGGCACTAGAGAGGTATGAAGCAAGACCTATAATCATTTTTATTAAAAATTAATCCTTACAAAAGAATTTCCATTAATGTAAATCTTTAAAAATTTTCAGACTCCTAACTTCTTTATAGTACCACAATTCTTTAACCAGCGAAACCTGGTCGTCATTTATGATATAGCGACAGATCAGAGGCATGAGATCGAAATTCCAGGCCCCATCACCCGGTTCCGATGTAATCACGCACTTGTTGCTGTTGAGACGCCAATATCATATTCATCAGCATTCATCCGACGACCGGATTTCTCAGTGTTTTTCATTAATTGTTATTCGTTTGCACTGTCGCCTTCTGGTAAATATATTTTCTACATAGGCTCTAAAACCCACTATCGCAACAGGCATGACAATAATAATATCAATGGTGGTAATGGTGTTAATAACAACAACGAAGTCAATCATGAAAACCACTTCAACGGTATTCTCAGTAATAACAATACTATGATTTTCTCCCAGTCATTATACAAATCGTCTGTGGTCCAACCATCCACATGGATAGACATTGAGCTGACCACTGGGATCACGCGATTCTCTTGCTTAGAGGCAATTAACGACCGATTTGTGGTTTTAAATGCATTGTCACCATCTAGGTCACTGGAGGTTTTTGATACAAAAAACCAAGTAGTCGTCAAGAGCCTAGCTAAACACAAGGACCACAAATTGCGATATGTGGGAAAACGTTTCCTGGTGACCAACAACCAAAGGGAGGTGACACTTATTGGGTATGGGTAGCTATCTGATCCAACTTTGTCTCTTTTATATATCTCAGATCAAGGATTACTAGTATGTATAATTCTCAATGATGATCTTATTTTACTCTAGCTATTTTGAGACGAATGCTGAAATACAGCCTGTCTATGTTGATATAAGGTCACTATTTATATAGTCATCAATCAAGTCTTCTTACTTCAAATGTCACTTTGGTTCTATAATTTATTATTATCTTTCAGTGAAAAAAGCATTACCATATTAGATCTACATTGATAATGTCAAAGTTTTTTTTACTTTGAATTGTATTATAATAAATTCATCATTAAATGATGATATAATATAATGATAATATACAAATTTTGTTACTAACTTTTGTATAACAAATATATGTTGTATTATTACCTTTTGGAAAAATTTTTATTTAAAAGATTGTTACTTTGTAAAAAAAAGTTTTATATGTTGATATTAATATTGTTAATTTATTATAGCTAATTTTTTTATTTTCTTATGTTTATATGACCATCAGTGTTTGAAAGAATAAGAATAAGAATAAGAATAAGAGGATTTTAATTTATATTGTTATTTTATTTTATTGTTGTTAAAAAATTTTATGACTTATTAGTTCTCACAAATATAAAATAAATGTTTTTATTTTCATTGATGTTTTTTATGAAGTATTAAATACTCAAATATTCATCCAGAGAGGTATATTTTATTAAAGAAAATTCATTTAAAAAAATAATTTAATTTATAAAGATCCAAATACATAATCTTTATTATGACAAATCATAAAATAAAACTTGATAAAAAACAAATATTAATAAAATGATTTTTAATTTATTAAGTTCTTTATCAAAAAAAAAAAATCAAATTTCCAAAAAATTAACACTTAAATATTTTTTATATGAATTAAAGAAACGTTTACTTAATTAAAAATAATTTTAAAATAAATATACAANAAAAGCGAGTAAAGAAATTAAATAAATTAAATATTTTTAAATATTTAGGAAACTCTCAGCAAAGCAACATTTCAACGTAAAAACCAGACTGGTTTATTGTCTCGTTTAGCTGCAGAACCAACAGGTTATGCAGAATGCTATCCTGGCTTGGATGAAATGCATGATGCTATAGAAGATTCTGACGATGAGGCTGATTATACAAAAATGGATCTTGGTAATAAAAAAGGCCCTGTTGGTAGATGGGACTTTGATACTGCTGAAGAGTATGGTACTTATATGAGCAATAAGGAAGTATTACCAAAAGCTGCGTTCCAGTATGGTGTAAAAATGACTGATGGTAGAAGAACCCGAAAGCACAATAAAGAAAAAAATGAAAAAGCAGAGCTCGACCGTGAATGGAACAAAATACAAAACATAATACAAAAAAGGAAAGTACCCACAGCCGGTAAAGAAGAAGGATCTTCTTTTAAAGTCCCCAAGTATTAAATAAATGTATCATTCATTTTTTGAAACATTTTGATTAGTTTATAATAATTTTACAACTGTAGTTCTCACAAATAAAAATAAATGTTTTTATTTTCATTGATGTTTTTTATGAAGTATTAAATACTCAAATATTCATCCAGAGAGGTATATTTTATTAAAGGAAATTTGTTAAACATTAAGTAAAATTTTTACCATTTTACTAATAAACAACATAATAAACATAATTTTTGTTCTTTGATTAAATTGTAACTTTAACAATGACTGTCTGAATTTTATTTTTTTGAAAATATTTTTCATTTACCAATGTATTTTTTCTAATTTTCCAAAAATTCTACATTAAATTAAAGCTAATAGAATGTATAATATAATAATAAAAATAGATAACTTTTAGTAAAAGTATCCAATTTTGTCATATTTTGCATAGTAACACAATATATTATATTCCATTACTATGTAATGTTATATATTAATATATTATAATTTTAGCACCCTCAAGATTTTGACATAATATGCACCTATAGTTTTAAAATAAAAAAGCGAGTAGAGAAATTCATTTTTTTTAACTATATGAACATTTAAGGAAATTTTTATTAACACAATTACAGTTAATAAATCTTTTGTATATTTATTTTAAAATTATTTTTAATTAAGTAAACGTTTCTTTAATTCATATAAAAAATATTTAAGTGTTAATTTTTTGGAAATTTGATTTTTTTTTTTTGATAAAGAACTTAATAAATTAAAAATCATTTTATTAATATTTGTTTTTTATCAAGTTTTATTTTATGATTTGTCATAATAAAGATTATGTATTTGGATCTTTATAAATTAAATTAGTTTTTTATTGTGTCATCGTTGTTAATAATTGAACATTGTAGTCTTCTTTGATTTCTAAGTCGATTGACTAATTAAATATTATTAACTTACTGCTAAATTTAACAAGTTAAGATTGTATTTATTGAGTTCAATCATTTTTTTTGAACTAGTTACTTAAATTTGTTATTACACGTCATAGGTTTGCAACTAAATATTAGTCAAGAGTAATCCAGGTGTAGTAAAGATTATTTTATGTGTAATCTTCAAGAAAATTTAATTAAATTCTATAAAATAGGTACTATTTATTGCTAAATAAATGGGTGGAATCTTATACGCTCATTAAATTTCTCCAAGTAAAAATCAGTTCAACATCAAAAAGAAATTTTTGAATGATAAAACGTTCAAAAATTAGGTTTTTTGTTTATAATTATATCTTTAGGATATAAAATTTCTGTCACAATTAACAATAATAAAATACATTTATATAAAAAATAAATAAATATTGCACAAAAATAATACAAATAATAATTAAACAACAATACGAATATTATAGTTAAGAAAACAAAATTTGTTGTATAAAAATAAGTCAAATTTACTACATTACGATAATTGTTCAAACTTGAATATAAAATTCAAAACATTTTAAAAATACAGTGACGATTATTGTAATCAAATGAGATTGCTTAAAATTTATGCAAAATTAAATCAAGCGAAAATAATTTTTTTATAGGATAATGAATAATTATTCAAATATTATTCTTACTAACATATTTTTATCAATTAAATTAAATTGAAAGGAATTCTATCGCAAAAAGAATATTTGCATGTTTTATACTTAACTCCAATACATACATTTCAAACAAAGGCGACGGTTCTCGTTTAGTTTAATGGTGGTGTTACATAGCCATTTGTTTCCACCTCATCTCCACTGTCCGATTCGAACGTATCAAAGGCTTCCAGGTTCGCTTTGGCGTCGTAGAATTCTTCAATTGGTATTTGATTTTTGCCACCTCCAGATGGCCACTGACTTTTTTTTTCGTTGTCGCCGTCATCCGAGTCGTCGCTATCGTTCTCTTCGTCTTCGTCGTCAGCCGCTTCTTCATTAACCGATTCATCATGGTCTACCGTTAAACCTTCTTGATTATCACTATCGATACAATCGTCATCAGCATTTTCTTTTTCGTCCTCATCCGAAGAAGTAAGCAGATCGATTACTTCATCAGATTGTTCATCCGTCGATTGGTCGGCATCTTCTTCGTCTGTACACTCTTCGTCCAAATTTTCCGGAGTGTCGTCCCGGTTTTCAGACGCAGTTAGGTCAATGCTCGCTGATTTGTTTTGTTTCGTAGATTCGTCTTTATTATGTTCCACAGAATCGACCAGTACTGTTTCAACTTGTTTAACAGACGTTTTATGCTCGCCAATTTCAGTTTGTTGAAACTCTCGATTCTGACGTATTCTTACGCTGTTATTGCCGTCACAGGTTTTACTTTGGCCACTGTTGTTGGCTTTACTATCTTCACTGTCGTCGGAAAGTTCTATTATAACTTGTGGTTCTCTGGTGACTGCATTAATTCTGGCTACGTCTGACGCCGTCGCGGAACGTTGAAGCTGCCGTATTCGGTCGACGGTTGACGGTAAGTATGTTTCCTGGGTTTCAAAAAGGTTGTCGACTTTTTTCTGGTCTACATTAAGTTTGGAATTAGAAGAGAACTGGCGAGTCGCCTCAGTAGCGCTTTGATAACGGTTTCCATACTGCATCTTTGGCAGATTAAGTTCAGGACGTTCGACTGATGGACAAGGGAACAAGTTCGTACGAACATTAACGCCAGAGAGTGGATTAGAACGGGCATTAAAAACTGGTCTGACGTTCGAATTAACCGGAGACGTATCTAAACGGCATGGTTTGCCAAAAATGCGTGGTGACTCAAGGGTTTGGAGATCCCCGAATGAACTATTTGATTTGAAAGTTTGGTGGTGGGCATATCCGTAAGATTTGACAGGGGTACGCGGACGAGGTCCCGCGTACGTGAGCTGCCGGGGGTCGTTCAGTGGTACGGCAGGTTGGATTGGATTTATACAAGTTGCGTAGACGGGCTTCGGGCGGAGCGGTTGTGGACGTCCAAATCCATGACCGTCGGACTTTTCTGTCGGTGGATTCAGACCAAACTCTACTGATTGATTGTGCTCAGATCGTTGACTCTGTTTAAGGACCAAACGTTCGGGTAGGTCCATACTCAAGTCTTCTAGTTGATTGACATGTGGTGTTTCGAAAGAATTGCATTGTAGTTTTTCGAATTGATTGACAAACGGTTTTTTGAAAACTTTGTCAAACGGTTCGAGTTTATTTTCCACGGACGACTCCGGTAATTGTTTGTTTATATCGCTGCTAAATTCTTCAATAGGGGTGCATCCGTTTGACTTAATATCATCAAGATCGGTCTCATCCATTGGTTCTATCTTGGGTATCAATAAAGGCATAGGTATTTTCTTCTTGCCCCGACCGTTGGCTTGTGAACCACTGTCGATTCGGCGACGCTTGGTCGCTGGCCGTTTTGTGGCCATGGTGGAGCTTTTCCACATACCCGGGGGACTGTAGACGCGGCGCAGGTTGTAACGCCCACCTCCATCGCTCCTACACCAATTGAGCGATTCATCCAACTGCTCTTCGAGTTTAATTCTCTTGGCGGTCGGATTTGAGGAAGAGGACCAGGACTTGCGCGCTGTCTTTTTCGTTTCGGGTTTGGGCATTTAAAATAGATTACGTTAAATATTTGAAAAATAAAAATTAGATAATTACCAAACGTGAGAGGACTAATGTTGGATGTCTTCAATAGTTTTATGTTTTTAATTGTTGATGATTTTATAAGACTTGACGGCGATTGTATGGTTCGTTTGCGAAGCAACACTCTAACGACAAAAAACGCTATCGCGTTGAAAAAATATTATTTATAAAAATGTATTTGAAACAAAAACTAAAACAAATATTCGACTGAAAGCGTTACGTGTTTAGAAATCTGTACTGAAATCGCCGGTCGTTTATACGAATACGTTCAATTGCCATAGATATTAGTTTTTTTGATAGTTTAAGTTTTATCAAATAATTTCGATAACGTTGCGCTTTGATCAACGGTGTTTTATTAACCGCGTCGATCATTGAAACTTTTAATCAAACGTTTTGTGTAATATTTATTGTAATTTCAAGATATTGATTATGACACACAAAAAGATCGAAATAAAAATCTAAAAAAATTTAAAAATGTGCTATTAAAATTAGACGTGAATTTTTTTCATTTTAATCTAAGTTTTAATTTTATGGATTACTATAGTTTGAGCAGCAAGTTTTTTATTAGATAGTTTTGAAAATTATTTAATTTTAGACAGTTTGGTAAATAA